CAATACCCCCGCCGCAGCAAACCTGCAGACTAAGCGAATTTCAACTTGTCTGATTTCATTTTTATTTTTACTAAAATATTTCCATAAATAAGACATATTTATTCCCAATTTAAATAACATTAGATTTTACCAGTGCTTAGGTTTGCTGCTACGGGGAAGGTAAAAAGTGTTTTTTGACCATATGTCAATACTATAGAATGAAATAAATAAATTTGCCAAATTTTATCAACATACATCCATAAACAAGTAAACTACAACAGTTTTCATTTTCTCCATAAGAATAACATGGGAATTTTAAATTACACTTTTTTTAATTTTCTCCGTGACCGTCAGGCATAAAACAGCGCTTCAATATACTAAATTATTTCTTTTTTTAAGCTCTACAAAATGGTTGAGAAAGAAATTGCAAAAATTTTTATTTTTAGGGTTAAAAATGGGAAAAACCCATTTTTACCCCATAAAACCCCCCATAAACCCCTGTTCCCATGGTCCGATTATGCTGGTTCGCGAACTCGTTCGAATAAACGTAAGTTTACACGTTTGTACCAAATTTAATCAAAATCGGATCATATTTGCTCAAGTTATCGCGCTAACGGACACATATATAAATATATATATATATATATATAAGAATAAAACCACAATCGATAATTGTTATTGATATATATATGAATTTGAACGGATGGTGTTTTTGGCCTCTGGGGACCTCAAAACGAAAAAGTAAATCGATCCCGGGTCTAGGTCTTACCATGAGACCTACGGTAATAGCTTATTCCCTATATGGGAAATTCGCTAAAAATCTAATCTAATATATCATCCAGCTTGACCGATAGTAAATCTATATTAGGCTTAAAATAGCTCTGTCATAACTGTAATATAGTGTTACAGCAATATAATACTTACAGTGGTTTCTGATTAACAGACAATTCTCGCATTGTGAAAAACTAAGCAAAATAGCTATTACAGGCAATCGCTAAAATTTGTGCTTAATTTGTATTTATATTGAGTAATTCCAACGTTAATTTGTTTATTATTTTTGTATTTATTTTTTTGTGCTTATTTTTTTATTTGTTTTATTATATAAATATTATTTAGAATCATATACCAAAGGATTTGACCATCATCCAATGCTTAAAGTCTGTTTCTTTCCATTTACAAATTTTAAGTTGATTAAAACAAATCTTAAAACGATCAGCTGAGTTAAAACAAAATATTATGAAAATTTTACCTTTCTCTTGTGTTTTTAACTTGCATACTTTGCAATTATACAGTTTTGAAAATATCTAGACAAGTGTCCAATTGATAAATGGTGTGTTTCATAACGTGGTACTTTTGATTCAGTTGACATAATAGGTTCTATGTGCTGTCGCTGTCGTCCTCGAAAGTTGGTAACATTCTTTATTGTTATGTAAATTTTATAAATGTCAGAAACAAATTTTTGACAGGCCTATCCAACAACAGTTTAGAAGTTTTAGGTTGTCTAAAAACTTGTAGCTTGTAAGAATCTGTTTTATTTACTCATAAAATAAGTTAGATGCAACCTAGAATAATTTAGAATCAATAAACTCACCATTTTAGTCAACATACATTTTTACACTAAAGGCCAACTACTTAATACTTTAATTCTTTTCGATGAAATGGCGACCATACAAAGTTATTTTAAGCCAAGTATGAATGAAGATGAGTATAGGGTGAGTGGGATTTAAAATTAAATGGGGCTCCAAAAAAAATGAAAAACTTGTATTATTCTTGTGTAGTGTTGCAATAAGAAGATTCAGTTACTCTACATAATTTTAACCCTCCGAGTGTCACGTGTTTTGGCCTTAATGTCAGCCTATTTTTTGCTCATTTGCAAGATTTTATTAAAACTGATCTGAGAAGCTTAAAAACAATGTTAATTATACTGTTCTATATACCATTTTGTTTGGAAAATCTTGGGCTTCAATATTATATATAAAACATAAGGAAGATTTTTTTTTTAAAAATTTTTTAGGTAAAAAAAAATGTATAATTTCGAAAATAAAAAAAAAAAAATAAGTTTGCGCTCAATGAAATTGTATAAATTATAGGCCTATAAATATTTGAAAATAGCCACTTTGTTCTAAATTTTATGAGGATTACAAATATATACTAATATAAGGAAGTAGATTTGCAAATAAATAAGTTATGGGCAAAAAACAGATTTCAGTACATAGCGTTTAGCTAAGAATGCATAGCCCAACCATAGCTAGGAATCTGGCTGATAATTTACATCAATATCACTACCTACTTCTTCAGGATCATCAACCAGCACTTCAAAACCACTTAAATCTTCTTATAATGCACCACGTATATCACTACTTTTGATTTTTAACACTAAAACAATGATAAATGTAATAAAACACATCAGTCATCGGTCCGAGGGTAACCTAGCTGTTTACAAATACACGCACGTCAGCTCAGTCAGCTGTCTGCTACAATATTTTCGGAACTAAAATGAATAGTGCTTAGAGACAGACCTAGGAGAAAGCTTAGAATATTACGGAAAGAACGATACCTAACTCAATCCAGTACAGTCCGATTCAGTTAGTCATAGAGCCTTCGCCGTAAACAGTGTTCGCGAGTCGCTGTAGCGACGCACGACACTATACAAAGTGCGTTACGCGTCGCTGCAGCGACGCATGACACTCGGAGGGTTAAAGTGTTTCTTGGCTACTAAAATCGACCCCGGGCAATGAAAATAAACCCAGGAGAAGTGAATGTTTATGTTCCTAAAAGTCATAACAATAACTCAGTCTTCTTCATCATGGACTATTTATGTCTGAGGCAACAAAATGTTATCTTTGTACTCTTATTTTGTATAGCTACAAAGTCAAGTTTTGTAAAGATACATTTTGATTAACTCTTCGGAATAACTGACTATCCACTTTGTTTTATGTTCCCCCTCTGCCTGCCCCACTTGTGTTTTTGTGTTCTCATTTCAGACATCAGTTTTACATAAGTTGAACATTAATTTTTCTCACTGAAAATAAGTTTGTTGGCTGACTCTTGTTTTTAGCTCTTCCTGACCCTTCTCCTTCGATTATCTGACCACAGTATTTCATGTTTCCACCTTATCACCCGATAACCTTAAGGATATGAGGGTTATTCTTTGTTGTATTTAGATTTGTATATTATAAAGATAAAAATCTTAGTTAGTTTACATATCCATATTTTAGCTTTATGTCCATCAGCTCAGGGGATACAAACATGGAATTTAATCATATTTTGGTGTAGCAGCTGGCATAGCTCAGTGTGGAGTTGTTTCTTATTAAGTGCTACCCAGTGAACTTTTATCCCAAGTTGAGGATGATGTTAATACTTGTTACTATTGAAATAACTTTACATACCATTTCCATTCACAAGTTCTTGCCTGTAAAAAAAATAAAGAAACATAAAATTAAATGTAACCGAATTAAGCCACTGTCTGAGTGTGTACTGAACTGATGCCAATTAATTACTGATTCCTATAGAATTCGTCATCTCTTTAACCAAACCAAACAGAAATGACCACTGATTGTAAACTATTTCACATTATATACTTTATGTGTACTATCTTATCATAAAAAAACTAATTAGAACTAATTAAAAATTAATTCTCCATTAATGGAGAAAACAAGATTTTCCTGCAGCACACACTGTGCAAGGATCAGTCAACTTCATTTAATTTAAGTAAAAAAAAAACGTGTACAACTAGCTATTATTTGTATAAGATACCCACTTTGGAGTTAAAAAGTGTAGGCTATGCCAAATCTTAAGACAATAATAGGTTTTTTACATACCTCAGTCAAATAGTCCAAAAATGATATTGCCCAACAGCTTACTGTACATGTTTCGTTGTGAAGACAACATTTTCAAAGCTTGCAACTCGTCAAAAACACATTTAAAACACGGACACAAACACAGAAAACATTAATATGGTACGAATACTCAATAAACATTTTAGATAGCGCTATCATAATACTGATTTGGTCCGGCGGGGCGCGGGGCTGGTAGCAGACTCGTAACCGAAAACATTAATCCAAATCTTAACATAGAGTTGTTTACCATTCAACTCCTTCACATTCTAGAATACCTGGCTCTAGTTTAAAGTTATTTGTGCAACTAGTGAGAAAAGTGAGCAATTGACTCACTCGAGAGAAATCCTTACTCACGAGCCGTAGGCGAGTGAGGAATGGTTTCTCGAGTGAGGCAATTGTACTTTGAACTCAAGTTGTACATTATACTTTTCCTACAGTTACCATAAAACAAATAAATTGGTGAAGAAACATAACCTATTTTTACACAGAAGTGAACTTTTAATATAACATTTAATGTGAAGTGACAAGTACAACAGTACAACAGCTGACCAGCTGATTTACAGCCAGTGCTGCCAACGTATTTCACGCGCATACGACGTTGCCTGCATGTTACGCGCTCACTATTTCGTGCCTTCATGTTGCAAATCTGGAGTGAGACAAAGTAATTAGAGTGAGACAATGTTAACATTGTCTCACTGATGAGCGAATTGGCCACTTTGCTTTCTCAAATCAGTGAGAGAACATGTACATTGTTAGGTAACTGTAGGAAAAAATTTATTTATAGGTTTCTTTAGGCTAGACCTAGAGGGTTTTGGCATATCGCATGGTAGCTAAAACCCACAAGTTACCTATTTTGTGAGTTGTCTTTTGTTCTTTATCTTGTTGTATGGTCACTGATACACACATTTCCACAGTTGTGGCATGTTAAAAAAATACACTGATACCGGTATTAAAAATTAGATGTCATTATGTACAGTTGTATGTAAGCACCATTGTTTTTTACTGACAATCAACAACTCGCAGCACAGTAAAGTGGAGTGATTGGCAATTACCAAGACTTCAATCCGAGGGGATCAAAGCCCAGTGCTCTATCACTAGACCTCTTTCCCCAGAAAAATATACAATACAGTACTTGACTCATTGATGTAACTGATACACCTGATTGCTGATTGTTTGTTCCAGTGAGCCGTTGGCGTATGAGGGGGTGGGGACGAGTGGAGAGGGTGAGACCCAATCAGAAAGGAGAGATTCCCCCTCTACACCACCTGCAGGAGCTGTCGTACCTCGGACTCAACCTTACTCCTCAAACTTCCTCAAACAAGACGGGACACTCGACTATGATGGTGAGTACTGGATTTGATACAATCTACAATGTTTTGGTGAGGTTATTTTTGTACTTTAAGGTTTCCACATAACTTACAAGTCAAGGACGGTCAGGGGATTTTAAAGAGTCTTTTAACCTTGGATTTGCCCCCACATATGCCTTGGACCTGTGCTTGAAACGTATCCGGCAAACCAGAAATTTGTAGTGCATTACCCTACTGACTGAGACACCGACCAACCTAAGGGCTACAATACCTAATACGGGCATAACCTAATACAATACATACCTAAATACCTAATACAATACCGGCTACCCAAGGGGTACAATAGGCTAAGATTAGAGTAGGTTAGAGTAAAGGCAAATATGAGAGCAAACGTCCTTAAATAATGTAAAGTCATAGGCCTATAGGCTCTAATTAAACATAAAACATAGAAAGTGTGGTAATCCATTTTAAAGTTTATTTTATTAAACTAAAAAAAAAAAAATGCCTTAAGATTTCTTTCCCACTGTTTGGCCTGAGAAGTTTTATAAGATTTTTCTATTTCAAGAGTTTTGGTTTGATACTGAGTAGTTTGCTTCACTTAAAAAATGAACTTCATATTACCAAATTTTGAGAATGAAGAATGAACTCTTAAATGTATACTATCATTCACTTTTAATCTGACTACCTACATTGATCTGTTTTGTGTTATTTGGGTTCGCTACCCTGTCAACGTCAGATTTTAAAAAGTTGTATTTATTTTTTTTTTTTTTTCACTTTTTGAACAAAATAAGGTTTAGCTAAGACTATACCGGTAGCTCTTTTGTTCCAAATCTTAGGTCCGAATAGATCCGAATCCCTCCTATCACTACTTCTAACATTAGCACACTTATGGATTTAAAAAAGAAAATTGTATAAAAATGTAATCAAGTTATATTTAAATAATGTTGGCTCTTGTCCATGTTTTTTTATATTTAAAGTACCGTATTCTCATCCGTTTCCTTCATCCAAAACAATGGAGATCACAATGCAGTAAGCTGTAGATAACTTTTTGGCACAAACTTTGCGGTTTTTCATGATAGTGCCAAGTGCTTTGTGCGCTGAATGAGAATTTTATGAAATTATTTTTTTAAATTTTTTTATTCAATTAATTACACTACAGAAGTCTATAGTGTTTATATTTAACAACCAATGGAGTTGCAGTTATTGTTTAGTAGTAATTACTGTATTAGTCTGATTTATGTTTTATCTTTTTCAGCCTTATATGAAGATCCGAATGAAACGGACAGTGAGTATTTACCAATAGTTAAGCTGTAGTTGAAATTTATAACCTACTAGTGGCATGTAGGGACATAAGTCCCTAAAAAGCTTAAATATAAAACAAATTATTGTTATATTTAAACAAATTAAGAATAAAATAATCTTTCATGCTGGAGCTCTGACAATTGTAAGTTAATCATTTTTAGATCACTTTAGTGAATGCAGAGTTTATCTAAATTTGTAGATTACTAAAAAATCCATACACACTCTATCAACAGAATTAAAAGAGAATAAAAATGATAATACTTTGTAATCACATGTTTATTGCAAACAAAGCAGAAGTTTTTTAATCACAATGCATTTAAAAGGGAAATATTTTTGCTATTTCTCATTTTCTGGTAGATTTGGACATAACTTAATCTGCTATTTTTCCTGACCCCTGGGACCAAGACCTTTGATTTGAGCCCTCTCCCGTCATCCTGTGGAGCTGTCAAACTCTCACAATTTTGATATTTTTTAATCGGTTACTGAAGATTTTATCATAACTTTTGTTCTTAAATAGCTTATTTCTTTAAAAACTAAATTTCATGGACATAGGCTAGTTTTAATTGTTTCATTTGAATACTTTTCCAAATGTAATAAACTGAAAACTGGTATCCTCATCTATCTAGTTCTAATTCAATTTTTATATTCCTTACTAGCTTATGTACCTGTTCGCACGGGTTAGAGAAGTAAATTGTAGAACTACCATACTGCTCTTAAGTAAGGTCCTATTAAATTGATTAACCGAATATAGAAAAAAAGCTGATAACTCGGTGGTTTGTCATCCTATTTTTAACAAACAAGGTCTCATTTGATTTGGATTCAAATTTCTATCATTTTAATCGTTAAAACAATGTTCCTAATATTTACAGTTTTTATGAAATTTTTCATCAAATATGAGATTAAGATATTGAAACAAAAATGTTTAAGCTCTTTTTACGTTCTAAACTATACCCTTATCCTTATACCAATTTTGAAGTTTCTATCTTAAAAATTGCCTAAGATATAAATAGTTTAAAAAAATCACAAACAGACCGACAGACAGAAATCAAGGTATTTTAGACCCATACTTATATGGCATTTTATGTTTGTTTTATCATCATAATCTAGGCCCAAGGAACACCCTGTATACAAAGGTTTTTTCCACTTGAGACTCTTGAACACTGGCTTTGAAATTCTGATTATCATTTTTTCCACTACCTAATTAAAATGATAATATCTTATATTGAACTATCCGTTTTATTTACCATCCAGGATATAGGAATCTGTAATGTGTGGATGTTTATGATAAAAAATGTAGAAGAAGGTAGGGTAAAAGTTGGATTGCTTCGAAATGTTTTCATAAAAAAAATTTTTTACTATATTTGGCTTAAATAGCAGCAAAATCGTGAAGACAATACAAAATTGCCCTCGGTCACGTCAAAATCGTGAGCAACCCATGCGATCGTGGTGAAATTGTGAACATCTCCCGCAACGGTAGAGGATTCACGAGCGCCTCCAGCTTTCACTGAGAAAATAGTGAACTTCTTTCGCAGTTGCAGAGACATCTTCTATGTATCCATATACCCTGTTATGTCGCAGGCACCAAATCATTATCTCTCACGGTTGTGACAAGATTATGGAAATTTTTTGTGATCATGGAGGATCATTTATGGTGGAATAGTGAAGATGTTGCAGGAATGCGGGGATATTTTTATCATCTCCTGCAATTGCGTCAAAATTGTTAATATGAAACAAAACACGAAAACTAACTAAATCGTCCTCGGGAACGACAAACTTGTGAACCTCTTGTGTGGTTGTGGTGAAATTTTGGACCTTCCACATCTCCTACGATCACAACAAAATCATTGCAGAAAAATCATGATTTTCTGATCTACCCAGACGCTGTCTGCGGTCACGAGGATAAAAGCTAGGCTCAAAAATCGAACCCCCTTACAAATTATCGGTGAAATATACTTTTTTTAAGCAAAAATTTCCTCCAGATAATTCCCCCTCCCAGACAGAACCCCCGGCAACCGTTCTGTCTGCCGTTTAGGGAAATACGACCGTGCAATTAAGGGGGTTTAAGGAGTCTTACCGTATATTCTATTGAACACAGTCAGATTCTAAATCCCAAAACACCAGAAAAACAGTTTTACTGTTTTTTTTTTTTTTACTTTTTGATTGAAAATAACAACCTTTTTCAACTCCTCTGTACTCTATGTTTTTTTTTTCAGGTCAAAATGGAATAATTATCTACCAATCCAATTAGGTTAGGCTATTTTAGGTTGGGTTGGGTTAAGGTATGTTAGTTTAGGTTAGAAAAGAAGCATAACCTAAACCTTAGATTGTGTATTGATTGCTACATGCACCTTTTATAGTGGTAGTGAATTAATGAAAAAGGTCCAAAAATGCCAACAAGAATCTCTCAAATGTCAGTCATATTATAGAACGATTTGAATGATCGCATTTTATGTTTTCCCCAGTATCAATGGAGAGCCAGGGGTCCGTGGTGACACATTTACTGAGTCAAGTCAAGATAGGTATGGACCTTACCAAGGTAGTGTTGCCAACCTTCATACTAGAGAGGAGATCGTTACTAGAAATGTACGCAGACTACTTCGCCCACCCGGATATGTTTGTAGGGTGAGTTTTAGTTTGAAATTCTTTTTCCTTCTACCCACACAGTAATATCTTCCTGTTGATAATGTCATTTTGTCGCTTTTGTCAAAAATGAAACCTTTTGGTTTTTACATACTATAAACATTAGGCTTTTGTTTTTATCAGTATTTTAGAGCCATAATCACCTGTCCTTTTTCAGATTCATACAGACCACATATAAAACCAATACAATACAATTTAATTAAGCCTATAGATTAATACTGAAGTCTGAAGTCTCCCCCCTGGACCAATTTATAAAATTTGTTTTTTGATCGTTAAAATATTTAGAAAACAATGTAAAAACTGGTTTTTAAGTGAGACTTTTTATTCATTGAATGAATATTAAAAAGAAAAATTAGAAAGTATCAATGTGAAACTCTTTGTTTAGTTTTGAAAACAATTATTTAGCTCTATTATGATTATGTGGACAATGTCCTGTAATTTATGATGTAATGACGTTCTGTAAACATTTAAAAATGTGAAACAGGCTCCCAGAAACTTTCTGCACCACCCAGCCTGATTAAAATAAAATAGTTTTGTTGCAGTTGGTACTATAACCCTTTTGAGGAGCCCTTGTCAAAAGTCTGTAGCTTATGACAAATGTTTCTCCTGAATGGTATAGAGTCCAAGCTGAAACAAGAAACACAAAACTTTACACTGTACACAAAACATTAGAATATTTCACCCCTACTTGGATGACTACCATTAGGCCTAAAGACAACTCATACTTTCCTAAGTTGAAAATCCTGTTAGTAACAGTGAAATATTCTAATTTTTCTGTACAATATTAAGATGTGTGTTCCAAGCCAGTTTTAACTTATTGCCATTCAGGTAAACCTGCTATCCTTACAAAAAAATCCTTAAACTAGGCCTTTGTGCTACATAACCTCAAAGTGTATAACTTAGTTTACCACCCTTGACCACAAAGGGTGTTAATCGTTGTAAGTTGAAATGTGCAAACTAAGGATTGTGATGTGTTGTAGGATTGCAGACCTAGATTCGGAGAGAGATAGGATGGTCCAGGTAGTGAGATGGTATCTAGCCTCCTACCACGCGGGCCGCAAGTCTTCAGTAGCCAAGAAACCATACAACCCAGTACTGGGTGAGGTGTTTCAGGTCAGTCTGCTTACAATTCAACCCTTTAAACTCCACAATTTGTTTAGTAATATAGGCATACTTTAGAACTAGACATTCCATCTCCATTTTATAGTTGTCGCTAGTTTTTGAATCATAATGCAGCTGGTTTAATTGAGCAACCTGCAGAGAGTGTTGTAGATTAATGTCTGTTGATTTTACCGACATTAACCAAGTCATAGAAATAGGACGCTTATCGTAAACTATAATTGATTCAGTCTATCTTGGACTCCGGCCAGAGATGAAACACCCAAGAATTCAATTGTAGCATCATTCCTTTCGATTTAACAATCTCACATTTTAATAACAAATACCAAGGCAAAAAATGTAATTTAAGACTAAAGCATATTTTGTCGTGAGTAATGACTGAGAACTATGATACAACACCTTAGACCCAGCAGTCTACGGTAGTAAAAACACTGTAAAAAAACAACCCAAAAGTAGTTGTAAAATTGACTATGACGTTACAGCACGTGTTTGATGCACCTTTCAGCCGGGTTTGTTGAGTTATACAGGGTGTTCATTTGAAAACTTTCCATATCTGTTGTGTGCAAAGGTAAGGCTTTTAACATTTGTTTGTTCTCATTTCCCCCTAATTTGGACATGCCAAATCCAATAAAATTATTTTAAATTTTGAAAAATGCCCCAAAAGGGCCCAATTCGGGGGGTAGGGGTGCTTTTTGAGAAATTTTCAAATGTAAACATGGGTTGTGTGATACATCAATTTAAAGGTCTAATCACCCCAATCATTTTGGTGCAAAAAAAGTTTAATTATCTTTAACCGTATTTACAGGGTGGGTCAAAACGTTTTAAAAAAGGACTTTGAAGTTAAGTACCGTATTACCCTAACTACTGAACGGAACAGCGCTGAATTTCTTTCCAAGCTTATTCTTGAGCTACCCTTTAAGATAACTTGTAGTAAGGGCATTTTCCAAGTTATTTTCTAATTTTAAAAAAATCCCAAATTTTAAGAATAAAAGAAAGCTGAAAACTCAAAATTCCTAAATAGCAAGGTATAACAAATTTCATACCACGTGAAAGGTCCTTTTTTAACAAACATTTTACGTATTTAAGTTTTCTTTCTATCTCTTACCGTTTAAAAATTGCAGTAGAAAAACATAATTTTCTATGGTAAAATTGAAACTAGTTTTCTAATAAAACACATTGCACTTTGTTCAACGATGTAGTAGGATTCATAACAAATTGATCGACTACTTTTACGTGTGTCAGAATTCATCTTGGACCCCTCATCCTGTTCTTTTCTCATTGGTAACTGGTCCAGTTTCAGAAAACTTCCTAACTAAATCATTTACAGCCTAAATCATACATATGACTCAAGGTCTTACCTGGATATCTATTGTTAAACACTTTGCAGTTATCCTGGAACACTTGTGTTATGACCAATAAGTAAAATAAAGTCTATTTTTTTTAAGTTTACACCATATTTGATTAGGTACGACAGGAAATGGTACTTTTGAAATTAATACTACCATTGACTGGTACTACAGAAAGCGGCCCATGCTTGGGTTTTTCTCATCAGCTATAAAACTTGTTTTTCACAAAGTAAAACGTAATGACTTGTTTGCCTATCTGCCTAAAAATAATTATGAATTGTTTCCTTCAGTTATTGCACCATTTAATGTGTCTATTGACAAATTTTGGCTGTTTTATTAGAAAACTAGTTACAATTTTACCATAGAAAATTATGTTTTTCTACTGCAATTTTTAAACGGTAAGAGATAGAAAGAAAACTTAAATACGTAAAATGTTTGTTAAAAAAGGACCTTTCACGTGGTATGAAATTTGTTATACCTTGCTATTTAAGAATTTTGAGTTTTCAGCTTTCTTTTATTCTTAAAATTTAGGATTTTTTAAAAATTAGAAAATAACTTGGAAAATGCCCTTACTACAAGTTATCTTAAAGAGTAGCTCAAGAATAAGCTTGGAAAGAAATTTGGCGCTGTTCCGTTCAGTCGTTAGTATAATACGGTACTTAACTTCAAAGTCCTTTTTTAAAACGTTTTGACCCACCCTGTAAATACGGTTAAAGATAATTAAACTTTTTTTGCACCAAAATGATCGGGGTGATTAGACTTTTAAATTGACGTATCACACAACCCATGTTTACATTTGAAAATTTCTCATAAAGCACCCCTACCCCCCAAATTGGGCCCTTTTGGGGCATTTTTCAAAATTGAAAATAATTTTATTGGATTTGGCATGTCCAAATTAGGGGTAAATGAGAACAAACAAGTGTTAAAAGCCTTACCTTTGCACACAACAGATATGGAAAGTTTTCAAATGAACACCCTGTATACTAAACTAAAGCCATTGATTTTTTAATACTAAAATAGATATCCCATCTTCATTGACTAGCTGTAGCAAATCTTTTATTAAAATAGAACATAGTTCAATGAGTCAAAGTTTGGTTTTCTCCTTTAGTTTATGATTGTATAATATTTCATGTGACATCTAATGAGCCATAGTTTACAATAAAATGGTTATGAAAACTCTAGATCTATCCTAGTCAAAGGCTATATTCATGTAAATAGATGAAAATGGATATTTGGTTATGTCACTCGGTTGAGCTCAAAGTGTTAAACAAGTTGTGCTGTGATTGCAGTGTTACTGGGATTTGCCCGAGACACCTCCAGAGTCTCATGAACCCATGGTGGAAGACGGACCTATCCCTTGGTGTCGCAGGGATCAACTCACATTTGTAGCGGAACAAGTCTCTCATCATCCCCCAAGTAAGGGGTTTTCTCTGCCTATACTAGAGAAAGTTAATTCAGTCAAATCATTTATTGACAAAAACACATGAATTGTTTACAGTATCTGATGTCTTGTAAATTTATGTCTAACGGTACTAACTTTGTTTCAAACATTTTAACTTTAACATGACTAATACATAACCAACAACCACCACAATCTACTGACATGGTTTCCCGAATTTTGAATACAATCAACACGCAAAATACAATACAAATACATAACAAACACCCAATGAGGTGCTTGCTAAAATCTATGGGATGGAATTATAATCCTTATCCACTACTTTCTTGATTCGGATGGTAAAGTTTGTTTTAGAGTATATTTTGTCAAATTCGGGTGACCTGTGTATAGGATAACTGAAGAGGTTTCTTCTAGCTTTGTATTACCTACCAAACCATTAAACCTTTCTTATTTTCATGGACATAATTTAAAACTTCATAAATAGCAGCTACTTGGAAAAGTTAGTTTTTGATTTTTTATGTTACAGGAAGCTCAAAAGTTTCGGTTTATTTTGAATCACCCTCCATTTTACTCCGTTCTACTCACCTAGCATGCATATCCAGCTTAAATTACACACTGTAGTATGAGTTGCTGTTTTAATAGGTGGTTGCGTGTCAGATCCTAATAACTAAGTTCATTTGAATCCTTTTCCTACTTGTATATAAAGGACCAGTTAGGTTATTTTGTATTATTTTATTTCCAATTGTGGATTGGGGTGCAACAGGGTGTATTTTGTAACCCAAATATGAGTGAAGAATGAGTGTAGAATAGAGAGATGCCTTGGGTAGCTTTTTTGCTAACTAAGATCAGTTTCTTTAGGCAGAACTATTTATTAAGAGCTCAATGCTGGGCCCAGTTGCACAAACCCTAAAAAAACAATTCTCAGGGTGTATTAGGTGACATTTTTAGTGTAACGAGCACTATGACTACTCAGTTTTATCGCTATATTTATCCTACCCAACTACATGTACTTTGTCGGTTGCAGTTTCGGCCTTCTACGCAGAACATTACAACAAAGGTATCAGCTGTCAGGCCTATGTCTGGACCAGGTCCAAGTTCCTCGGTCTGTCTATCGGTGTCCACAACATTGGTAGAGGGATGGTCAATGTAATGAAGTACAACGAGCAGTACACATGTAACTTTCCCAACGGCTACGGAAGGTAATTGAATTAACGTTATATTTGTTGACTTCAAATCTATGCCAAGATTTTATAGTAGAAATATTTAAGTAGTTTGGAGAACCTTGGTCTTCGGGGGATGCTCATGTCAAACTGACAAAAATTCCGGTCAAGGTTTTGGAAATACTTCTTGTTCTTCTTTTTAATTTGGAGAAGATAGTTGTTTACTAATCTGCTTCCAAACAGTAATCACTTCAGTTAGATAATGTTGAAGTTACTGATGCAACAAAAGAGATTCTGGAAGCGTAATAAAAATCATGTTTTACAGATAAAGCCGCCTTTACACCGAAGTTAGAAACACGTGTTTACAACTAATGTTTTTAAAAAACCAAGAAACACTACTTTTAAAACAGAAACATTTTGATGTTGGAAACAGTTTTTTAGTGTTAAACAGAAATTTTGTTTCCCACCTGAAGTCCGTAAAGATCAAAGGGTGTTGCGCCTACCCACCACCACGTGACTATCTCGTGACCTTGTGTTCTCGAGAACAGTGATTAAATTATTTCCAACAAAATTAAAAGAATAGTGAACTATCTATTGAAAACTTTTGTTTTAGAAACAAGTGTTACCAACAAAAAGTTCTAAACTCCGGTGTAAACGCGGCTTAACGGTCATCAAAGAATATGGCAAGGCACAAAAAAGACGTAGGCCTACTGCTGATAAGAAAACCTCTATAGCAGGTAATATCTGTGTCTTATATAAGAGCGAATGGATGAGGCTTATTAGAAGACCCGGGAAACTACAACTGCTAAATTGACGAGACAAATAAAACAGTAATTTAGGTTAGTAAGTTTGTATTTCATTAATAAATCAACTAAGTGAGTTTGAACCTTGGGATGTTTCAGATCCATTCTGACAGTGCCATGGATAGAGCTGGGTGGTTCTGTGGCAATAGACTGCGAGAAGACCGGTTACCATGCCAACATAGAGTTCCTCACTAAACCGTTCTATGGTGGCAAGAAACATCGTGTTACCGCAGACGTATATGCGCCTAACGAGAAGAAGCCATTCCTTACCATCGCCGGAGAATGGAACGGCATCATGGACGCCAAGTGGTCTGACGGGGTACGTTGTTTATGTACATTAATGCAGTATTGGATAATAATAACTAATAAGTTTGTATACATTAGAAATCAATCTATCTAATGCTAGAACTTACCAATATAAAATTTAAAAATACTTTTTATGTCCAACATTCACATCCTAGAATGCTAGGGTCTAAACCAGGACTGTTTTATACATTACTTCAAGCTAGGCCTTGAGGGTTATGGTATTATCATTTGGATATAATTCATTGGTGATTGAGGACCAAAGTCCCGCGACACCAGCTCGCCCCCTTCCCACAACGCTTTCCCCATAAACATACCAGGGTGTCTAGTAGTCGGGAAAATCGGGAAAGTCGGGAATTAGTATTGAATTTCAAAATGGTCTTGAAAAGTCGGGATTTAGTCTTAAATTTTATTTCAAAGTCGGGAATTTTCATGATTTTGCCGCGATCGTCGTCTTGCGTTTACGTAACCGCGAAAGCCGATGATGATGTCTACACGGCTTCGGGAAATGTTCACGATTTTGCCGCGATAGTGGACGACGACGATGACGTTTCCGTGACCGCGGGAGATGACGATGACGTTTCCGTGACCGCGGGAGACAACGATGACGTTTCCGTGACCACGGGAGACGACGATGATATCTGCTCGGCCGCGGGAATTGTTCATGATGTTATCGCGGTCGCGAACGACGACGATTACGTTTCCGTGACCGCTGGGGACGACGATAACGTTTCCGTGACCGCTGGGGACGACGATAACGTTTCCGTGACCGCTGGGGACGACGATAACGTTACCGTGACCGCGGGAGACGACGATAACGTTTCCGTGACCACGAGAGTCAACGATGACGTTTCCGCGACCGCAGGAGATGACGATGACGTTTCCGTGACCGCGGGAGACGACGATGACGATTCCGTGGCCGTGGGAGTCAATGATGATGTCTACACGGCCGCAAGGAATTTTCATTATTTTGTCGCTATCGCGGACGACGGTGATGACGTTTCCGTGACCGCGGGAGATGACGATGACGTTTCTGTGACCACGGGAGACGACGATGATGTCTACACAGGCGCGGAAAATGTTCATGATTTTGCCGTGATCGCGGACGATGACGATAACGTTTCCGTGACCACGAGAGATGACGGTGATGTCTAAACAGCCGCAGGAAATGTTCATGATTTGGCCGCGATCTCGGACGACGACGATGACGTTTCCGTGACCGCGGGAGATGACGATGACGTTTCCGTGACCGCGGGAGACGACGATGACCTTTCCGTGACCGCAGGAGACGACGATGATATCTGCTTGGCCGCGGGAATTGTTCATGATTTTGTCGCGATCGCGGACGACGACTATTACGTTTCCTTGACCGCGGGAGATGACGATGACGTTTCCGTGACCACGGGAAATGTCGATGACGTTTCCGTGACCGTGGGAGATGACGATGACGTTTCCGTGACCGCGGGAGATGACGATGATGTTTCCGTGACCACGGGAGATGACGATGACGTTTCCGTGACCGCGGGAGACGACGATGACGTTTCCGTGACCGCGGGAGACGACGATGACGTTTCCGTGACCGCGGGAGATGACAATGATGTCATTGATGTCTACAAGGCCGCGGGAAATATTCATGATTTTGCCGTGATCGCGGACGACGACGATCACGTTTCTGTAACCGCTGCAGTCAATGATGATGTCTAAACGTACGGTTCGTGGAAGATTTCATGATAAAAAAAACCAAATTTGCTAGTTAGAATTTTTTATTGCTGCATTATTTCTTTACTTGAAAACACGACATTATCATAATACTACTTTATGACAAAGACAGGGGTTGGTGTAGTATTATTTAGAAAATTTGGTTAAGCTATAAAAATTGGTATCAGTATCAAGAATTGAGAATCGATACGTTTTGGTATCAACACCCACTAATTGTTGAAAAACTAGTCTTGAAAAATTTGGAATTAGTCTTGAAAAGTCTGGAATTAGTCTTGAATTTTATAGTGGAAATAAACTAGACACCCTGACATACACTAAATCACAATTTAAATGTTATAATGTGAACTTATTTTTTATGTCTTTTCAATGTAGTGCTGAGCACAATTTTTTTCATTTACAAGTCAGGGGGAAAATATTTAAAAAAAGATATACCTAATTCAACTATGTGAAAATTAAATTGATAAACCAGTATATATAAAAAACCTGTTCTTGTTCCCACTAATGATGGTTCTACTTTGATTTACAGAGGTCAGAACAGTTCATCAACGTAGACAGATTACCAATAATAAAGAAAATAGTCCGTCCAGTCGAGCACCAACGGGACAATGAGTCTCGGAGGTTGTGGAAAGAAGTCACGGCTGGTCTCAGGTGAAGTTTTATTTTTGTACTTTTATTGATTTCATCAAATCCTAGGACAGAGGCTCTGGCTTGTAACTGTTTTACATATTACTTCAGGCTAGGCCTAGACGGTTGTGGCATTATCACTTAAATAAAATACATTGTATCTGGTAGATCAAATAAACAATTAAATTAAAACTATAATACTGTTCATTGGCCAAGTACACTATCACATGGTTTTATTGCGGACTGTGTTAGACCATCAAGTGTCGGATTATTGAGCACTACCATCTAAAACTCTTGTCTATTTTTACTTATTTATTTTTTAAAGAAGTTGGTCGACTCTTTTATTCTTGTCTTGCCTGTCCAATCCTCAGACGAGACTGGGGTGTGAAATGTAACTAGCAAAGCAAGGGTTGAACCGGTACAGTTGAAGAATGAACTGATAAATATATTGGGGCCACTGGAACAGTGCTGTTTTATCCTACCAAATATCCAGTGATGTTAGGCTTTAGCCCAGAACCGTTTTCATTACTTCAGGTTAGACTTAGGGGGGTCACAGCATAATTAATTAGATAAATTCCATTGGTGATTGGTGGGAATTGAACCCTAGATTTGTGGGGCTGAAGTCCCCTTCTCTACAACTAGACCAGATCGATTCCTGACCTTGGATTTGTAGTATGTCACCATGGGTGTCAATCAATATGGGGAAAAGGGGGCTCGAGCCTCCTCTATAAGACCCCACTAGGGTGATCATACAGACTGAGTATTCCGGTAAGTTTGCGTAAATCTTTTGAATCTGGAACTATGCGGGAATTTCAAAATTGCGCTGGGAAAACCTGTTTTACTCTGCAGTCACGATTAAATTGTGATCGTCATTTGTGGTCATGGCGAAATGGTTAACATTTTCCAAAGTCATGGTGAAATCACAAGCCTCTTCCGCGGTTAGGTAATATCGAGAACATTCACGGTCTTGGCAAAACTATAGACATTTTCTGCATCTTCGTAAACGCCTCCTCCCTCCTATAGAAAAGTCAGATGGCGTCCATGTCAGTGGCCAAATGTGCCATTTACTCAATCTTCCTGCTATGGCTGTTTGGTTTCACATTGTTGAAAGTAAATAAGTCAACAAAAGTATTTACTGTTGTGTTTTGCAGGTTAAACAATGTAGCTCATGCAACCAATGCCAAAGGAGAAATTGAACAGAGACAGAGGATAGAGGCCCAGAGAAGAAAAGAGGCCGGCGTAATGTGGCAGACAAAGGTAATTAATGCTGTTTATCAAAATTATTTGTGATTTTTCCAATTTATCCTCTAGTTTCTAGGTACGTTATCGTGAGGGTTGATCCTAAATAAAGATTTCTCTAGAGCTCCCATCGCAGCTAAGTGGGCTACTTCAAATCTGAGACCAAAGCCGTATTCCTTACTTTATTCACTACTTAGACAATTGGGCTAAGACCGTTATTTAACAGTAGACGATTGAATATTAGCTTTCAAATGAGTAGTTGGATAATGGCTACTGCTACCACTTCGGCTTATACTATTCATGCTTTGCCACTAGATAATACTAAAACATTTATTTTTATTTATTATTTGTAACTATGCTTATGTATTTTATCATAAAGACTCAACCCTCTTATGTAAATTTAACTCATTCACTACCGAGTGTCTGGAGACTCTACATACAGTGGAGGCTGGAGTGTGACAGCTGGTATAGTGAACCTATTATTAACACATTCACTACCAGGTCACCTCATACAAGGCCCCTCATACCTGATTGTGATTGCTGATAAGCAACAAGTTAAAACACCACTTTTCAAAGCCATGAGAAATGTAAAATACAACACAAGGGCCTTGGTTTTGAGCATTTTGTGAGGGTAGCAGGCTCATGTGAATGTGAAAGAGTCTAATCTGGCTGAAAAAAACACAAAACTTTATTACACTATACACAAAACATTAGAATATTTCACTGTCACTGACAGCATTTTCAGCTAAGGAGAGCATAAGTTTAAGAGAGAGAGTTAGTTGTCTTCAGGCTTAATTGTCGGAGTTTGGGTGGACAGCAATAGTTTCCTATGGATTTTTATCCCCAGTTCATGTTCATTATGGTACAAAAAGATTCAACTTACTGCTCGGTATGAGATCAAAAACTTGCACTTGTGCTTGTCCTGAAGCTCTTTTATTTCTGTTGAGTTTCCAGACCTCTGCTTGTATGTTCCAGCTGTTCAGTCCAGGGGAAGGAGACGAGTGGCTCTACAACAGTCCTCTAGAGAAGCGAGTCAACCCCAGACGATAGTTTCCGCTCGTCTGTCGCGCCAGTACCTGAACGGCCCAAGGCCATTGTCGAGAGGCTTTCCGAGCTAAATTGCTACGTTGTTATCTTAAGCTATTTCGAACCAATAAGAGGGAAACAATATACACCTTGGTATTTATACAGATTCGGCACAATTTTTGAAAATTATTTACCGGTTAATCGATTGATTTTTAAGTGAATAAAATTTGTTTCCACAAGTAACTATATTTTTGTATTTGTTTCTGACACTACCCCGGTATCGTAGTTTGATAGACAATCGCTTACCTTTAGCTTTACTACATAGTCTGTTGATTAGTCTACATGAGTCTATTTTTTGCACACGTTATTGTAGATAAAACTCGGAATTTGTGAAAGTTGTAAAGTTTATTGTCCAAACGCTGTTTTGTATGAAATATTGTATAGTAAATTTAAGTTGTAAGTTCAATATCGACTCAAGTATTTTATACTGTTAAAGCTCTTGGCTTGTGTGAATCCACCCGTTACGACGAATTATCGAGACTGTTTTATTAGTATTTTCTAATGACCCTCGCTTTAAAACTGTTCTTTTTGTACTAGCTTATATCAATATAAAGTTTTCATTTCTTTTCCAACGGAAGTAGAATTAAACCTAAATCTGCATGAAAGGTAGTCAGTAGACATAAACAACATATTTTACCAACTGAAAATATGCCAATGCTTTTGTACATTCCTTGTTTTCTATATTGTTTTCCTTTAAAGGGGCTTGATGGACTTTTGAAGTGTCAAGTCATGTATCATAACATTGTTAAATTTGTATTTTAACCAGCTGCGTCTTGTGTGATGTAGATCATTACATCATGGAAGCCATCAGAAATAGACCAGATTTGTGATTACAACTATTATTATTACTTTGTTAAATCGGTGCACCAGACATCTGAGTTTTTGCATCTGTGCTTGTTTTTAATACAAAGTATTTCTGTGTTTTGTACCTTTGAAGTAATAAAGAGCTTATAATTTAAGCTGCTTGTAAATAAATTTATAATGAAAATTAAAATATTAATATATTAAAGTCTTGCCAAAAGATTATGGTTGTTGTTACTTTACTTGGATACCATTAAATCTCCCCTACAGATCAAAAGATCTATGGTTGTTTTGAGTATGTGAAATAAGTAGGTATATGAGAAAAACTGTAACCCAGCAGGCAAATAATATTTATTTAAAATAGAAATACCTAGAAATATCTTTCTACTGGATTTGTAAAAAAACTTGTTCCTCCTTACTTTAGGCTGACAGTGTTAGATAAAAAAAATGAGTTCTCTCCCTAACTGTTAAGCCTACAATATTTTAGATTAGTACTTGAAAATGCATTTTTCTGTACTTTAACACCAATTGTAGTCCACAGACACAGTTTCAATAGACATTTACTCAAGGTAATATACATGCCTACGCCTAACCTTTCAAGTTGTAAGATATCCAGGACATGCCAATTTTTCAAATAGAAAAGCTTTTTTAATTTCTTTATTTTAACCCAATTACCGTCTTCACTAAAAATACTGTAAAATTAATTAAAGCTATGTTAAATTTTTATTTTTGTATTTTGTTATGAGTTATACAAGGATTGAGGTTTACCTCTCAACCATCCTTTGATGAACCTGTTCCTGGTTGATGTTCATTGTTTTCCGCGGCTACATGAGACATTAATGATTCCACCGTGAATAGAGGGAGACGAAGATGATGTTTCTAGGATTGGGCAAGATGTTCACTATTTTCTACAGGACATATTCATGATTTCGCCGTGATCACAGAAGACGAAGATGATGTCGATCGTGAATGATGTTCACCATTTTGCTGTGAGCGTAGAAGATGTTACGCTTTTACTGTGACCGCAGAAAACCTTTACAATTTGGCCGCAATTTCAGATATACTATAAACCAATCATAGTAGGGTATATCAATTAATAAATTTTTAACTAATTATTTCCAAAACTACCCAATTTTGATCCGATGCCCCAAGGTCAACATATTTCTGTAGCCCGAGAGAAATAAAAAATGTCTGCCCCAACCTAAGAACCGTCGGGGGCCTCATCGATTCTAAATACAGCCCTGGTTTGATTCTCAGCTTTTTTATACACTTTATAAGATATTTGATAATCTTAAATCAAATATCTCCTTTAACACTTGGTTTTATAAGCTGATTATATTATTAAGAACTGGAGTTATAACCAAGATAAATGAGATCAATATATTCACAGGTAATAAAAAGGCCCTCCTGTTATACAGGGTGTATATAAAGTCCCGCACGGGCTTAATATTTTCTAAACGACAACAGATAAATCAATAAGATTTGGTACATCAACACCACACCTATAAAAATCTACTTTTTTCAAGGAACTGAATTTTCTGTCATATAATGGGGACGTCCCGCAAGGAGTCAGAAAGAAATCTTAAATAGGAGCATAGGTCAATATGCACATCAAATGAAAGGTCTTTTTTAGTAGAATACAATGAGACTAGTTAGAGGGGTGTACGTCAGGATTGTTGTGCCGGTTGTTTGAGTTGAAAGGAGGAACTACAAGATAAATAAAGTTTTTGTTTTTTGCAATTTTGGTGTGTCCATGACCGTACGTAGTCATTTGATGAAGTAGACATGGTGTTAATTTTTGTTTATAAGATATTGCAATTGTTAGATTAACCTAGAAGTCTACTTTGTATCCTCGAACATGAGGTGCAGGGCTACCGCCAGAACAGAGCCAAATAACACGTAATGTCACGACCAAAGTTTCACGACCATCGCGGGTTTTTTTCACGACCAATCCAGCCTTATGGATTGTACTGTGTTTGGTAGTGACAATAACATAAATATCATTGTAAATTGAACAGTTTAGTTCAATTGAAACACATATTTTTATTATAACTAACAGTATATTTATTGAAGGATTGTTTGGAAAGATTTAGATTATTCCAGACAATTCACGACCGTACCGCTTGTACCTGACCATCACGTTTATGATTTTATGATGTTTTTTTATGACGTTTATGACATTAATGGTATGTTACTATGTTACAATCATATACACACAAATAAAACTTAATTAGATTAAATGGAGGCTTACAAAACCAACCACTTGTTTGACAATTTTTCTGTAATTTTACGAGCGCATTTTGACGTTGATTGTTTGCCTCCCTGCAGAGAGCGGAGTTAATCCGGTTGATATATATATTATATTCTAATATACGAGGATATAATAATTCATATCCTAAAAAACCTGGCCACCACCTCAAGTAGCCACCATTCATTATCCCTGGAAGAATGTCCTTTTGTAAGATCTGAATATACATGTACCTGTATGTTTATTTTTGTGCGCATTCTACAACAGTAGTACATTTTTTATTTTGTGTGTGTTTAGTTTGTGTCACCCTATGCATTTCACCAGCTTAATGTAGCCCATTCACTAATTGAGTGAAAATTTTGAAACGTACGTTTTCAGGAAACGCACTTAAAACATATTTTGTTCCGTTTTTTGAAACTTTTATTATTTTTTTTATTTTATTAACATTTGATGTTACATAAAATGTCCATGGTAACGTAATATCTTTGGTGATTTTTTATTAATAGAGCATCTTTGATGGCTATTGGCTAAACACAAACTTTTGTCACGACCATCACGGGCATAAAACTGAATATTAAAAATAGTTAATATTATTTTTATAACTATGTTTTGCTGTAAATTAATTTACTTTTAGCGTCATTATACAATAAACAGCTCACTAAACTTTTGGTATATTCGGTCTTTCTAGGAAAAAAATTGAAAAAAGCCAATAAAATATTTTAAAAGTTTGCATAACTCCGAAAAAAATTACCTAGGACCCAAAAAATCGTTATGTATTTATAGAGGTGTGCTTCTTTTGTGTATAGAACATTAAAATATGATGATATTTTAATTTTTGAAATTTATATACACAACCAAATCATTTTAAAATTTTAATATTATATGTTAACATTAAAAACATAAACATAACTGCAAACAATCCTACTTTGACATAGAACCAACTTTTTTAGTTGAAACAGCTGACTAAATTATTTAATTCCCTGAATATGAATACTCATAAGGTTGGGGAACTACAGAGCCACTGGGTCGGAGCCCGACTGGGTTTTTGAGATAAGAATATGCCTATATGTTATTCGGGAATGTGAGCTATCATCATGCCAAATTTCAGCCCAATCCGTCCAGTGGTTTATGCGTGATTGAACTTCAAACAAACAAACAAACACACACACTTTCACATTTATAATATTTATTAGTAAAGCCCCCCACACACTACCAGACCAGACCTCCAGACCAGACCGTCTGGCTAAGACCAGACCGTCTTGCCCGGCTCTACACATTCCCAGACCAGACATTCCAACATTCGAAAATTCGAACATTCGTAATCGTAAACAAACTAATATTATTAGTAAATCAGCTGATCGCCCAATGCAAATCTAATGGAAATTACAAGTTACAAGTTGTAACTAGTAACTTGTAGCTTATTATGAAATTGGCCCCAGTACGACATCCGTCATGGCACCAGTGTTGTCAAGGTATAAAAAAATTGGTTTAGCTATTTGTGTTTTGATCACTGTGGAAAAACGCCGAAGGAAGAAACGAAAAATATGGTCTAAGCAGTGGCTAAATAATCGAAAAAGGTTCACACACTTAAATCTGCCTCACTCACTCTCACTGCAACAGTGCAACAGGAAGACTGTCGCGACGGTCTGACGTCTGACAGACAGCGCTACACACTCAGTCACAGACCAGACAAAAATAGTGGTGGGGGAACCTCAGACCGTCTGTGGTCTGAGGGTTCAACCATCAGACACGCAGACCGTCTGGTCCGAGAAAATCGGTCTGCAGACAGCCCCACACACGATAAGACAAGTGCCAGACGCCAGACCAGACGGTCTGGTCTGTAGGTCTGGTCTGGTAGTGTGTGGGGGGCTTAAGATTAATTGTAAATGCTTTATGCTAAAAAAATCCACAGCTGATTTGCCTCAAAAGACCATTAAAGAGTTCTTCTTCTTCTTCAACTTCACCGCAGTCGGAATGGGCACACGGAAGGGACTAAGGCTAAAGGTGTAGTGACGTCATATCTCTAGTGGCTAATGTCTTCTCTTGAGGCGACACGATTACCGTAACGAAACGATGTGATTTCAGCGGCGTTCGTGGCATAGTTGGTAACGTTTCGGATTGGTGTTCAGGAGGTCCCGGGTTCGAATCCCGCTGGCAGCACTAACTTTTTGTCAACAAATTTTTCATATCAGCAAGTTTGGTTGGTTAGGTTAGGTTATGACAGTTTAATTTTAGCGAATTTCCCATATAGGGAATAAGCTATTACCGTAGTACTCATGGTAAGACCTGGACGCGGGACCGATTTTTTTTTTCGTTTTGAGGTCCCTAGAGGCCAAAAACACCATCCGTTCAAATTCATATATATATATATATATATATATATATTTATATATTTATATATATATATATATTTATATATATATATATATATATATATATGTGTCCGTCAGCACGATAACTCGAGCAAAAATGATCCGATTTTGATGAAATTTGGTACAAACGTGTAAACCTACGTCTATTCGAACGAGTTCGCGATCCAGCATGATCGGACCATGGGAACAAGTGTTTACGGGGGGTTTTATGGGGTAAAAATAGGTTTTTCCCAATTTTGACCCAAAAAACATAAAATTTAGCAATTAATTTCCAAACCATTTTGTAGAGCTTCAAAAAACAAATAATTTAGTATATTGAAGCGTTATTATGCGCCTAATGGTTACGGAGAAAATTCAAAAAAATTGTAAATTTAAAATTCCCATGTTATTCTTATGGAGAATGAGTAAACTGTTGTAGTTTGCTTGTTTATGAACATATTTTGATCAAATTTGGAAAATGTTTTTATTTCTTACTAACTATTAACATTTTACAAAAAAAAAACAGTTTTACCCTCCCTGATGCAGCAAACCTAAGTACTTGTTAAACTAATTCTATTTAAATCGGGAATAAATGTTATATTTTTAAGTAGACATTTCAGTGTAAATCCAATCAGTCAAATGGAAATTCGCTTAGTCTGCAGGTTTGCTGCGGCGGGGGTATTATAATACTACATTTTAAAATTAATTTTATTTAATTATTAATTAGATTTTTATCTTATATAGTTTTTATATTATCAGCAAGTCTGGTTGGTTAGGTTATGTTATGACAGTTTAATTTTAAAAAATAAAAATTTATTTTATAATTTGAAACAATATTTTATAATTAAAAAGTTAATTTTATAACTAAAAATTAAAAAAAAAAAAAATTATTTCAACTTATCAGTTCCAGCGGTGAACGCTGACACTACAAGATATGTTAGCCTTAGTCCCTCCCGTGTGTCTCACCGCACTTCAGTCAGTCTCCTGTCTCCTCCTCTGAGTCAGTCTCAGTCTCAGCCTCAGTTCAGAGTTCAGTCAGTCAGTGAGTCAGTCAGTCTCGTTTGTTTGTGCTAGCAAGTAGCAAATAAATGCCGATTTAGCCGAAAGTCATTCCAGCTAATTATTGTGCAATAGTGTAATTTATTTCTGGAAACTTGAAGTTGATACTTCTTTTTACTAAATACAAGTTTTAAAGGTAGGCTATGTAAATATAAGTCTTGTCAGGAGCTTTGTTTTTATAAAAAATTAAAAAGCAATGGGGCCTACCTCACTTAGGATTGAAGATTTTTTTACCTCTCATCCATTAAATTATTTTTATTCTTTTGAAAGAACAAAATACATATTAGTTTCCTCTAGACAGGCCATGGTTTTTACAGTTTAGTTTTTTTAGTTACCTTGAGGGTTAACTTATTGTTCAGTTTCCACAACACCTAAAGTTGGGTTTACACTAACTTATGTAACAAAACCTGCTATAGGCTATAACTTTTGCTATATAACATTGTTATATAACATTTGCTATACAAAAAAGTTACAGACAATATTAGTGATTCAGGTGCTCGTGCTATATGCTATGTAGGCTAGCACAACCTCATTCGCATTCCGTATAGAAAATGTCACGCTGAAAAGACCTATTGCTCGCAGCAGCTATAACGGTGATCTAGGAAGTCAGAGGCGGAAGCGAAGGTTTTAGGTTCGACTGCTTCTTGCTTAGAGAAATATGTAGCCTATAGTGTAGCTGGATTTATTACGGGACCTTAATGATGATGATCACGCTGACAATCCATAACTTAATTAAAACTGGAAATAAGGCGATGGTAGCTTCAAAAATGTTTTAGGCTACGTATGACCACAACACAACGCCGGTTGTCCACGGAACAGTTCAGTTAAGTTTATAATACTTAGTATCCCGATCCCACCCACTGTCACTTTCCGGTCCTTCCATTGTAAGCAAAGTTCGCTGAGCAAAAACGTCCGAACCCAGGAGGCTACAACTGTGAACTGATGACATTAAATGCTAAGTACATAGAAGATGCTAGATGAAAAATATTTGTACAGAACATTATGTATAGCAATGTTAAGTAGCACGTATTTCTCTTGATCTTTACCGACTCCCTGTGGATAGCACAATTTTTGCTATAGGCCTATATCTTAGCAGGATCTGCTACATATAACTTAGCAGTATTATTATAGCATTTTTGAAATGTTACTCTTCTTCTAGCAAATTTTATATAACATTGCTAGATGTTACACAAATCTGCTATATAGGCTATAGCAGGTTTTGCTACATAGTGTAAACCCGGCTTCAAACGCACTTAGAAACGTTCTTAAACTGTTCTTTGACATCAATACTAAACCTACTTAAATAACTTTTTTGTCGCCGAGGCTTCCTTTAATAACTACAATCTGTTTTATACCAGCAATAATTCCTACTCACTAGGGTATTTAGGTACTTATTTTTAAGTTATAGCCTATTAACGTCCGCACTAGTGAGTACTACAATATCCGCAGTACTATCCTGATAATTAGACCAATTCGTATATACTAAGGCAAAAATGTGGTTCGGATTCCACTATAAACTGTAGGTCCCTTAGTTGCCATTAGCTGTATGGGCTATTAATTAATAGCTGTGTCTAAGGAATGTCGGCCTTAGTCACTAACAAGACTACAAGATCGCGCCACTCATCCTACACTCATCTCCATTCATACTTGGCTTAAAATACCTACTTTGTATGGTCGCCATTTCATAAGAAAGTATTAAAGTTAAATAGCCTAGATTAATTTTTAAGGCTGTCAATTTTTGTTCATGTTACAAGGCCTAACTCTGGCCTAATATAAATTACACTGTTAACTTAACCCTTTCGCCGTCACAATTTTTAAGTGGTTGCATGCCAAAACCGCCAAGGCAATTTTATGGTCAAGCGCAATGTTTTGATTAACAAGCTCTAAGTAGGCCTATCTCTTGTTTTTTTAGGCATAGAACAAAATTATTTTTTTTGTTAGATTAGGCCTAGTTATAAATTTGTCTTTTAATTAGGGCCTACAATTTATGGGGTTAGATTTTTTTTATATTTCCGTTCATAAGTTATTAAAAACATGTTGTGCAATACCTACACCAGAAAAAAATATTACCTCACACAGAGTTAACTTCAAATTTTACCATTATTTCTCATAATGCTTGAGTATTCCACTCTAAACATCTCATCACAGCAGAATTGGCAAAGCAAAATTAATTTTTTTTAGGAATCGTCTCACCTCGATGAAATGAACACTTTGTCTGTTGGGATTGGAGGCATTTCGCTTGTTCTTGCTTTGATCTATTACCAATTTTTTTCTGTGAGTACATTTTATATCAGCTAGGTAAACCATTTGTAACTGTGCTGTAAACTATTGTGATGATATGTCGATATGTCCATCCTGTAATAAGTTAGTTAGCCCATTAACGACTCTACATTCTCTCAACTGTTTCTAGACCCTTGACCAATAAATGAAAAAAATGTTTGTTTATAACTTTATAGCATAAATTTGTAATTTCCTGCAAAATAACAATTATGTTGGTTACCTGCCACTTGATAAATTATTTTAACAAGGAATATTTTCTGGCAGGTTCAGTTGGTGAATGATGGTTTCTCTCGTATGTAGTTGGCGGTTTCAAAAAGTTGCGGTTCCATTGTGTAGTTTAGGTTTGGCAACTGTAAAAGCAGTAAGTTTAGTTCCATTTAGAGTTTATTTTTTTATTTTTATTAGCCTTATGATTTTCTTAAGAGGCTATAGACATGTTTGTTTTTGTTGCATGAATAAAGTAGTAGTGTCAAAGCTTAGATCGAAAACCTCTTAAATAGGCCTACGAATTCTAAATATTAATGTAGGAAGAAATCTAGGACTATAATATTGTGAGCTTTTGTTTTAAGCCTGGTTTACACGGATCGAGTACGGCAGGCGAGTCAGTGTGCGAGTTGCCAATCGCTTTCTAATTCACTTGGTGTACCTACACATGCAGTTGAACAGTTGGCCCTGTGTTGCATTGTCTTGCTGTTCGTAAATCTACTCTTTATAAGATCCAGTTTTTAAAATTGGTCTATTTCCTCACCATTTAAAAGTTATTTGCCAAAAAAGCTTTTAAGCAACCTCTGAATTTAAGTGGTGATTAAGTTTTAATTCTAATAATCTAATTAAGTGATTTAATCAAATTACTGTATAAATTCAGCATTAAACTCTTGAAGTGGTATTTTAAACTCAAACAACATTTAACACAAAAGTTATGGTACCTATACGGAATACCCTACACCACAGAGAAATAATAAAAATTACTTCTCTGTGCCTACACTGTCTCTGTTTGAAATAGAGATGCGTGTGGACAGTCTAGTCAAGTACCGGGCGAGTTGAACAAACCAATAACTGGGCCTAGTAACTAGGCCGAATAACTCGTCTGACATACTCGACCCGTGTAAACCAGGCTTCAGTCATCTTTCGGGTATAGGACTAGTTAAATAGTCGCTGGCAGGTGCATTGGGTCATTTAACTTGGTTTTGGGTAGGCCTTCTTGATTAAATATGTAGCTAACAATAATGACTGTAAAATGCATAATTTACAAACTAATCATTTAGGCCTACTACTATTGACTCTAAAATTTCTCTCTTGTCGTGGTTCTAAAGGAGCTATAACCTATTAAAATGTGTAAGAGGCATGTAATTTTGATCATTGAGTACACACGTAGTTGACATTTTCTTATGATATAACTGTACAACAAAGCTTCACAAAACTTACAAACAAAGCTAAGGGGTCCTTAAATTGGCATTGGATATAGGTATATATATTTGGCCTAGGTATTCCAGGGAATAATGTTTACCAGAATTCCTTTTGCAAATTAATAATAAACACCCAGGTAGCGTGTCTTGAATTTTTTGTCAGTGTGGTAGCTATTAACCACCTTTTATACATTATGTTTACTGTCCTGTGAGTTAACAAATGTAAAATATATATTTCAAGTGTTGTTAGATATCATTTTGTATTTTTATTTACTTTCTGTAATTTTTACTATGCATTGCAACCATCCAAATTAAAACTGTAATCTTATCTGTGGTATTAGATTAGATTGAGTTTGTAAGTGAAATATTCCTTTTCATTTGAACCTAAAATTAGGTATGTTAATGGATTTTATAATTTGTTGCTTAAAAAAAAATAATAGGGTTGAATAACTAGATGTTAAATATGAAGTTCAATCCATAGATGATATTGTAGTGTAGTTTCAAAAGATCAATAAACCTGAAAGTTTTATTAAGCTGTTTCATGAATAAGCCAAAAGTCCTAGCTTACTCGTACTGGAGTGAAAATTTAAAAACGTACGTTTTCAGGAAAAGCACTTTGCAAATTTTTTCTCCCTTTTTTCAAAACTTTTATTATTTTTGTTATTTCATTAACATTTTAAGTTTCATAAAATGTCCATGGTAACGCAATATCTTTGGTAGTTTTTTTTTAAAAGAGCATCTTTAGTGGAAAAACACAAAATCCTGTCACGACCATAACAGACGTTTAAATGAATATTAAAAATAGTTAATATTAGCCTATTTTTATAACTATGTTTTGCTATAAACTAATTTACTTTTATGACCATTATACAATAAAAAGGTCACTGAGCTTTTGGTATATTTGGTCTTTCTAGAAAAAAATTAAAAAACTCAAAAAATTGAAATAAAGACAATAAAATCTTTTTAAGTTTGTATAACTCCGAAAAAACTTACCTGAGACCCGAAAAATCGTTATGTTTGTATAGAGGTGTGCTTCTTTTGTGTATAAAACATTGAAATATGACGATATTTTAATTTTTGAAATTTTTATGATAGAAATCGTTAACGTGATGGTCAGGGACAAGCGGGACGGTCGTGAATTTTCTGAAATAATCTCAATCTTTCTAAACAGTCCTTCAATTATACTGTTAGTTATAATAAAAATATGTGTTTCAATTGAACTAAACTGTTCAATTTACAAAGTTATTGTCACGACCAAACACACTATAATCCATAAGGCTGGATTGGTCGTGAAAAAACCAGCGATGGTCGTGAAACTTTGGTCGTGAAATTACGTGTTATTAGGCTCTGTTCTGGCGGTAGCCCTGCACCTCATGTTCGAGGATACAAAGTGGACTTCTAGGTTAATCTAGCAATTGAAATATCTTATAAACAAAAATTAACACCATGTCTACTTCATCAAATGACTACGTACGGTCATGGACACACCAAAATTACAAAAAACACAATCTTTCCTTTATTAATCTTGTAATTCCTCCTTTCAACTCGAAACGACCGGCACTACAATCCTGACGTACACCCCGAACTAGTCTCTAAAACCAACTGACTCCATCGACGCCAGGCTTGCCACTGTCGTGCTCCAAAGTTGAAAATTTTTCCCAAATGGTCGTGACGCCAAATCGAGGGACAGACTTATTTTGTCATGGTAGTCAGTTTGCAATGACAATAAAATTATAATATGCTAATTTTTTGTAAGTTTAATAACCATTGATGACATAAAAATATGGCTTTATATATTTCGGCATGAATAATTAGTCTAAAAACAGCGTGAAAGTTGGAAAATGTACCCTAGGGACACGTCATTGTCGTGAATTTCGAGACTTTAAAAATACGAAAAAAATACCTAGAACCTATTTAAAACCAAATAAATGTGTGTAACATGTTGCCCCCGTCCCAAAAAATATTAAAACACATAATAATAAACTACAAATCCAGTATCTACGAAGTAAAAGGCCAGGGACATGAAAACGTACGTTTTTAAATTTTCACTCACTGATGTCCACAGCCATAGAAAAGAATGCAAGACATTGCAAGGAAATTTTAAACCACCAAAAATAGGTTATTGCTGATGCGTAAAAAAATATGAGTAAGTTTCTTTATAGGCTAACTATTAAAATTGCATCAAAACTAGAGCCTAGGACATCTCACTCAAAACAAGAGTTAAGACAGATCCCACTGCTGTTTTACGTGGTGTATAATTTATCAGGATTTGAGCGAGGTCTTTTCCCATAAATAAACCCCTAAACAGAAAATGTTGAATACTCAAAGAAATCCACGAGGGATGGGTGATGGGTGTAAATTGAAACCAACAGGTAGGTAAGTTTGTGTAAAATGCAGAAGTAGACTGCTATACGTCCCTGAATTCCACTACTTTACCCGGTTCTGTTTATAATGTACCAGTGTCCCGAAATTGCTCCTGAGATAATAAAATGACCTGTAACATGAAAAATTACAAACAAAATGTTTAAAATTCTTTCAAACATGGTGTTAAGTTTTAAATATGAATAAATAAATACAATATATTGCTTCGGTGATAAAAAACTTCAACGTGGGTATATATAAATTTGAATTTTAGCCTAATAAATTTTGTGACAAAATAACTCAATACTTTATGTAATAGGCTATATTTTGGTAATTATTTTCCTGTAGAACCCGATTCTTCTCCCTCCTCCTTTAGCCAAGACAAGTGTGTGTGTGTCTGTTGTTTTTGCTTGCCCAAATTTTAGAGCCTCGCTTTTGGAGTCTATAATCTATTTCTCTTGCAATAAATTAACACATCTGTATTCTAGCTAGATAGTAACGTATATTAATTCGTAATTATTTTAACTGTATTATTTTGTAATGTAAAAGAGAAAAAAAAACATGTTTTAAGTTGAAACATATTGTTGAAGATTTTAATTTACAGATATACATATTAAGATTTTGTCTTGTGTTACAAATGAACTACCTACCTACCTAACATCAAAATTTGAATATTCAAAGAAATCCCACCAGGGATGGGTAATGGATATATAATTGTTTACTTGACTGGGTGTGTAGTTTACTTGACATAATCATGCACTTGTAAAATGGAGATTTGATAACACAACTATTATGTTGGCAACTACATTATAATTTTTATGTACTCTAAGATGAGGTAGGCCTATTGATGATAGACTATAAGAAAAAAGAAGTTAAAATGTATCAGTTTGAAAATAAATTACATAAATCAAAACTTATTTTTCCACTGTGACTTGCTATTTGTGAATGTTTACAGTGACTAGTTTAAATGTAACAGCTGATTGTAAGCATGAGTAATCAGTCCAAATACTAACCCTTGAGCTGTTTAGTGTAAAGTGTGGTGTAAATATCCCCCCCCCCCCCCACCACTCTTATCTAACCTATTGCTTTGTCACTCAACTCAGCTTGTAATTTCTTGTCCAGTATTGACTTGTGCTTCAGTCTGTCTGCATGTTTTCTACCTTCAAGGACATTGTTAAGGAAGCTTTGCCATCTGTAAGTTTTATTTTCTGTGTTTTTTTTTAGTTTTTGTAGGTAATTTTATGATTTTTTGCTTTTAAGTTTGTGTGAATTTGTTTTGCTGTTAAAATGAACATTTTAGTTTGGTTAATGATTTGTTTTAGTTAAAATACACAAATAGTCCTAAACTAAGTTTTGATTTTTGTAAAAAAAACTTAATATGAAAGTGGTTAGATTCCTTTTTTAGAAAATACATACCAGTACCTTACTTAAAGGAAAGTTTGTATTACACATTTTACATTAAGAATCAAACCTTAAACTTTTTGAATGACTTTTTTTGTATTTAGTTGTGCTACTGTACAAAGTTTGGCCGTCGCATCCAGTAGTTGCACAAATTTAATATAACAGTTAATTAACAGTTACAAATTGTTTTTCCTTTTACTTATCAGTTTATCACATTCTAAAGATACTACTGGTAATCAGAGAGAAAATTATGGTTGATTTAAATTAAGTTCATTTTTTAAAGTAAGGTTATGATTTATTAGTCATATGCAACTTTTTAAATTAGGGATTACAGTACGGTCCACGAGAGTCTTTAGTTGAGGGAGGAGCCTATTTACTCGACTTCGAAGTAGCCAATGAGGACTGCGCGTTGTTTCCAAATCTAATATTACCAGCTGATTTGAAAATACTTTTTTTTGTATATTTAAATTAGTGTTAAATTAGTGAACGGGTAATGTTGCAATGTCGCCCCAGTCCAGTCTTGCTATTGGCTGTCGCTAATTGCAGACTCTCGGGGTCCCTGGTGTAGATTATTTTGTGCTGCCTACTTATAAAATATAACTAGTGTACCGTCATTGTAAATTTTAATTATAAAAATGGTTTATTTTACCTCTTTGCGTCGAACGATCCGTGTGTAGTTAGTACAACTAAAGCTGTTTCATACCACCAGGGTACATTTTCAGGTTGTTGGTAGAACGTTAGATAAAACAGCATTCATTCATGGATGAACTTGTCGAAATAAATATGTCTGCTGTATGAATGCTGTTTTATCTAACGTTCTACCAACAACCTGAAGATGTACCCTGCTGGTATGAAACAGCTGTAGTTTTACTAACTACACTTGGATCGTTCGACGCAAAGAGGTAAAATAAACCATTTTTATATTACAATTTACGATCCAGAGGCTAAGCCATCATGAAATTTTAATTCAATTGAATTGTAACTTTTTAACAATGTTTATTGGGGTCTGAAATTAATATAAGAATCAGACACCTAGTAGGTAGAGTCATTAGCTCACAATTATTATAAACTATGATGAGTAACCTATCAAAACTTTTCGGAAAATAAACTCTTAGACTACATTTACAAAACTATTGGACCTACATACTTTTCTCTTTGTTCGGGTTTGAAGTTTTTCTAAACTAGGTCTAGAATTATTAATATTTTATTAAATGTTGTTCTAGGAAGGATCCCTATTTCATTTTTCAATCTTGAAATGAATGTAATTGTAGGCCTAGTGATTAACTTAATCAAATGATTTCTCTAAGCACTCAATTTTCTTAAATATCTAAATTTTTACACATGTTAAACAAATTAATAATGTTGCAGTTTTCATCAAACATGGGTAACGAAGATTGGAAAAACGCCAAGACTGTTTATGACTTTACAGTGAAGGACAATGAAGGGAAAGAAGTTTCTCTGGAAAAATACAAGTAAGAACACTTGTAGATGATTATTGTTAATTATTTAAACTACATGTAGGATATGCCTGTAAATATCATGTCGACACATGTTGTAACACTACAGGTACATGTTGGCTAGGTTTTCGAACAAAAATTAAAGGTAGCGGCCATATTGGATAGCGGTAGCCATTAAAAAAGTGGAATTCATATGTTTTAATGTCATAAGATAATAGTCAAAGTTCTCCTTTTACTGATTTTTGTAAATCTGATAGTTTTTGAGTTACCTATGGTTGCACAGTGAATTTGTTTGCCCTGTAATACATATACAGTATAGGTAGTAAAAAAATCATTGCCATACCCAGTCTACCATTATGTATAATATCTATGACCAAGTAGTCTGTGTCAATTCTGTATAATCTTGTAAAACAAAAAAAAAATGTTTTGTGTACTATAGAAACATTAGTCTTTTGGATATAAAGTCAAATCAATCCCTCTAATTCCAAGTTAGTGTTGCCTCAACTGAGTCCGGCTGTATGTGGCAATGCTCGTAAAAGACAATATTGTTTACCATATATGACTCATTGTCTGGTTGCCGACTTACAGTATCATCCTCGCCTTTCCCACTTAAATTTCAACTTTTTGCACCTTTCCACATCAGTTTAACAAAGCCTTTTCCTTGCGGGATAGATACCACTTATACAGTAGACTCCCTTTTATCCGGACACCTTTTAACCGGACATCGGTTTAACCGGACTACACTCGGCAGAAATGACATCTCTTTAACCGGACAATTTTTATCAGCACAATCCGGTTTTACCAGACTAGGTTGGCAGGAAGTGGGGGGGTACTGAAATGACTGTTCTCGTGGGAAAGATTCGAGACCAGTGATCAGTGTCTAAGTACAATGCTCTCCTAAATTTAAGACATTCCGTTTTAACAAGTTTTTGGGGACGTCGGTTTAACCGGAAAACCAGTTATCTGGACTGGCCTTGGTCCCGAAGAGTCCGGATAAGAGGGAGTCTACTGTAGTTGTTATTGGCTTAAATATTGAGGTTGATGATCTTGTTCGAATTGATTATTATCAGTAAAAGGAAAAAATGTGGTTCGGATTCCACTATAAACTGTAGGTCCCTTAGTTGCCATTAGCTGTTTGGGCTATTAATTAACAGCTGTGTCTAAGGAATGTCGGCCTTAGTCACTAACAAGACTACAAGATCGCGCCACTCATCCTACACTCATCTCCATTCATACTTGGCTTAAAATACCTACATTGTATGGTCGCCATTTCATAAGAAAGTATAAAGTATAAACAGTTTGTAATGATGTATGCCGGTAAATAAACATTTTACACTATTCGGTGATTCATCGGTAACTCTGTTTTTCAGAGGACACGTGTTGCTGATTGTCAACGTTGCCTCTCAATGCGGCCTCACCAAGGATAACTACAAGGAGCTCGTAGAACTGGACGAGAAGTACAAGGAGTCTAAGGGACTGAGGATCTTGGCTTTCCCTTGCAACCAGTTTGGAGGACAGGTGATTTATCTTGGCTACCTTTATTTGGAAAAGCTGTTGTATTTTGTTCCAGGGTTTGCAAAAATGTAAAATTAACCCTCCATTGGTGACACCACAGAGTTTTTCTCGGGGCACATTTGTTTTGATAGAAAAATGTGTGACATGGCCAGCCGGCATCTTACAGGTACAGAGTAACAGTACCTCCCGTGCATCTTTCTAGGAATTGATTGAACATTATTTTGATCTCACACCTTCCTCGCAAAACCCCTATTAATCAGTTAAAGCACATAGACTCACATAGCACGGAGTTCGTCTACGTGAGTCACCCATGGTGTTGTTGTTTTTGTTTGCTATGTATTTTTATAAATTGTAGAGTCAGAGTGTTTGTTGATTCCATGTACAATTTTATTGTCTATACATGGCTTTTTTACGTTTTTGTAATAGACCTATTTGTATTAAAAAAATTGTTCCTCTAATGTTTCAACACCTGTAAAAATAATCTATGTGTCACCGTTTGTGAAACACGTGTTACGGCACGGGCCAAGGTTATTGGACAGTTAAAAGTTAATTCAGTCGTGAATTACCCTCAGCCAGTGCTGTACCACATGTTTCGTTACCGCGTGGTCGACCAGTGTTAAATGTTTTGTTTCGTGTTTTTGTGGTATGTGTCGTATTATTTATATTAAATAATACGCCACCTGGCTGTATAAATGAGAATAAATTAAATAATGCCCCTAAAAATTTTCACAAAAAAGAAAAAACCGCTGGTTTGAGATTCAACTCTAATAGACCAAACAAGAATGTTCTTTCAGACTTAAAGGTTACATTCTGCTCAGACAGTCAAGGAGCAAACTTACCAATCAAGCTAGAAACTTTACGTAATCAGAAAGTTCAGGTTTTTGGATATATCAGAGCGAACACCACTCTGACTCAGGTTGTTGATTCAGCATCAATAACACATGATTCTAGTCCCGTTATAATCCTCGGAGGCAGCAACGATAGTCTAAATCGTAACTTCAAGGACATCTATCAGAACTTAGAAAAGAAACTTACCATTTTAAGTGCTACAAGACCCACATTTATGACCACTATACCTATCAGATATGACATAGCACTAAAAGATACAGTTAATCAAGAATTAAAACTTGCAAACAGTTATATAATCGAAACCGTACAAAGAATGAGTAATGTCTATTTGATTGAGTTAAACACATTGAGGAGAAAGCATTTTACATCACATGGCCTGCACTTAAATAACGAGGGAAAAAATGTTGTGGCTCATAAAATTTTAAATGCTTTATCTCGGTGGTTGATTACTAACAGAAAGGCTAATATTCTCTTAAAAAATCAAGACAGAATAGAAGTAATGGAATCCAATATGAGTGACATTGTGGATGGTCTTAGGAGCAACGGTGATGTAGCATTCTCTCATTGTATTTCTGGTGATCTAAGCAGTCCTAGAAATATGACAGCTGGTGTTGCTGTTTCTTTCCGAAAAGCGTTTGGTAGACCAAGGACCGCCAATCTACTTAATAAGTACTTAACACTACAAGAACATGAAAACGGAGCAGCAGTGTATGGTGTTGTAACCAAGGCAACATACAATGGTAAACCAAAGACAACTGATTACAACACAGCCTTCAGTAAATTAATAGATGATTTCAAGCTAAGGAAATACAAGAGACTTGTGTGTTCACCCATGGGGTGTGTCAGGGATAATATTAGTGTTCAAAATTTTGTGAAAAACTTAGTAAAATTGCATCGTATCACTGGGAAGCCAGTTACAGTAATAATACAGGATGAAGAATCAAGTAGAACTTTGCAAAATGGATTGAGCTACCAGGAATTTAAAAATAGTATACGAGAAGAGCTTTATAAATGGATAAATATAAACACTCAATCTGTTTCTTTCCCTGGTCCTTGTATAATGGCAACAACCTCTACTCTATCACATTCCCCGAACACTATTCACACCCATCATACAACTTCAACCTGCAATCTGGGCTCAATAGAGCCAACTCCAGTGGATGATAGGATGGAGCAGCCAGCGACAATGTCCAAGAATCCTACAACTCTGCAATCTCAAGAGACTGCTAATTGCCAATCACCCCTTGCTGCTGTTGGTTCTGGTCATGATGTCACAATTGGCTCAATGGTGGACTTCCCCCCTCTACAAGCACCCCCTGTTACACCAGATCCAGATCAGCTGCAGCGGCCTGCGCCTGTGTCAAGTGATGGGGGGCAGATTCTCTCTGGGGTTGTGAGTGATAGTGGCTCTGGTTTTTTATTGGAAACTCCAATACAAGTGATAGCAACATGATTTGTAATGGCGACTCCCGCTCCCACTTTAAACCCATCAGTAATAATAATCTCAACAAAAACGTACAAACAGAAAAAAATGTAATAAAAATATTCCATCAAAATATTCAGCACTTACCATCAAGGATCGAACCTTTATTAGTGACTATAAATGAATTAACTCCTCATATTGTAATCTTAACAGAACACGATATGAAGGAAAATGAAATTAACAGACTCAATATACAAGATTATGATGTAAACAATTTTTATTGTAGAAAAACATGTTTCAAGGGTGGCGTCGTTATGCTTTCCCTGAAGGGTTTAAAGTGGAAGCGGGTGGATGTTCCAAATTGGTTGTCTGGTAGTTTACTTCAAGATAAGCAATTCGAATTTCGTGCCTGTAGCTATATAATTGACGGATTTAAAATTTTGGCAATTGGAGTGTATAGGTCACCTAGCTCGGATTGTGAAATATTTTTAGATAGATTGAGCATGTTAATTTCCCACTTTTCCAAAAAGTTTGTTAATATAATTTTGGGAGGGGATATAAACATTGATGTTTTAAAAAATAACCCTAATCATAAATTACTAAAAAGAACACTAAAAGTTCATAAAATGAGGTATCTGGTCAATTTCCCAACCAGAGTTACTGAGGAATCTGAATCAGCAATTGATAACTTTATAATTAAAAATTGTCATGATTGCAAGGTGACTGTTGAGGGAATTGTAACTTGTCTATCAGATCATGATGGGCAATTGCTCCTTATAAAAAATAAAAACCTAAATAATACAAAAGAGGTTCAATCAACTATAAAACGTACAACTCGTAACTTCAATATTCAAAATTTGAATTTATTTAAAAACCTCTTGGAAACTGAGATTTGGGAGAGTGTTTACATGGCTCCTGTTGAAAGAAAATATGATGAATTTTATAGTACATTTAAGCACTTTTTTGACATTTCGTTTCCCAAAATTACTGTAACTGAAAAGAAAGGCAAAAAAATTGGATCTCAGAAGACCTGAAAAATGAAAAAAAAGAACTACTACAATTGGCCTTAAAACTTCGTAGGAACAAAAATCCTGCCTTGAAATACGAGTTAAAACAAAACAAACTGAAATATAGGGCAAAATTAGTCAGAGCTAAAACAAATTATTTTGAAAATAAAATAAAAAAATCAGCCAATATACAAAAAACAGTATGGCAGATTATAAATTCTGAAGTTGGGAAAGGAAATGGAACAAAAAATAAAAATATTACTTTGAAAGAGGGAAATTGTAGCTTAAGTGATCCTAGAACTATTGCCAACATGTTCAACAATTATTTTACTAATGTTGATCAGGATGTCAGTGGCAACCAATGTGAGAGCAAGATTGAAAATCAAAGTCTTATTGAAAATGAGCAATGTATTAAAAGAGGTTTTGATTTTAAATTTATTGATGCGGGGGAGGTGGAAAAAGTAATTAACTCTTTAAAAATCAAACATTCTGTTGGACACGATGATGTCCCTATTAAAGTTATAAAGCATGCCAAAAAATGCCTGAGCCATATTTTAAGTCATTTAATAAATTCATCTTTTGTATCAGGAATTTTTCCAAATCAATTAAAAAAATCTAAAATAATACCAATTTATAAGAAAGACGACCTAGATACTGTGTCAAATTACCGTCCTATTTCTCTCCTACCAGTAATATCAAAGATTTATGAAAAAATTGTTAACTGTCAGTTATTAAATTATTTAGAAGAATTTAAACTATTAAACAATACTCAGCATGGATTTAGGCCTGGAAAATCTGTAATTACAGCAGCAGTGTCATTCATAGAATCTATAATTGAATCGGTTGATAAAGGGGAGTTCACAATTGGAATTTTCATGGACCTAACTAAGGCATTTGATAGTGTCAACCACACCCAACTGATAGATAAATTACTCATTTTAGGGGTTACAAAAAAATCAATAAAATGGTTTCAGTCATACCTAAATAATCGTTGTCAGTTTGTAGAAATCACACATAATCATGATAACAGAATTACAGCATTTTCTTCTGAAACTGAAAGGGTTAAATGTGGTGTACCCCAGGGGTCAATCCTTGGCCCCCTGTTGTTTTTATGTTATATAAATGATGCTGGTGGTGCACTCTCATGTTTACCTCAGAACAATCTTTGTTTTTATGCAGACGATACAAATCTCAAAGTATCGGCTGAGTCAGTGCAACAAGTTGAAATTTTAAGTTTTGTTGAATTGGCAAACATTGGAAACTTTCTAGAGCAAAATAAATTGAAGCTTAATCCTAAAAAAACTAATTTTTTAACTTTTAAAACAAATCAAAATAAAAAGTTAATTAAACCAAATATCATGTATAATGCAGAAGAAATTGAACATAAACACAGTACACAGTTTCTAGGTCTAACTGTGGACCAAAATTTAAACTGGGATGAACATGTTGATAAACTCCTTTCAAAATTATGTTCAGGACTATATTCACTCTCTAGAATGTCTTATTTTTGTAACCATAAAACATTAAAAAACATATATTATGCTAATGTCCATTCGCATTTATCCTATGGTTTGTGCCTTTATGGTTCAACTACAATAGCAAATTTGGATAGGATACTTAAACTTCAAAAAATAGAAATAAGAATAATTTTGAAATTAGAACACAATGAAACAACCAAAAACAAATTCAAAGAACTGAAAATTTTAACGGTATATGGCCAATATATTTACGACACAATTATTCTAGTAAAAAACTGCTTGAGCACCTCTGAGACAAATTATCACCCATACAACACTCGGCATAAAAAATTCCTTATTTCAAGTAAACATAAATTAAAATTCTATGAAAAAAAACCATCCTATATAGGATTAAAATTTTTTAAGCATCTTCCTAATGAAATCAGAAATGAACAAAGCAGGAAGAATTTCATGAGAAAGCTAAAACTATATTTTGTAGAGAAAGCATTCTATTCCCTGGAAGAGTATTTTTCCACCTCCCCTCTTAGCGTTAGTACATAATTGATTCAGTTTTGATTATTTCCATTTCCTGATTCTTGGTTTTTTATTTAGATAATGATCCAAGATATGCAAATCTGTAAATTATTAATTTAAGATAGATTTAGTTGACACCATTCAATGTACAACACTGTACTTTATGAATAAAGCATATTTGATTTGATTTGATTTGATTTGATATACTATTTAACTTTTGATGAACTCCGCCAAGAGAAATATTTAATCACCACTTGACATTCTTCAGACCTGATGATGTGCTCCATCCGAAGCAATAAACAGCTAGTCATAAAAAACTACAAAGGATTGTTTTGGACAGTAACAAGGTAATATAAACCACTATACGTTAATTCAGACGATCCAGAGGCCTTTCAATCATGAAATCACATTTGTAATCTGTAGTTATCACATCTATGTCATGTGGGTTATCTTAGGTTTTAGTTTTAACCTGTGTTTACTCACTGTTTGCAGGAACCCGGCACCAACGCAGACATTTGTACGTTTGTCTCCAAGTACAGCGCCAAGTTTGACTTTTTCGACAAGATAGACGTCAATGGAGACAACGCTCACCCTCTCTGGAAATACCTGAAGCACAAGCAAGGTGGAACTCTGGGAGAGTAAGTAGTCGTCAGTTACACCGTTATTGTAATCTTTAAAAATGTAGTTTTAACAGGCATAGGCGCTTTGTACAATAGTGTTTCTTCCTCCAGTTAAACCAAAGGGTACAGCTACAATCCACACTTGGTGGGAAATTCTATTTTTGTTGTAAAAAGTTACAAATCAATCTCAAAAATGTTACTTAAGGTACAATATTTGTTGAACATGTTAGATGTTGTTACATAATTCCAATTTGAATTTATTATTTTAGAAGAAATCAAACTAAATTATTAATAATTCATTGTGTTGTTTTCAGCTCAATCAAATGGAACTTTACAAAATTCATCGTTGACAAAAATGGAATCCCAGTTGAACGCTTTGCACCTACCACACCACCCTCTGTAAGTTTCAATTGAATTTGTCATTAAACCTGGATTTTTATACTCCTAGACTATCTATCTATGTATATATAAACAGGCAAGCATGTTTCTTTAAAACCTTTTTTCTCAGCTTATGTGCTTCGTAAGGATAAACTACGCATACTGTTAGAAAGATATTTTTCTGTAGGTGTGCAGAATCCCTTTATAAATTAAAATAGGCTCACAAATAAGCACAAAAATTGAATTCAAAATTTAAAAAAAATTACATGGGTCTTATAGGTTACTATGCTGGTGATAAAATAACAACGAAATACAAAACATAAAATAAAAAAAAAAAATGGAAGAAATTCCAATCACATGTTTTATTGACAGCTTGGGGTGAAAATAGAGAAGCCTGTACCTTTGACTTACAACTAAATATCGATCCTATGTTAAAGTTGTCGCCAGTTTTAATTAAATTTGTCGTAGTTGATGTGGGCCACCTACAGATTACGCTGATCAAATGACTAATTTCTCTCGAATACACGACGATGACTTTTACCAAGTCAAACTTATGGAGTGACTTATTAAGAGCTATAGCAACTAACTGTTATGACCCATCAACTTTGTCAGCAACAAAAGATAAGATGTAAAATATAATTCCAAACACGCATAGGCTACTGTGACTGGTTCACTCAACTACATGTTTTTAATTTTAAAAATTGCGACAACTGGTCCATATAGATGGAATGTCTACTTCAGTATCCAATATTCAATGCGGGTACATTACATATTTTTGGTCGAGTATTCGACCACTGGATAACCACTAGTTCTAAATTAATATATGTGGATAAAGTAGGTAGTAGTTTATAAGGTTTTAAACAATTTAAAAACATATAGTTACATTGAAATATTTGATGTCTATATAGTTTGTCAAATTTAAAAATATAAAACTGGTGTTATTGTCAACGCATGTAATATATTGTCAGAAAGGTATATTTATAATATAAACCTCATACAGTAATTATTCTTCTAAATGAACTGCTGGTAGCATATGGCGAAGAGCCGACGCCAGCCGCGAATCTAACACCCAGCACGCTCTAGCGGCAAATCGCAAAACCTTCCTTTGACAGTCTATATTTATTGAATTTGTCTATGGCGCGACGGACTATTGGGTTTTTATTCTGTTGCCCGCCATTACATTATATCAGTACAGTTCTTGTACTGTATTGGCTCATCCCTAGCTTAGCTCGATACGTTCCACCATTCACTATTGGATACTGAAGTAGACATCCCATCTATATGGACCAGCTGTCACCAGATTCTATTATAAAAAAAGAACATAGTTGAGTGAGCCAGTCACAGAATGCGCTAGTGTCTAAAATCCAATTATTTTTTCTTATTTTTAGTCGATGACAGTTGAACAGTTGCTATAGCTCATTATAAGTCGTTCCATCAGTTTGATATGGTAAAAAGTTGCGTATTTGATATATATCAGTAATTTGCATTAGTAAAATCTGTTGATCTAGGTGGCTCACATCAACTAAAGTCGGGACCACGTAATTTTGCAGTTGGTGGCAGCCAATCACAAGACAAGGCTAGTGCGACGTTGCCACATTGCGCATTGACAACACTAATTAAAATATACAAAGCAAATAAATATTTTCAAATCAGCTGGTATTATTAGATTTGGCAACACCGCACCGTTCTCATTGGTTTATTGAAAACCATATGGTATATAGGCTTCTCCCTCAACTGCAAACTTATGTGGTCCCGACTGTAGGAAATTTTTTATAAAAAAACTGGCAACAATTTTAACATGGAGATGTAATGTCTAGTTGTATCAATTGTCGAAAGTTCCACACACCGTCCAGCGTCCTATGCAAGTCTCAAAGAGCAACCTCTTTAAAAAAAAAAACAAAATGTTATTTTTTTACTCAAGTCTTATAATTAATATAAAAACATACCTGTAAGTCTTACATTATGTTTCAGAAACTAGTTGGCTCTCTAGAGAAGTACTGGTAAGACCGGACTCTGCTGATGTTCTGGTTCCTCGGACCAAGCCTTGCATCACACTCACAAGACTGCAGCTTTTAATGTTTATATGTCTAGTTGCCATGCATTAGTGTGTATTGGTTGAAACCAAATATTGATGGTTTTAGTTTAGTTTGGTTTCTGGGGTGTTGATAGATTCTAAATGAGTATTAATGAACAAAATAACTTATTTATTGTTCCTGAGGAGAAATACTCCAGAGCAAGTATTGAAAAACTGAACTGCTCATGGATTAATTGTACTGTACATTAATAAATAACCTTACTTATGCACGCACAATACAATATTTAATTACCTTTACCAAAGATACCAGAGCAATTATTTGTTATGTAGTAACTTTTATCAATAGCTTGAATATTTTGAATTCACTAGTATTTTATGTCTAAATACTAGTAAATAGTGTAGTTGTCAAATGCGGTTAACGTTTTTGATTTTTTTTAAATCATATTTTATGTTCCAAGGAATAACTTTGCCGTGATTAGATAAGAAAATATCTTAAAAACATTAGGCCTAATTGTTAAATTTGTATGTTTTATTTTTATTTTAACTTTCTTTCTACAGTAATATTTTTTAATTACATTTACAATAAAATGTTATGTCTTACAAGAAAACTAATAAATACTGTTAACATTTTTTAGCTAAGAAATATGAACAGAGTGTATATTTAAACTATCAATACTGTATTAGAATTTAAAAATAACCAATGTATATAATTATTTTACTGTAATAAATTTATATCTTGAGCAACATAAGTTTTCTATTTCATCCATGTTAACTGTATAAATTTATTAAATTTACCTCTTTGTTTTCCTTTACATTATAACCTGAAAGTTTTATCATTATTACTTTTGATGAAAAGTATTATGAATGTAAAGAAATAAACGTTCTTACTGAAATGCAACTTTGTGTTTCAAAGTCTTTTCTTAAAAAATAAAAATACAATATCAACATAAAAATTCTTATAATAAACTGTTAACATTGATATTCCAGTAAGAGATCAATTTATAATTCCTCACTTATCAGCATACAATAGTTATCCAGAACGTCATATACTACGCTTGGCTGGCATTACATCAACTTACTCAAACCTATTTACACCTGTTCACATTTTGTCTTTGTGTTGAAAGCGATCTAATTATAATCCATAACTGTTTTGACGTGTACACTATGTTACTTTCTCAATTGTTCTCCAACATATTTGAGTAATCGACAGTTTTGCTCCAAGTAGAGAATGTTCTTTGAATCTCTGTTATTTCTTCTTGCTATTACAATAAACTCTTTAATATTTTATTTTAAAAAGTTGAAGAATGCAAGCAAACTATCAATATGTGTTGGTGTGGCTTCAGTGGTTGTAGGTGGGATTTTAAGTTTCACTGTTTATTATCATGTAAGTATGATGTAGTGTTTAAGTAACTTTTAACACCATGTAATATAACTCTTTTTGATCCTTTTGAATATTGTTTGATTACTCGAGTTCAATCAAACCAATGTGTTAATCGCCAACAGCTGCAATACTAGTTTTATTTACTTGTGTAGTGACTGATGGTAGAACAATTTTTCAATCATCTAGTAATTTAACAAATTATTACTCAAGATTGTAATATATCATTCTGCAAAACTTAGTTATAAGAGAAGTAGGAACATTTACTATAGGTCGGCCGCTTAGAAAACGACCTCCTCCAGCATTGGTTTAGCATTAGCGCGCAGGTCGTTTTCTAAGCGGCCGAACTATAGAAGCACTATTAGTAAAAAAGTAATTCGTTTCAACCAGTTACTTTATTTTTTACTTTCTTCTCAACCCCAAACAAGTAAACTTCTCATGGGAACAGTTATTAACTTTGAATGGATTTGTCATATGGCATATAAAAACATTCTAGGTCTTTCCTTCTGAAGAAAAGGTAGAAAGGGAATTTGATCAAAATGTTCATTGGAAAGATGCAAAGTCTGTCTACAACTTCACAGTGAAAAATATAAAGGGTGAAAATGTATCATTAGCAGATTACAAGTGAGTATTTATAAATCGATAAATCTCGCACTTTAAATGGTCGAGAATATGTATAGACCCACCTTTACTCGTGTTTTGAACGTTACTTTTGGCCACACTACAAAGAATAATTATTTTGTTCATTACAAAACTCATAGAATTTTTTTACATGTCTTCAATTTAAAGTTAATATTTACTTTAGCTGTTGACAATTGAAACAGTTGATGAAACAATAACAAATATTTCAAGTTGTTGACAGTGGAACATTTTTGGTGGTAAACAATAGACAGCTATTGAAAATATGATGTTTCACAGGTTATAAACACATAAGGAAAACAGCTCAACTAATAGTAGCCTAGTGTAGTGAAAATAAATTTACCTATGACCGTTTTTTAAAGTAGCCATTTCAGTTCAGTTCTTAACAGCTGATTACTTTCATATCAGCATAGTTTCATTTCATATCAGCATAGTTTTTCTCATATCATCACGGGTAACGACCAATGAGGTTCAAGGATTGAGAGAAAAGAAGTACAATTGTAATACTTCAACTCAACTAATCAGCTGATCAGTTGACAATTTTAATTGTTGATCTGGCTTGTTCCTGTTGATACTCGCGTATTATTAACCTAAGTTGGTGGAAGTTAAATGAAGGTTGATTTTAAAATATCAGTTAGTGAAAGTGATGTTGAGGAGATAGAAATGAGAGCACAAACTGTTTGTGCTAATCTTTTGCCACCAAAATCAAAACAAAGGTACCATATGCAATTACATACCAGCAATTCATTAAATGGACGAAACAAAATAAGGTTAAATTGATAAATGAAAAAGTTCTTCTGGTTTATTTTGAAAACCCTTAACCACTTTTCACCCAACTCGTTGTGGACCACATATTCGATGCTGAGATCTAATTGTAAATTAACTGTTTCACTATATATTATTCAGTTGTCCAAAAATATATGCAATATTTCCCTAATTGTACCTGATACAGTAATTATGGTAAGAATGCAGCTAGCAGAACCTATTCCCTGAAAAAGTAACTATTATTTAACAAAGTTTTACAAACACGTAATTACATGAAATCAGCTGATTATACAATAAGTCATTGCATCACTTTCAGTGACAATGACGATAAACGAAAACATAACCTCTCTAGGAAGTTATGAGTAGTGATTGTTAGTAATGAAAAAACCAGATTTTTAGTAATTAAAAAAACTTTTATAGGTAAAGTAGTGTACGCAACTCGCGTTAATAGTCTTTACGACACTCGTAGAAGTTTTTAAGGCACGAGCCTCCATTTCATTTCATACAAAAAAAAAAAAATTCTCCATGGAATTCTCCATTATTATTATTTTGGCTAACCTATATGACTAACTCATCCTTTAGTTCACCACACAGACCAGAAGCTTTATATTGTGACACACGAATGACGTAAAAACAGGAGTGTACCATGTTTTTCAGTGTGTTCATAATTAAATATTAACTAACCAATTTCTCAACAGCATGTATATATTTTGTCCCAGAGGTCATGTGCTGCTGATAGTGAATGTAGCATCAGAATGTGGTTTCACTGATGAAAATTACGAGGAACTGGTAGAGCTGGACAAGAAGTATCGAGAGTCAAAGGGCCTCAGAATATTGGCGTTTCCTTGCAACCAGTTTGGAGAACAAGTATGGTTTGATGTTAATTTTAAACATAATCTAAGTTCAAGTGGATTATAATCTACCTATATAATTAATGTGCTACATGAAACTTTGTCGGTTGAACTCCTCCGCCATTTCTTAACCGATTTTATCCATTGACGTCTCATTCGAAAGATCGTGTCGTGTAGATTTGCAAACTGGCCTTACATTTTTGAAAAAGTCCCTTGGGCTCTGCCCCAGTGGCTTTAAATGTTCCTATGTTATCCTTATGAAGAACATAATTGTTTACATTTTGATCAGCTGTATAATTTAATTGCTGTTATTTATTTTCCAATTCAATGAAACGCATTGAGTACATTTATTTACCATTTGAGTTTGTGTAAACATAACCCCCAAGAAGGATCGTGTTAGTATGGTTGTATCTTAAATTTGTATATTTATCGTTGTTTTGTGTCGCTATGACGGATCGTGTTAGCATGATTGTAACTTAAATTTGTGCATTTATCGTGGTTTTGTGTAGCTATGACGGGTCGTGTTAGCATGATTGTAACTGAAATTTGTGCATTTATCGTTGTTTTGTGTAGCTATAATTTGTTTATTTGTTTTTTTTTTAAATACCTCCGACACGACGACAACGAAACATATACAGGAGGCGTAATCGTGATAACGACCGCAGCTACAGAACAGAACAGAACAGAACTGACCCTGGACAATCTCAAATATTAGGTTACAAATGCGCCCTAACACTACCCCAAAACGACTTTTCGTTATCAATTGGCCCTCTATCAATGAATGGCCTGTGTTGCCTGTACAGCGAGGCATTTTTAGAAGGAGAAAACCGGCGGAATGCTTTAGGTTTATCAGTGACAAAGATAAAAATGGTCCGAGTTACACACCGGTAATCTTTGAGTTGACTCTTTTAAACTCATTGTAAATATGACTGTTATTCGTTTTGAAATAACTCCTGTAATGCTCGAATTCGAGCAACATGTACACTAGTTAAGCATTATACTGCAAAAACCTACAAAAGAATCCTCCCATTAGTCCCATTCTATCAACTTCGGGACGAGCTGTTTACTATCACTTCAGCTGGAGAGTAAAATGAAATAAAATAAATCCCTCCAAACTCGGTCAGTTAATGGTTAATTGTTCACGATTGCTCACAAGGCCTGTCCAATACGGGATTTCAAGCTTAGTTGAGTTAAATTTAGATAAATATAACGGTTTTAATTGTTAGTTTATAATTAAATCCAACCATCATCACCAAGTAGTATAGTTGGATTTATATTTAAAGTATAAGCCTAACCTTGGTTATGTCCAATCCTAGGAACCAGGCACGAATGAGGAAATTTGTAGATTTGCTGAAGTAAAAGGAGCGAAGTTTGATTTATTTGATAAAATTAATGTGAACGGAGAGAATGCTCATCCTCTCTGGAAATATCTGAAATACAAAATGGATAAGATGTAAGTTATAAACCCTTCAGAATATATGATTGCATTTGCAACACGTGCTTAGTACATTGTTTCTCAGTAGCGGCGATTGATCATTTGAAGTAAATCCCAGTTGCAATGCCATTGCCTTTTTAACTGGACCATTTTCACATGGTCTACTCTATTTCTATTATCTACTCTATTATTTATTTATAAAAATTGTTTTTCCTAAGTTCATTTCCAAACTGATTGAAAAAGACTTTAATTTTATACACACATTTTTCTAAGATTTAATTCCTAACAAACAACCTACCCGGGTTTTCGTTATCAATCGCAATAAATACCATATTTAGCAATCTAAAATGGTTTTATAGAGCCTGAAACAACACACTTACTTCATTCAGTAGATGCAATATACTAATCAAAGATTGAATTTTATTGTTAATTTCACTGTAAATTATTATATTCATACAGTGCGAACAGTTACGTTTTTAACTGAATTAAGGGTAGACTGTTGGGATATGGGTTATTTACAAGAACGGATCTGGAACATTTCTTATATGTAAAAGGCCCGTGATAGATCATTGCCTAAGTAAAATTAGAAATCGGAGGGGTGAAACCTTATATACCTATTGAATTTGCAGTTATGTAATAACCAAATTTTCCTACTAAAATAACCATAATACATATTTAAAATACTCTTTTTTTCTTTAGTGCTATTGAGTGGAATTTTGCAAAATTTGTCGTGGACAAGAGTGGAAGAGTAGTGAGAAGATTCCATCCGGATGTTACTCCATTTGTAAGTATTACCCTTTCACATTTCCAGTGCTAAAAGTATTCAGTATAAAACCATGGTGGATGTTAATAGATCATAATTTAGGTGGTAAAACTGAACAAAGTCTACATTGGCATTGTTTTAAAAATAATCTAAGCCTTATAGACAAAAAGTTTGGTATTATTTCTGAAACATTGAGTTTTCAGTTTATTTCAATGGAAATCCAAATGGTCTGATAAAGGGGCTCACTTAAAAGGCCATTGAGCTCAACTCTCTGTAGACATTTTACACCGAATTACCTTTTTTCCATATCTAAACCCCCCCCCCCCAACACCCCCTTGGACTAAATCCCCCCCCCTAACACTCCCTAAATTCCCCTTGACACAAATTTTCTCATCCAGATCAGCTGTCTCATCATACCCCTTTTCCATGAAAATCAGAAGAGAATCTTAAAAACTAGGCCTTTTTACGTCCTGATTTTGTTGCATCAGGTTTCAGGCGTATTTTTACATTTCAGGAAGTAGCAGAAACTTTGGCTGAGGTTTGGTGAAAACGAAAACTCTTAAGAACTTAACAATTCTACTCATCTATTACTGAGAACTGGCTATAGATTTGTTATACAAATATACACATTTTACTGGAATTTTTATTATAATAAAGCGTAAAACATATATTTTATTTTATAGAACTTCGTATTTGTTATTTTAACTTTATAGAAGCAAACAATACTAGTGCACCTGTCGGTCGAATTTGAGCAATTGCTAAGTATTATAGGTGTTATTTCAAAACGAATAACCCTAACACTCATAATTTCCTTTGTAAAAGAGTCAACTCCAAGATAATGTAATCATTCACTCCACTCCAGTTATCGAAACTGAGAACGCTATTGTGTGTATCATATGTTTACTATAAACAGCTGCAATTAATACAAATTATTTGTCTGTATAAGTAAACAAAATCATGCAGCATAAGTAAACATGAGTGTGCAGCATACTCAAGCTTTATGTATTGTAAATTTATGAGTTTTTGCACAATTTTAAACATTTAAGAACAATTTTGTTAACATAGGGTCTCATGGTGGGGGCTCGTTCCCCTGTTGCCCATATTGATGGATGACCTTGCAACCATATCCCAGCGTTTGCTTTATAAAAAAAAATGAAAAGGTAAATAAAACTAGACATTTAACTAAACATATTCTTTATTAATATTAACAAAACTTACAGTCATTTTTAGGTACTAGTTTCATCATGGAGCTCTAACCAAAGTGCAGTCGCACTCGACCCTTTAACAATCCTTACAAATAGTAATATGGTCAACGGTAACATCAAATAGTCTACATTTACGGCATTTGCTGGTTACAACTGACAAATAAACACTGCAAGAAGTCGTGGTTTAGGTGACTAGCTCCATTTAAGTAACGGAAAAAATACTGTAGAGCTGGTATGTGTAGTTGTGCCTATGGTGATGATTGTTTTTAAGATTTACAAACGTTTAAAGTTAAAGTTAAAACAAAACTATTGGGGTAAAGAAACCCCAATATGGAGAAATCAAATTACTAACCGCTTTTAAGAAAATGGAGCTAAACCCCTATAACACACTTCTTTAACATCTGTAAATAAAGCTAGGACGAGGAGAAACTGTGTAGTTTGCCAGAGAATAAATTGTGATAATTCCGGCAATGTAGCGTTCAATATTCCATCGTAACAAGTAGTATAACATTCCTCCGAGACACTTATAGATAAAACATCCTTTGATATGTAAGCACACCAGGGGTATGCCACTATTTACAACCTAAGATTTGGTAACTATCTGTAATTATTTAATATATTACAAAATGCAAATATTTTTTTTTTAGTTTATTACATTTCGATATCATGTTAGAATGTATACAAATTATAAAACCGTATTATATAAACAAAATATTGGAAGAAGATACATTAATAATTTATTATAAAAAATGTTTGGAAGAACTTTGATGTTGGGTTTAGAATAATTTTGTAATAAAACATCGATATCAAGATCTGAAAGGTTTGAAGAACTAGCAGTATTGGGTTTCATTATTTGGCACATTACAAAACACACTTAGTAATAAATTATAAAAATTACAATCTATACTAACTGAAGGCAGTATTTTTGTTAACCTGATTATTTATAAAAATAACGAACTCGGTTTTTACAAAGTACCCGAAGAGTGATTAAAATCGATCGTGGCATTGCTTATTGCCACAGTCATCAGTCTCAAAGAAAAATGAGACACTTAAATCTTAAATCTAACATTGGTAACATTTTGGTTATCCTAAGTTCCCTGTAGGGCAGTCTTTTAAAAGTAAACATGTTTATTACCTTAAATCCACTGGTAAGCACTGAATCATGTCTTGTAGTTGGGGTACTCTTTGTACCAAGATCTGCGTATAGTTTGGTAAGGTGAAACTTAATACCCCTATTTAAAGTTGCAACTTTGGGTCTGAAATCTTGCTATATAAAATGGACTCTTAAGATAATGTTTCAGAAATTGAACTGTTGAGACTCGCTTCAAAATGGCACTTGTGGAAATTGTGCAAAGTTATCTTTACTCATTCAATTCAATTTCTTGAATTTAGTCACAGATTATCTTACTGCCCAGGTGGAAACATGAAATTGCATTATATATCACCACAGACACTATTTAAAATGTTGAAACCGGACAGAAAGACAGTTTCAGAACCAAAGTTGCAACATCTAACAAAGGTAAGCTCTCCAACCCTCGTGTTTGCTACTTCAAGTAGCAAGTTGTTCGCTTCATCATCCACCAACGCAGATCATATCTTCCAGCCACTACTTAGGCTGGAGAGGGGGTGCGGCTATACATCTATCTGGAAGCTTGTTTCTCTAGTGAGCCGAGAAGGGTTAGACCCGATACTTCCCCTGGACGACCTTCGACCCATCTTCATGTCACACTCGGCTTCACTCAACTCTCTAGAGTGCGAACGAGAGTCTGAGAACCGCGAAGGAGGCTGGATACGCTCGGAGAAACTGGAACAAACGCTGCGGGGCGTCAGGATGTCTGCGGTGCTGGAATAGAAGATCGTAAAAGATTTTTTTATTACCGTGAAATATTTAAAATACTCCATAAACTTTACTGTAACATACACAAACAGTAAAACAGCTTATAGCACGTGTTGTTGATTGGTACATATGGATACGGAATGGAAAAACTACTAACTTACTCAAGAAAAGAGTTACAGGTAGTTGAAAGCACCATTTCCCTCCTGGAGTTTTGCAACTTTTATTCTAGTATACTTCCGTTTTAGGGGTAAAATACGTATTACTATTAAGTTAATTATTGTATTGTCAACTTTTTGTGTTCTAACTGCCTGAATAAGGTCTATTGTATCTACAGAAATCTGCAATTCTTCAGCTGAACAAATACATCACTCCTACTTATCCAAACAAATCGGGACCGGACACTGATTATGGATTTCCAAATTGTTAAAATTATCCAGAAATGCTGGTAACAATGTACATTTACTGTAAATGACTAAACATAAATGTATTTTCTCCCCTGATCATGTCAAGATTGTGATCATTTCCTGTAATCATGGTGACACCATGATTGGCTTCTGCAATTACGGAAATATAAATGATTACCTACCGTAACACAGCAACACCCATTATTAACTCCCATCATTACGTTCTGCTAACTACAAAATGACCTCATGCACCAAAAGAAAGCCGTTAATAAATGAATGCTTGGCAATAGGCTACTGGGGATCAAATTGTACATACAATTCATAGAGTTTTTCTGAGTCATAAAAATTCAAGAACAATTCACTGATTTCATGGTTTCCGAGTGGCTGGACACCCTGTTTAATATTTCAGTCACATGTAGCTTTGTTTTTAATTTAAATACAGTAACCTTTTCACCAACAATTAACATTAGTGAGACTCTGATGTAGCCTGTGTGGCTTAACTGTAATGCCACACATTAACTGTAATGTTTCAGATAAGACTAAATACTACGACACACATTTTCTCTTACCTGAATGTTGTCTCCTCAGTGTGAGACGAGTAGCCACTGCTGCTCTTCACAGGTCGTTTGCCCAACAGCTGTTGTTTGCCTTTGGACTTGCGAGAGGGCGGCAACGCCTTTCTTGCACCATTGGGCGACGTCTCTGAGGAAGAGCTTGTCTCCTCATCCCCCTTGCCCACATCTGGAAAACAGCCCCAATAAAATAAAAATCTCACCTAAGTATTCAAACGAGAAATCTGCTGTCTAAGACAGTGGCGGAGGTCATGGGGTTATATTATGTTTAATGAGAAACTTTTACATTAATTTATAGATATTCCTCCATAGGTATGAGGAGTCGGCTACCCTCTCGCCATGCCCTTCCTAACCGCTGCCACAGATGGTAAAATTAGTTCTCTGCCCAGTTTTGGCAACTAACTGTGTATAGGCAACAAGATATTAGAATGAGGGCAAGATTATTTTGTATGTTTAACATAATAAGAACTAAGTGAATGACTGAAATAGCCCCAACTGTCAAAATTAAAACTATTGCACTTTTTGCTATTAGTTTAGGTAGGTATTCATTAATTGCAAAAATACAACCTTCTTGGAAAAGGTTCACACTTCACAAAAGTAAAATTGATTAGTTAAGTTTGCAAAATCATCTATGTAAATAAAATTAGAGTTTTGTCTGTAGGGTACATGGCTCAGAATTACAAATTTTTGGGTCATTTTAACATTTTATACAAGTCTTATATCAATTTCTGGCCGTCTGTCTGTCTGTCACAGTCGAGAAGGCATTTTATGTGGCCTACCTAGAAAACTAGAGTAGGCCTACCGATCATGATTCTATTAGTTTAGTTGTATTCACAGTATTGGCGAGAGTGTCTTTAGCCATTAAAATATGGCCTCACTATTTTGGAAATAAAATAACGGACGATCAAAAGCCAAATTTCGTGCGATTTTTTTCAAGTTTTCTCCCTATGTTTACTACATACATCATTTTTGAAATTACTAACAGCTGTTTGGATGAATATTCTTTTTTCTAGCTGTTACTGATATGTTTACAATAAATGTTGTTTACTAATACTGTGTAACGATTTCTGCTCACAATTCAAATCAAATCAAATCAAACATACTTTATTTCCAAATAATAATACAGAATATAAATTATAACATAACTTCCAGTGGACAGACACCCTACTTGCTATTGCATAGATAAAAATAGGTACCTAATTAAATATAAAAATACAAATAAACTTAATAATAACAACAAAGGATGTAAGGTCTCAGAGAAGCTATGTTAAACATAAGGAAATAAGCCTACATGGGCTGGAAGCCTGTGCGTAGGCTCAGTCGCTATCAGTGACTGACGTATTTGTTGGAAAAATAAATAAAATGGAAAATAATATGAATATAAATAATATTTATATTCATAGATATTCAGAGAATCTTAAAAACAAATGATTTAATATAATTGTAAAACTATTCTGATTCTAAATTGGTGAATGAGCAATTTAAGGAATGAGGCAAGGCGGAGGGCACATACATATAAATATATGTAGTTAAGAATGTTCGATGTTAGTAATTCAGTTATTCAGTAAAGATTACGGGAGAATAAAGTAGAGTCAAGTCTGCCTGTACTCTGCTTTGATTAGGAGTTCTGATTCATCTACACCCCACTCTATCAGACAGCCAGTGATGCATTTTTTGAAAATAGTAATCGATGGAGAATGGAACAAATGATAAGAATTACAACGGGAGATAACATTACGATATAAAACTTCAGAAATGTAAGAGGAATTTGTTAATGAGTAAGACTTGGCTAAATGGGAGGTAGTTATTCCAACATTCTGTGCATATCGGGTATTATAAGAATGTGATGTTTGGTTAAAAATAGAATCGAAGTTCTTGAAAATATGAATTGAAAGAAATTTGATAAATAACTGTCTGACACTGAGTAAGGATAGTTCACGAAATAATGTGTTAGTGGGGTATCGAATTGGCTTATTGAAACAAACTTTGAGTAACAACTTCTGAAGGACAAAGAGAGGTTCTAAAAAAGTGGGAAAAGCTCCGCCCCATACGATAATGCCAAATGAAAGTAACGACTGGACATAGGCGTAATATGCTAGCTTCATTTCCTGTGTTGTTAATATGTCACGCAGTTTCCTAAATGCAAATATATATTTACGTAATTTAGAGGTTAAAAAATGTATGTGGTCAGACCACTTCATACGATTGTCAAAAATCACACCTAAATATTTATAGGAATTTACTTTCTCAATTTGCTCACAAGAGCAAAATCTATTTAAAAAGTTGCCACAAGAGTGAATTGAAATATTTTCCAAGTTATAATCAGTAGTATCTCTTAGTGAAATTGGTAAGAATTTGGTTTTTGAAACATTTAAGGATAGAACATTTTGGTCAAACCATTTTTGTATTAAAAGAAGATCATGATTAGCATCATCACGGACGTTTTCCCAACTTGTCCCGTTTTCAAGAATGACGGTATCATCGGCAAATAAAAACAGTTTGCCTTTAATTGAAAGTTTTGTGATATTATTTATATAAATTAAGAACAGGACAGGCCCAAGAGTGCTTCCTTGAATTACCCCATAGTTTATGGGTTTTACGTCACTGGAAATTCCGTTAATCACCACACTTTGCTTTCTGTCGGATAAATAGCTTTGAAACCACTGATGAGCGGTGCCACGAATGCCAATGTTTTCTAGTTTAACTAATAGCTTTGTTCGATCAACAGAATCAAATGCCTTTTTTAAATCTAGGAATACTAGCATACTCCGTCTGTTGTGAGAGATATTATCATTTATGTTTTTACTTACTTCGAATAGAGCGTCAGATATATTTTTTTCTTTTACAAAACCGTACTGTTCTTTGCTTAAAATTTCGTTTGTTTCAAGGTAATTAACAAGCTGATCTTTCACAATGCGTTCTAAAATTTTTGAGAAAACACTCAGCATAGATATGGGGCGGAAGTTATTGACGTCTGAAAAATCGTTGGATTTGTAAAGAGGATATACTTTGGCTGTCTTAAAGGGGGTTGGAAAAGTGCCTGATGTTAAACTTAGATTGATCAAATGAGTTAGCGGTAGGAGAAAAATATGTATTTGTTGTTTTAGAAAATCAGCAGATATATTGTCAAAGCCAGGTGCAGACCCTCCCCTAAGTGAGTTAACGTAACGTGTGACGTCATGTTCAGTGACTGTATGTAGCGTGAGCTGCGAGTCATATCTGTAGTCAGCGTCGTTCAGTATTGGGGTTCCTCCAGAGTCAATATTATTGGCCAGATTTTGACCAACAAGAGAGAAAAAAGTATTGAAATCACTAGCAATTCGCTTTAATGTTTCATCGTTAAAAACATGTGATTGAGGTAAAAACTTCTGTACAGGAAACGCATCTCGAGATTTGACTCTCCCAGACAGCTCATTGATAACACCCCAAAGCACTTTGGGATCTTTATTCCCCTGATTAATTTTGCTTCTGTAATAATCTCTCTTTGCATTTTTTAACGATCGACTTAAATTGCTTCTAACTATGATAAAGCGAATCCTTAGGTTTTCATTAAAAGGTTGTTTTTTTAGAGTTTTACTAAGCTTGTCCCTCTCACGAATTTGTTGAACAAGATCCAGCGTTATCCAAGGTTTAATCTTTTTAAATCTTGTATTGTTATTTGATAATTTTCTTGAGCTTTCATTAGACACTGATATAATTTCGTTAAAACGCTCAGAACATACATTGGTATCGAAACAGTTCAGAACGGTTCCCCAATCTGCGTGAGTAAGATTGTCGGCAAGTAGTGTGCGGTCAATGTAAGTGTGACGTGTCTTGTCGGACTGGTTATTGGATAAATTGTTCGTGGTTACAGTCAAATTCAGTGCAGTTCCATAGTGATCGGTGATACCTGTCTCAAAAATAGCTGTATCTATATATTTTAAATCTGCAATACGGACAAATATATGATCCAAACAAGACATAGAGTTATAAGAGACACGTGTGGGTTTATCAATGCACTGAACTAAGCCATTGCCTATCAAACAATTTAAATATCTGTCAGAAATGTGATTACCTTTGAGCAAGTCAATATTTATATCACCCACAAAAATCATCTTTACATTCAAAGGCAAATAGTTAAAGAATTCTTCGAGTTCTGATAAAAATAAGTCAACGTTGCTGTCATGAGTTCTGTACAGTGTAGTGAGAATGTATTGCTCACTGTGTAAAGTAAAGTTCAAGCGTAAACCAAAAACGTCTCCAATAGTAATCTGTACATAAGTGAAAGCCAGACGATTATTAACATAAACTAGTACACCGTCATTCTGATTGCGATAGTTATCTGTAGTCACAAGGTCAAAGCCCTCTATAACCTCTCCCCTCACCCCACCCCTCAACCAACATTCAGAAAGAACAATGAAATCAAGATTATGAATAAACGGATGTAATAAGACTAACAACTCGTCAAAATTTTTCTGGATACTACGAATATTAATGTGAAATAATTTTAACGTGCTATCATTAAGTTTCGTATTAAAAAAATTAAAATAATCCGTCTCTGTGTCTAATGCTACACAGGAATTAAATGAAAGTATATCGTCATCCACTTCACCCAACATGACCTCTGCACAGCCTCCCACCCAGTCAAGGACCCTGAATTTAGAGTAGGAAAAAACTAAATATAATAAAAAATCAAGTAATAATTGTAACAGAGTTGTAAAAGTTACGATATTTAACATATTAAAATTGAGCTTTAGAGTCCAAAGCTATACTAACCTTAAATAACAAATAATTGTAACATTAATGAAAAACTAAAATGTCTTTAACCCTGAACATGTGGTACGAGTATTAAAAATTGTAAAAGCAAATCCAAAAGCAAGTAAGATTAATAACGTATGGCTTACACAACAGATTTGATTGATCGCAAGTACAATAATATGTGTAAAACTGTAAATTAAATTAAATAACAAACCATTCCCACCCAGTTCGGGAACCGGAGATTCTGTGTATATCAACTTGTACTTTGAGTTTTGATAACCAAGAAAAAAAATCTGTGTTGGACTGGGAAATTTTCATTTTTTTAGTCATCGGCACCAAAAGCCTACAATCGAGGTTTCCACTCATTACGGCGTTTCGAATGCTGTCGTGTCAAGTAAAAAAATAACAACTACACCGGGTGATCGTGGATGTTGCTGCAATTTCAGAAGATCTGTGTGATTTCATTTTGATCGTAACAATCGCTATTCCAATGTGTCAGTTTCGGTTTCGACTCACCACTATTGTGCTAACTATCCGTTGACCATACCACCAATAGGCCTGTGGTCCATATCCTATTGGTACATAGGCCTGCCCAATTATCCACAGCCAAATTTCGACGACGACTCTCGTCGGTACTGGTACTTTTCCCCAAGAACCAGTTTAATGTTAAGTTAATCGTTGATTATCAAATAGAACAAAAAATATTTATATCCGGGTGACATTTAATTGCAAAGCATTTGGTTTGGCTTGAAACTGTCAGATATTGTTTTCGAATGTTGTGAGTATTCCTATAATCTATTGAACTGAATATAATAAGGTTTCAACTGACTACAAGATACCCGTCCATAGAAGGGGCACACAGCTAGTAAATAATAAACATAATTCATCCATATATTGTAATTATTATTATTATTACCTCCTTCACTGAGTGGAATGCAAAAATATTACTCTATAAAGTTTTATGGTAGAAAAAAAGGGTGGAAAACATCACACAATAATACAGTGGCTCTTAACCGACCTCGTATTAACCGATAATCGGATTATCCGCCTTCCATTGTAAAATAATGCAGTTTGTTTTAACCGATTTTGCTTTGAGAGCAGCTCGGTTTAACCGCCGCTTTCTAGGAATCTCGGCATTTCCGCTCCCACGCTGGGCGATGAGACCTGAACCATACGCTTATCTCCATAGGATATGACTAACAATAAGTTATTTTGTGTTGATCACAAAAGATATAGCATAGCCTATTGTCAGTTTGTCATCATCGTTCGTAGCTCGAGCACATCTGATCTGATTTGTTATCTGTGCGGCAAACTTATAACATCATAAACTGCGTTACGATTTTGAGAACTGATTTCTTATCGCCGGAGTAAACAAACAATGCAACTTATATGGAAGGGGGGTTAACAATTCCAAGGTCAAGATAGTTTTTGTGCTTGAGCCTTCAGTGAGAGGCTATAAATAAACGTCCTGTCTTGTAACAAAATGGTCGCTTGTATCTTTAATGTCGACAAAAGGTTCTGTACTGTATTACGATGTATTTCGAAAGCATCAATTAATACATTACAGTACTAAAGTTATTAAAATAGGAATTTTATTGACTCTTGCGTAGTATTATAATATATTCCACTGAAAGTAGTCCTATTTGACTTAACCGTGCTTTGTGTTTATTTGTGACTTTTCTATCAATATGAAAAAGGAGATAAGAGTAGTTTATTTGATAAATAATGCAAGTATGATTTCAAAATAATGATTATATAATTCCAAATGAATAGCACTTCATTGTGTTATGATTTTAGATATTACCCGTTTTATCCGACCTTTTGAGTTATCCGACCTAGGTCTGGTCCCATTAGGGTCGGTTAAGACCCCCTACTGTATTGCATTTTCCCATCTAGATTGTCTCATCAGGATTCACATGCACAAAATTGAAGGATGAATTATACACAATTTACCTCGAGGCATACGATGCCTGAAGGACACGAGCTCCTGACTAGCAGAGTTGTGTCGTCCCGTGTCCCCCTCACTGTCTGAGCCGAGGGTATCGTACTCTGAAATAGGCAGGTGCAGCGTTAGAATCTTCTTCACCTCAGAGTCTGTGCTGCCCAGGTTGTCTGATTCTGAAACACGACGTGTCAATGCTCGCTCTGTTACGTTTCTGCACTAAGAGGGAATTGACAGAATTGTATTTTTAGTACAGGACGGGATTTTTACTTCCTGATTATCAGGACGGGAACAGAACAGAATTTTTCATCTTGTAACAAAGGTAAACATTAGTTTTGTAAAAATTCTTGCACATAGCAAAAATGACAAACAAAATCAATTTGCAGTCTTTGCACACTGTTCTGTAAAAATAACATTCACAAAAACATATTTGGTGCAATTTAATTGGGGAGCATCAGTTTTATTAGTATAAACACCACAGTACAGTATTTATAAAACTTAAGACCTGCTTTCCTGAAAAAATCTTGATATCAAGGTAGTCTTGAAAATCTTCACTTAAATGTCATATAATAAGTCATATTTACCTTGACTCTCGGAGTGTGGATCTCTCAGTCTTCCTCCTTTTCTCCTTACTTTAGTGTACTCTGGTTCCTTTTGCTGAAAAAAAACATACAATTTTAGGCAAAAAGGAAAGCTAATATTAAATTTCAACTATATCTTTATCTTAATTAATGGAGCTGATTACTAACTTACTACTGGAAATTGTTTCTATAAAAAGAATAAGTATATGATGCATTGTTTTGAACTTATGTTTAAGAAAAAGTTGGGCAAAACTAATTGTATTTGTAGTACCCATTAGAGTTATTGGCCTCTACGAAAAGCCACACAGAAGCAGCTCATTTACAATGCCATTTGGCATTTGGACTTGTTTTGTTAGACTTCCTTTCAATGAATGGTATGGCATCAGTGACATGAATTGATCACACCAAAAAAATCATATCTGATTTCCTCTTTTATTAAAAAATAAATTGAAAGGCTTACAGCGGTAGAATATGTCTTTAGTAAATTTTTAACTAACCGACTAGTAGGTTTGCTATGAACGACACCAATCGTATATCTCCCCTACACTCATTAAGATGATGGGAAGGAAAAGAACTGTAAAGAACATGGGGAAAAAGACATTTTTCTTTGCTTCTTGTTATCTTAACCAAAACAATCCAAGCTGAATTAGTCCTTGGTATAATCCTTAAGAAACTATGGAACTTTACAGAAAATATGTTAATAAAACAAAGACTCACATATTTAGGCTTGTAGGTGTCGGCAGTGGTAGTCTTGGGCTCGTGGTAGACAAACGATCCTCTGACAGAGTGGTACGGTCCACTGTAGACATTGCCACTGTACGTGCTCTCACTGTAAGGCTGTTTGGACAACTGGAATGTTGCGTATGGACAAATGTCCTCGATGTACTCTGCAACATTATTTACATCACTGTATAACACCAACCTTTGAGCCCCAAAAGCTAATGATAGCCTTCAACAGTAACATTACCAAACATCTCTTACATCTATGCGTTTAATAAAAACAGCTAAAATTCGTTGCAAGCACAGAAAAGTAAGAAATGAGAAAGAGGTAACATCTTGCCCGAATGTGGAAACATTATCTTTGTCTCCTCCGACCATGGGGAAATCATGAACGAATCCTTTGCCCGCGGAGAAATAGAAACATCTTGCATGAGTCTCTCGCATCATCTTTGTCTGCTTTGATCATGACAAAATCGTGTAGATCTTCCGAGTTTGCGGGGACATGATCTTCTACTCCCGCTGTCGCGATAAAATCCTGGACATCTTCCACGTAGTGGCAACTCCTACCTTAACGGTGAAATACTGAAGAACTTTTTCGGTCATGCAGATTTCATTGCAGATTATCGCCGAAATAAATTTATAAAGACAAAAAAATTGAGAACTGTTGTGCCTGCCGTTAAGAAAATACGGCCCTGGCTATATAATATCAGCCTTTTTTAGGAGAGCTTTGTTGATAACCCAATAACAAACATGACATCTGAGTCAAGAATATACCGTTACTACGATCAAACAACTGAGCTAGAGATTTAACTGGAGGTAGCAATGAATGAGAGAAAGTTGGCCGCCATATGTACTTGGGGTAGTATACATTGTACTTAGTGGTGTATTAGAGGCAGGTTGGTGGGAATAGGGGATTGTGGGATTGTAATAAAGCCATGAGCCAATGAGATGGTTGATTCCTCTAGATGGGACTAATGTAACTTGCCATTGCTACGTCCAACAGCTATTCTAGCTCAGTCTCAAAGTGTATCAAAACCACAAATCTACATATTTGAAGGCAACACAAACCTATATATTGAGTTTCAGTGTGTAAATGATAGAACCTACCCGTACCTGTTGAGTCAGTCTTGTATGTGGCAGAGTCCAGTGACAGTTGGCCGCTCTGTCCGCCGTGTACTGCGTATTGCTGGTCTCTGTTCTGTTGATTCTGCATTTGAGCCACAGACGCAGACTCTGCCAGGTTGTTCTTGTCCAGTCCTGGCACGAGCATGTGTTAGATTAACATAGGAGTATATACATGTTGTGAGTAAACTATTTTATAGAATCTATTTATGATCCATTGTAGGATCCTACCTATAGTATATGGTTGCTATATTTAGACACACTCAAGGGATTTAGCTAAAAACTGGAAACCTATATTTGCCAAAAATAGGTGGGGTGGGCTTCCCATGGAGAACTAATAAAAAATTAAATTATATACCAACATAGAAAATGTAATTATTTTAGTTTGTCTTGGCACACATCTTATTCCTACAACACCCATTAACATTTCTTCTCAGTTCTCAGTCAGTGAAAGTAAAATGAATAAATTTAACATATTTTTTATTTTATCTTTTTTTTGTAGACATTTATTGTGCTCTTAAGTTATACCGTGGCCATGTTTGAGAATCTTGGACATCTTACCATCCCAGGACATTAGTAGCAAAAGGAGGTATGGAAACCATACTCAAGGCAGCTAATAAGTTCTGCGACTCTTCATACTTACATCAAGTAAAGGGTGTCCCAATAAGAACGCCGGATTTAAATTGTTAATAAACCATATATTTCCATGCTAAAATTACAATATGAAACAGGAATCTTAAAGCTTAGTATCCCCGATTAGTAATGTATTATCATGTCTTTTAAGTGCCCACCTGCTGCCTGCTGACAAGCCCGACATCTTTTGACAATGTTTTCCATAACTTATTCACCTTCTTGCTGTTGAACTCTATTAATGGCACGAATAATTTCCTCCTTCATGTCTTGGATTGTTTGAGGATTATTGGCGCAAACAAGCGACTTTAAATAACCTCACAGAAAGTAGTCACTCGGTGTTAAATCGCACGATGAATGTGTGCTTCATCGCTAAACAGCAAAGTTGTTGAAAATATGTCATTTTCAGCTTGATTTCCAACCACCTATCTTACAAATTCAAGCCGTTTTACGGGATCTCTTGGCTTGATCTCTTGTGTGAGTTGAATTTTGTAAGGGAACATGTATTATACAGAAATTCTTTGTACTGTGCTCTGAGCTAGGCCTAACTGCTGACTACGCCGACGAATCGATGTTCTTGCGTTGTCCTCTACACTATCATGTATAGCATCAATATTTTCAAGGGAGCGACCTGCCCGACTGCGCACTGGTCTTTTAATTTCCAAAACTGAGCCAAATTCTTCGAACTTAGAAATCAATCTTCGGACAGACGACTTTCGTGCATTGTCTCGGCCGAAAATTGCGCGCAACTTCCGCACCGTTTCAGCGAAACGTTCCCTGTACTTGTAGTGCACTTTAACTATGACCACGTGTTGATCCGTCGTGTAACGATTCATGACTACAAATGGGACCTAATACTGATTAAATCACTAATAATTTGGAAATTCCTATTGAAATACAGATAAGAATAAGACGCTCCTAAAATCCGGCGTTCTTACTGGGACACCCTTTAGTTTGTAAGCACTATAAAACAAATTTTTTTTTATATTTCAGACATTTTACTATACCTTGACTGTTGCAGAAGGAGTTGGAAACCTTATTCAGGGCAGCTAAGTAGCTACAGAAACTCTAACACTTACTTCTTTTCCTGAAGTAGAAGCCAGCTGAGGCAGTCAAGGAGAGGATGGCCAGAAGTAGGAAGACACAAGCCACAATCTTGAGGTTGGTGTAAAGATGAGCACCATTGTTGGATGACACTGGGCTTAGCAGCTCTGGCATGATAGTGGCTGAAATTTTGAATGATGTAAGCAATACACTTAACTTGACCTTGAAAACGATTGGCTTAAACTCAAAAGCTTTATTTTGAAACTACCAACCCCTTGAGGTTTTTCTATTGGATTTCTCTCCACTTTTAAGTGGCAATGGTGTACCATCATCATCATGTTTAAAATTTACTGTCACCAGTTTTAGAATAAACAAATTAAGATCGTTGAGTTTTAATCACCAACAAAGTTTGCTGATGTAGTTTACTAATTCAGTAGATGGGACAGAGCTTATTGTAAGCTATAGCATCTTTTATGTCACAACAGCTATCTCAGTAACAAAAAATAAGGAAGAAAATATGAATTTTAGACTGCTGTAGGTGGGTCATTCAACTATGATCTTTTAGAATAAAAGGCTGCAGCTGGTCCATATAGTATCGTTCAATATCCAAAAGTTCGTTAACTAACCTCCATCAGGCGTGAGTGTGGTGAAGTTGTAAGTGGCGACCTTCGACCCCGCGTTGTTGTGTGCCGTCACCTTGAGGTAGTAGCGGGTAGCAGGCGCCAGACTGCCGATGCTGTGAACTCTCTCCGTGGGCTGGACGTGGTTGGACACCAAGGTCCAGTCTGCCCTGGCTTCTTCCCGATACTCTACGATGAAGTAGAGGATAGGACAGCCTCCGTCTCCCCACGCGTCTAGCCACACGGTAACTGCCGTGGAGTTGACTGTCAGTAGCTGCGATGCCTTGGGCATCACCGGTGCTGCAATGTTGTTATGTATTTAGGAGAGGTAGTCAATTGTTATAGTAGACCTAACCTAGGAGTTCCTAATGGAGGTTTATCTAATAAGTGCTGTTGTGTATTAAGGTCTCCTACGAGCTCCAGTCCTGACTCAATGAATTCAGATCCATCAACTGGCAATGGACTTCAATGGTTAACCCCTACCCTTTATATCATAGGAACCTAAACAAAGAACCTGATTCATGCTTAGCTGGAGTGTCTTTTATTATTATTTTTCTTATTACCAACTACTATGGTAAGAAGAAGACAATCAAAAATTCAGGCCAACACTTATAAAAAAACACTTTGAATACCTGTGATTATTCATAGATATAAAGCCTTTTTATTTTTTACCTTATTGTATAGTAAAAAATACAAATTATTTTATATAAGTCTATGGTGGACTCACCCTCTGAGTGAGTATCTCTAGCTTTTAATCAACCTGTCTAAATTAAAAGGAGAGATTAAAAGCCAGAGGTTGTTACGTTGAACTGGACACATTTTGAGGGAAAAAGACTTTTAAGAAACATTGTGAAATGCTCCTGAAACCAAAAGACTAGCTGGAATGCTCAAAGAATGATGATGAGAATGGTCTTGAGGGATATGAGAAAGTCAGGGCTTAGAGCGAGTGGCTGTATTGATGAAGGCAGATATACCGCCTGGAGTTTGAGATACAACTGTGAGATACATACATATGGGTAGGAAATATATTGGATTAGTACAAGGCTTGAGGTAGTACTACCCGAAACTAGTTACAAATATTTTTAATATTAGTAAATCCAAATATATATCCGTCAGAGTTTTGTAACTCAAAGTGCAATTTTTCTCTACAAATATCACTCACCTGTTCCCTTAGTGAAGGTGTTGACAATATCACATGGCAGCCCAGTCCCTATCTTGTTGTAGGCAGTGATGTACAGTTGATACCTTGTTCCACACCACAGGTTGGTCAAGATATGAGAGTCGGCCTTGGACTCTATGTGAATCTCTTCCCAGTCTCCGTGGTCCCTTTTGTAGTTGATCACATAACCTGGAGCAGTTTGGACATGAGTATATTGTAGTGGTAGCTGATTTTGTTTATCTTGTAATCAGAAAGCTAGTAGTTCCACGAGAAAAGTCAGTACCAGTAGTTTTTTTTCTGGTTCCAAAGAGCCCAAAGTTTTTTATGGAGCTGCGCTTGATCATTCTAAAAGGTCCTGGCTAATGAATCAGGTGATCATGATCAGTAACAATGATTTCAAATCATTCAATCAACACCTTAGCTTTAAAGTTGGCGTTGTATGAAATAAAATGAAGTTGTTGCAGATAGTACTTTGCTGTTGATTAATACAAGGTTTATGTACATACGCAATTTCGCGTATCGATTGTGTGAGTTGCTATTGCAGGTAATTTTTCTGATTAACATGTTACCATTTTATAGCTGTTAAATGGACTGCTTAAGGAAAATATTTGCTATTTTGTCAATTGAATACTCTGAAGAAGCACCCTCTTGTCCTTGCTTTTAACATTGAAACATGTTTTAATTTAAAGGGTGTTCCAATATAAAACAAATGGTTTGTATCATTTCAATGTATTCATCACAGTGTATAATTTGTGCATAAACTTAAAAGTAAATGATAAACAACTTTCCTAAGGCTCCTACTTTAGTCACAAATTCTATTAAAAACTGTAAATAAAGTTAAATAGTTTTTTAAAATCCATTCACTTGCACCAAACACACTTGGTTTGGTCAAAAAACAATTTGCTTATCTCTGTTAGATCCCCAGTGAGTAGCCAAGTCATTCATTTGTATTTTATTCATAAATAAGGAAATAATTATGTTGAAATAAACACTGAACAACAAAGTTTTTATACAGCTTGTTATAAAAGTAAACTTTAAGTATCTTTATTGATGAATCTAATCTATAGATAATCTAATCTAATCTTTGTCTAATCTATAGTTACCTAAGATAGGAATGTCCCTCTGCACTTTGTCGGTCCACTTGAGATGAAGACTGTCAACTTCTGAACTCACCACACTCAACACAGGGGGGTCGGGGGGAACTGAGAACACAACCAAAGCAATAATTTAAAACAATGTCTAACTAAGGCTTAAATCTATAATAAAGAGTAAGCATTTAAGTACAATAGCTATTAATGTCAGTTATTAGTGTCTTTATTTATGCATATTTATGCAATGTAACCTAAGAACTATGCTACAAAACTATAAAATTTGCAAACCCCATTCCCATAGTCGTAAAAAACTCGATAAAATCAACTTAAGTTTATATGTTATTTATACCAAATTATAAAAAAATTTAATAAAATGTTCCCTTCAGTGTGTCAGATTGTTTAAATTATTCTTGTTTATTTTTTAATAGCTAAACATAACAATTCCCAAAATCACCGTAAAACAGCTCATCAAGCATACACAACAGTCAGTAGTACCTCTAACATGTACGGTGTAGACGATGTCATCTTTGCCATGAGTGTTGTCAACATGACACGTGTAGTTGCCACTATCGCCATGTTGTATGTCCCGAATGTGCAGGGTACCTTCCTTGCTTACCTGCAAGGAATTAACAACGAAATAAGTCAAGTGTTATTTTCACCTTAAAAAACAAGAAATCTTATTTTTTTGTAAAAGCCCAGTATTTTACATTGCCAAAGAAAAAATATTCATCATGCTGCAAAATCTGCGTTGTAAAAAATTATAACAATCGAACAATGGATAAGACCACAACGGAAATAACTCAACACAAATTCGAGATTATTTTAAATTTACAAATTTCTGTTCGTGCATTCTTTTCTTAAATCTCAAAATACGCTGGTTATGTTGAACAGAAGAAGTTATGAATCCATGTTTCACTTTACAACATAACCACATAAGCATAGGTTTTCTGTGGAAGGCTAGCATATATTTGTGATGTGGAAAGCTCAGTATGGTCCCTTATACGGGATGCGATGATGTGGTGGGATGGGACCGTGTGAGAACGGTGTTCCCGCACTGCGTTTTGTCCAAGATTCCTTTAATTAATTCTAGATGTTATTCAGTCCTTAAGCGATAGTGTGCCTTCTCACACTACAGTAGAAAATTTACGACAACTCAATTGTTTGCAATTTTTTATCAATATCACAGGTTGTGATTTAAAAAGTCCTCAGAAACAGATTGTTGTAGGTAAAAAACCATAGTAAAATACTTAATTTGTAAGTAAAGCTTTCTTCATATTTTATAAGCTATCAACATTCTCCTAATATTATGCTGTTAATTTATACTGTTGTGCAAATAAAATTAGCTGCATTCCACTTAAATCTGTGCTGTTGTTTGTTATTTGAATGGTCTTACATTATTGCAGAATTTCGACATCAAAGTCTCTCATTTCTTAAAAAAAACATTCAAATTGCAATATATCCTTTTACCTGGTATCTTCCATTGGTCTGAAGAACTTTTCCATGCAGTTTCCACATTGAAGTAGGAGGGGGAGATCCAACTTTTTTACATTCGAGTGTCAAATTCTGCTTCCATGGCGTAATGATCTGTCTACTGAATGATATGATTCGTGCTGGCACTAAAACATAAATACTTGTTCAATGCAGTATAACCATCAACACATTAATATTTGGTATGTTTGTAAAGATATGGTAACTAGAGAGGTTTTGGCAGTAAAGTTTATCTGTTGGATTGAAAGTGTGAGTGAGTTAAGTTCTATAAAACGATTCCATCAACCTCGCTTTAGAACTCACCTCAACCATTCCTATTAAGAAACTAAATTTAGATCACACAGTTAAGAATTACGGTCTTTGAGTATCAGCATAGACAAATAGAATAAATATAGACCGTCAGCTGTGCTGCAGTTAGCATAAGTTCTGGTGTCCACCGCTCGGTTTGCCGGGTAATTACGACGCACACCACTGCAGTGTCTGCTGGTCACATACGGCTCCTGCGCTCCTCGCCTACAGCGGTGTGCGCCGTAACTACACGGCACTCCTAGCGGTGGGGACCGGAACCTTCCTTTGAAAGCCTATATTTATTCTATTTGTCTATGGTATCAGAGACCTCATAAAAAAAAAACATGTTATACAAGTCTGATCCTTTTGATGCTTCAAAATGTGTCTATTCATTTAAAAGAAACTGATGGTATAATCAATGAAGTAACAACTTCTAAACAGTGTTTTACACGTTTACTCTCTTATCTCATTCATTACTCATTTTAGAACAATATTCTTCAATTTTTACTTTGTCTATACCAGAGTAGTTTCATATGAAAGATTACTTAACACAAGAAAATCAGCCGATGCTCCGTTTATTCATTGAGATTGAGACCCTTCCAAGGGTCTAGCATGTCACTCTTGTACCTAAGTCTGGAAGACTGAATAGGCTAGCAATCCAATTCAACAAATTAAAACCATAGTTTTTAATTTGTAGGGTTCTGAAGTGTATTTTCATCGAGGATGGTGTACATTTTTGTTTGGCCATGTTGCTAGCCTAGTAGTTGGTGTTGTTGTTCAACGACTTTCGCGTGAAAGGAACAGGTTCAATCCTCAGCATATCCAAAAACAAATTGGGTCTCGGACCGCTTTCCTTGAAAGAGTGAGTTTATTGTAAATGCCATTAGTGGAGACACAAACAAAACAAAAGATAGAAAACCTTTAGAATTTGATAGTTTATCTAGTCGGCTAGATAGCTTACCCTTGGTGGAAGGAGAGATGGTGACGACCCTGGTACTATCACCCTCCCCGACCTTGGTAGAGGCTGTCACCCAGAACTGATATGTGGCACTCTCTTGCAGTCTCACTGTCTCGTGGATCTCACTGGTTGGGCTGAGGATACGCTTGTGAGTCCCCTCCTGGAGGGAAACAAGAATTGAGTTCCAAGAATGAAGAGTAATATTGAAGGAGGATTGAAGATGAGAGTGGATAATGGATAGTGCAGGATCAGAAAGATGAGGATGAATGATATAGGATATGGAGGATGATTCATGGATGAGGTATGATAAGGAAAGAGGATCTAGGATGAAGGATGGATTATTTAGGACATCAAATGGATGATTAAGGTTTATTATTGATTGGGTTTATTATTGATGATAAAAGATTGAGGATGAACAATAAAGAATGCAAAGTAAAGGATAAAAAAAGTAAAAATTATTTATAACAAGGGAGAGGGAAAATGAAAAAAAACCAAAGAATGGGAGACTGGGGATGAAGAGTGAATGATAAATGACTAAGGAGGAGGATGAAGGACAAAGAGCAAAAGAAATATATTGGGCGATTGAGGATGAAGAATGAAAATTGTTAGGGGTGAAATACAGGATGAAGGATGTATACAGGATGTGAACAGAGGATGTGTGAAGACGAATAAAGAATGGAAAATTGGACTTTAAAAACAAGCAATAGCAGGCTTAAAAAAAGAGAGAATGTTACTTCAAAACTACGAGTCAGCCCAAAATTCTAAAAGTTGAATATCCCTCTAAAGCTACAAAATAAAGATCTTATTCAATGAAAGTTGCATGAATTAATATTTAAAAAAGTCTTTGACAACTTCAACTTTTATTGTTTTAAAACTCTTTTACAGCTTCAAATTTCATAGAATTACTTAACAAAAACAGTAAATACATTAATAAAATCTGGAATCTCATTAATAAGGTTTATGTTACCTGGCTTCATCATGGAATTTCATTATTGAGCTGTAATAATTACCTCTTTCCCATCCTCTACAATGCCCATGTAGAAGGTGTAAGCTACGAGTTCTCCGTTCCTAAAGTCCGGCGGAAGCCACGACACCACAATCTTGTTGACAGAACTCATGGCTACCTTGATGTCAGCTGGGGGTGATGGAACTGGGCACAGGAAAAAATGTTTCTAAGTTAAACATCCAAAAAAATATATAAAAATTTAGATAACATTGTAACTACTAGTATTTGATATTTAATCTTGGAAAGAAACTGAAAATCTCCTCATTTTAACCGTCCCAGCATGAAACTTCAAAACGTTTGTTTTAATATTCCAAAGTAGTAACAGTATAGACTTTATTCATAGTGAAAAAATTAAATAGAAAAAGTAAATACGAGGACCGGTGATCTACGTACGATGTACTCGTAAAGTTCCTGAGAGGGGACACTTTGTCAATAGAATGTTCGGTATAACACTTGAGATATAAAAAGATATTTTTGAAAAATAGAGAATGGGAATTTATACCATGAAATTATATGGTTCCAGACGTAATCGTATATCAAAATTAATTGTTTCAGCTGATATTTATGGACCATACATTTATAGGAAAATACTTGATGATATTGGTATGTTTAACAGTAACATTCATGTGTGTAACAAAGAACCCAAGGAAGGGCCTAGGTTTTACGATTATTGTTAGGTAGAGAACAGGAGAGTCCAATCTGGTACAAGAAACACAAAATTTAAAATAATCATATACATTCGAATATATACTTCACTCTCCCTTATAGCATCTCCAAGGAAGGTTTAAGATGAGAAGATATTTATTTCCAGGAAGACGTTGTTGAAAGTATGTTGCCAATATGTAGTTATTAACATTTAATACATTGAAGTGAAATATTCCAATGTTTTTATTAGTTTAATGGTAATGTATTGTGTTTTTTTTTTAGCTAGATTGGACTCTTTTCTAGTTAGGAAAGCCTGATATTCTAACTAATATCCTTAAAACATTTTAAGTTATCAAAGTAGTCTACACTCTGTCCCTACCGTCTTCCTCAGTTCTGCAGTATACAGGTGTGCTGCGCACTCCGTCTCCACTCTGCGTAAAAGTCAACACAGACACACTGTAGTTGGTGTACTTGTGAAGTCCCAGCAGTGTTGTCCTCAATGCATTAGTAACCTTCGTCTCCATGTCGTTCTTCTCTGTAATCCAACATAAACGTAAGCTATCGAATAAATCTTAAAAAAGTTTAATCAGAGGTTATACACAATTTAAGAGAATCTGAAGATAGAGAAAGAAGATGTAAGAAGAGAAAACCGCATGGGTATGGCAGTAGTGTAAAACTTTAAATAGTACATTAGTTAATAATCTGAGTCAAATAATCTGAGTTATTTGAAGTGAAAATATGTATATTATGTAAGTTGGATATAATTTTTGCCATTACTTTCATAAGTTCAGCTGTATTACTTTTGTAAAAATCTAAGTTTGTGTTAATGGATTTTCACTTAAATTGTTTGTTGATTCATAATTAAGGTGTTTCAACATTGTTGTGTATTTATTGTAAATGAGAACGTATAGAGTCCCAGTCAGTTTTAGTACTAAGCTACGTGCATTTGATACTCACCATACCAGTCTTCTGCAGGTTGATACGAGACTTTGTATCCTTGGACCATCCCGTTCCTCCCCTCTGGTGGAGGAGGCTCCCACCAAACCTGCAGACTCTGGGACGTCAGTGCGGAACAAGACACGCCCTCTGGTGGTAGAGTCGGCACTGAGGATAATATGTATTAGCAACTGAGATGGGGACATCGCTGGGTGTGTTTTAATATGAGTGAAGGGTAAGTGTAAAATGGTGTGAGATACCTTGAGTAGCCGTGTTACTGACTAAGACACTGTTTACTTTGCCAGGACCATTATTTCAAAAATATAATACATTTTACAAATATGCCATTTTCTGTGGCAAGTTTTGGAAGTGATCGGCAGACTACGGGCACAATCAATAGATGTGAGGCGCTATCGACATACAACAGATTGGGAGACGTAGGGAGCAATGGGCGGAAGTCTAACACCTTATGTAAAAGATTTTAAAAATCCCACATTTTTCCCCTAAAAATCTTGTGACTTTTGGGTCTCTTCTGACATCAAAATTGACATTAGTTTATTGCTTTACAAAACTAACCTCCCTCCAGGGTCCTGACAGTGACAGGTAAACTAGCAGGACCAGCACCACGACTGTTGTAGGATTGTACTGTGATGCTGTACGTGGTGTACATACTCAGACCTTGCAGTGTAGTCTCACCTCCGTACTGGGCTCCTACCTGCAGATCAGCAACAAGTGAAACATAATAGTCAGGATGGTAAAATCGTTGTGATTCATCTAGAGCTACTGGAAACTGATATTTAACCTCTTCAAATCCTTTACTTGTAACTAACACTGGGTAACAATTTTCTGTTGCGGCAAGTAATTTACCGTGAATGATTTTAAAACTTAACTTTTTAGCACTACCAAACAATTTGATGTTATGAAACTTCAAAAAGACGTGATACCACTTACTACCTAACTAGAATAATATTTTATAATGTAGTATGAAATTCCCCGGAAAAAATTTAAATAGGTCACTTCTGATCCAAGGGATAATCTTATACACTCCGTCAACCATTCACACTACCTCCACCATTTTTAAACTTAGCTCATTGATCAGATAGGACTAAAGCTTTGTCAGTCCATCACCTAACACTCATACCTCCACAGACTTTACGTTAGCAGCTGCCTGAGTAGCCGTGGTCGTGGGGTTTGTAGTACCAGTAGTAGTAGACTCTGCCACCTCCGCGTAGCTTACGTAGTACCCCAGCAGATTGCCGTTCCATAATTCCCTGTCTGGCGGACTCCATGTCAAAAGAATCTCCGTGGAGCTCTTAGCCTTTGCACGAACGTCATGGGGTGGTCCACTAGGCACTGAAAATTATAGTAGTATAGTAAAAAGTCTTGAACAGATGAGAAAGTTGTCAGGGTTTTGTCTTGTAAAAAACTTTTTTTTCCTTTTACATCACAATCTGTAAAAATATAGTTTTCATAAAGTTTGGAAATATCTAATATATAAAATTCTCGTGTCACAGTGTTTGTCTGCAAACTCCTCCGGAACGACTTCACCGATCGTTATGAAATTTGGTGTGTAAATTCTGTAGGTATGCGAATCGGACGTAAACTATTTCCCGTTTCGAAATTCTTAAAAGGGCTCCGCCCCAGTGGCTCTGGAGTTTCCCATGTTAACCTTATGAGAAATGGAATTAATGAATCTTAACAGCTGTTTCAATTAAACAAGTTGGTTCTGTTCTATGATGTTCAATAGCATTAAAGTTACAAGGATTACCAACAGGGTGCAGCACTATTATTTCTTTTACATTTATGACAACAGCTAATTTGCAACCAAAAGGTGAGTGAGCGTAGCAAACGAACTTCAACCTGGAGGCGAGTGAGCGTAGTCAACGAGCTAACCTGAAGGCAAGTGAGCGCAGCGAACGAGCTCCAACCTAAAGGTGAGTGAGCGTAGCGAACGAGCTCCAACCCAAAAGTGAGTGAGCGTAGCGAACGAACTTCAACCAGGACGTGATTGAGCGATGCGAACGAGATCATCTTGAAAATTAAACGTAACGGTACTTTCTTTCCATCGGTCTGTCTTAGGGGAAACCTATAACTTAGGCGATACGAAGTTCGCCGGGTCAGCTAGTCTATATATATAATATGTTTTAAAAAATTTCATAAATATTTTCAACTAACCAACAATGCAGTTCATTAGGTAGAAAGTTTTAGTTGCTAATTATACTTTTGACACATATTTACTCCTCTAAAGGTACCAATGTCGTTTTGAAAATACAGTACATGTCACATCACTAGTTTAGTTTCATATTTAATGGTAGATCGAAGAAAAATTCGAGATGTTACATTTCCAAAGATTTTTTAGCTAGTTATAACTTTGACTCTAATCCTGTAATTGGTTCCTTAATATCTGAAGCTGTGGTTGGATTAGAAACTCTAAATCCTGAAATATTGAAACACTTCTTTTTTATCAATTAATGATAGAAATGTTTAGTAATCCTTTAACAATAACACATATCAGCAACGATGATCTGTAAATGAAACTAAAGGGACATTGCTAATTTAAATTTGACAGCTCTAAACATTTGTATTTAATTTGAAGTTTGCATACTAATAAAACGTTGTAGGTTCATTCATATCTGTGGACAGTGTCAGATTCAAAATCCATAATTAACGTTACCTCATCCTCATGTGATGGAATTTTTTTTTACATAGTTTTATTTACAATCTGTTTTGCATTAAAATGTTCACAAAATCATTTAACATCACTTCTCACTAATAAACTGAGGTAACAAGTCATAGAACTCTCACCTTCCTCCTGGGTGGTAACCTGGATGACCTCGCTAGGGTCGCTGGTGCCCAGACGGTTCTCAGCGAGGATGCGGAAGTGGTAGGACTGCGCAGGAGCGAGGTTCTGTACAGTAGCAGATGTCTGAGATCCCGGGACTACCACCTTGGCTGGCTGAACTGGCCACATGTCTACAACCAAACAGAGCTTCAGTAACTCTACAATTGTAAGAGTAATGCAATGCAACCCCTTGAAGAGACTCTGAGACTATTAATGGAAATATATCCTATTCACATGTTATAACTGTAGCTCATTTTAGAACGAAAATTAACACATAGCTAAACTGAGTCATTAATACATGGGGGTTGTGACAATGAATGTAGTCGATCAAGTTTGAAAATCTTTGGGTGGATTTACCAGCCAACGAGAGTGCTGATTGATTATTGAGTTTAATAACTTGTGAAAAGAAGCTAAACAAATCGAAAGCTTTATAGGTTTTGCACAGTTTTAATATGTATTGAAACAAACCATTCTGAAACACGGCCGCAGCTACATATTTTTCCAGGGGGGGGGGGGTTAAGTCCAAAATTTGCCGCCTTTTCATCACGCAATAAAATATCAGTATGTGTTCTTTAGTTACAGAGGTGTCATAGAGGCTTCCTTAGAGTCCAGCTATAAGTTACATGGCGTTTGATCACTGGAGATTAATAAATCTGATTAGATAGTTAGTCCGCCATTTCGCTTACAGAGCAAATCCAGATCTCAAAGAGGGTCATCACTGTGAGTTATTACACAAAAGTAGATGTTTTAGTACAACAATTAATATACATCTTGAATATATTGTTTACCAGAGACAAGTTTGTACTGCACTATGTAGCTGGTGATGGGACTGTTGCCAGCGTAGGGATGTGTCCAGGACAACTGCAGGGATCTGCTGTGCTGATCATTCACTCGGATGTTCTTAGGCATTTCAGGGACTTCTAAAATTTTCAATCATATATGTGAGTACATGACTAGTATATTCTACAAATAGTATATTGCCAATCAACAGATTTTTGCCAAACATGTAAATGCGGCTCCAGACATGCACCAATCGCCAAGCACGGAATATTTGACGTTCGGCGATCTAATTGTCTTGCTATTCACCGATTAACGAGTAGACGTCAACGCACATGTTTTGTTTTCCGAGCAACTGTTCATTTCTGGAGTATCAATATTTGTTCACTTTGATGTGGGCAAAAATACCGACATTGAACGGGAAAACACGAGCACGAATGTTTGCTGCAAACACCTATCCACACTACTTGGTGCTTGGCGAATGGCGCATGTCTGGAGCCGCCAAACAGATTATTGCAGCTTAATTGATACCCTTTATGTAGTTCAATAATTTGTCTTACATGATGTATGGTTTTACATGATTTTTGCATCAATTAGTCAGTAACAAAGCTACACAGATCATCTCGATCTCACTCCATTCTACACTCATACTTGGCTTTAAATACACACATAAGTGGTGTCCCCAGAGTATGCTTAAACTATTAGTCGAGGCGCTGAGGGGGTTTGAGCATGCATAAAAGTGTAACGAAATTTGACTTTTGATTGTTGCTATGGGTACCTAGTAGATAAAGAAAATCGATGTTGTCGCATTTCTAGGTGGTTAATAACATGGGGGGGAGGGGGTGAAGTTGGGGGAGCCGCCCGGGGGGCCGCCACGCACAAAATAGCTTATATCTCGAGAACCAAAAGTCATATGAATACGTTAGACATGTCAAACTGTGCAGAAAAATGCATTCTACAAATAGATTATGTAGTAGTTTCACGGAAATTCACAAGAAGTTACTAAAAATTATATATTTTTAATTTACGATAAGTATAATCAGGAGTATAATGGTTTTTGTTGTTGTTTAGAACCATTAATTTTTTAATTGACAACTTTTGAGAGTAGTACACTATAGGTAAATAGTACTTCTGTATAATGAAACTATTGCGGTACATAACTTAACAGATATACAATCCTCAGATCCAATAAATATAACACAAACAAAGGCGCAAAACGCGTCGCGGTCATTGTTCCTGCTGCCGTAACTATTAACGGCGAGTACAGTTCAAGCTGAGACTTATATTATACTTTTAGAAAGATAGAGATTCTGAGGATTCATTTTCATATATATAAAATAGTATTGAGGGACTATTATGTAGCGAGAAATATACTTTGTAAAAGAAGAGAGTTAAAAAAAAATTGGTAGTTGAACGTTTCCATCACCTGACTAGGCTGCACAATTGGTGCATGGTGCAACAGCTGTTTCGGCGATCGCGTGAAAGGTAGTGTAAACGATACGAGTAGAAAATGTTAAATACAAGCCTTGGCGAGTGCCTTAAAAACTTCTACGAGTGTCGTCAACACTATTTACGCGAGTTGTGTGCATTAATTAACCAGCGACAGTATTTTAATTACCAAAAACCACTACTCAAAACTTAAAAAGAGAGGTAATTTTTTCTTTACCCATCATTGTCTCTGACAGTAATGGAACAAATCATCACACCAATCGTTAACGATTGAATTGACCTGAACAGCTGAAGTTATAGTTGAAGTTCGAAGCATTCTAATTTTACTTCTTATCTCTCAATCCTTGACCCTATCTGGGTACCAGTGGTGGTTATATTTTGGCCCTTTTGTAGTCGTACCATATGATTCATCAGAGAACAGTTACATGCCCATATAAGTAGATATCTATTATATATTATGTTTCAGTGATAAATTTAGAATATAATAATATAAAAATATATATTTTTCAGCAATGTTTTTAGGCGTAGTAGCAAGAGGTTTGCAATTTTTTGGATTATTCAAATTAGAAATGTCTAAATCAACCCACAAAAATCATAAAAAATAATGTTTTCATCCATATTATCCAAATGTTAAGGTTGTGTAAAATATGATTCCTTACGTAGAAATATCAATTTTTTTTTTTAATACGCATAAAAATTAAAATTATAAAAAACTACCAAACTATTTTAATTACCAAATTGTATTTAATTGTTGTATGAGAAATAAATTTATTGCATCAACAGTAAATAAATATTATACTGCTGTAATAATTTAGTATTTTCAAAAATATTTTTAATAGAATAATTTAATTTTTACCATATGTTTTTATTTTTATCAATATGTCAATCCATCTCTCTTTATCAAACCTTGTATAATATATGGCCAAACAAACCAATAGGTAATTGATTCAATACATTATAATATAGAATATTTTCAAATAACCTTATTTCATGTAAATATATAATAACCTATAACCTTATGTAACAAAGTTGCTTCAAATTCAATATAATTTTACTTAAATAACTTGTCAAAATTCAAATTTAGCTCTATGGCAAATGAAAATTGTTATAATATATGTGTGAACAGTGGCCTACAATTTTCTGTGATAAAGTCAGCATTTTCATATGTGAATGTAACAGTGCATCAAACCTTCCTCACTTCTAAGAGTGCTGAACTAGTATGAAGATATAAATTGTAAACTGTATATTTTAATATAAAAATTTATAAAAAAAGTCCATATATTTGGAATAAATTAGTGAAATTTGATTAAAGAAGATCCGTCCTTGATACAAACATTAATAACTACACAACATCAAGAAATTTAACTGTGAAGAAGACATCAATTTTGGTGAGATCACTCCAGTAGACATTTTATTTCCTTGGATCGAAGCCATTACAACATTTTTAAGCCTAACTTTTGAACTTTTGTACCAGAATTTAAAAGTCAAGAAACTAATAGAAGCTTATTCAGAACATAAATTAATTCAACCTTTCAGAAAATAATTCGAACATAATTTATATTTCAAAACAAAATTTAATTAGGCTATATATAATCACAAGATTAAATTCAAACGCCGCTCGATCACCCCACCTGGGATAAAAATCCATGCAATATAACCCCTCAACCTAAATTAGAACTATTGTAATAGGCCTAGCCTAAAGCGTAAATTAGTAAATTCATTTGCCATTTGCCACCCTTTGTAAACTTTTATTGTGAACCCTTAGTTTTTTCTTTTACCATCAATTTTGTATTGTAATGAAATAAATTTAAGTTTAGATACTGTACATGGAGTTTCCATTGTATTCCTAGCTTGTATTTGTAGCCTTGTTACACTGCATAATTTAAGAGTAAAAGCTCTTTATAAAAATGTATAGATAAATGTAGTTGAAATCGAAATTTCCTGAGTAATTTACGTCAGAATGTGAAATGTTAACATTTCTTTCACGAAAACATAATTTTTATGACCTTTTCAAAACTACATAAAATTGTTATAACCAACCTCAGATTTGTAGATATATAAATTGTAGGGAATTTATTGCAGTTTCAGATGGTGATGGAAACGATCCACCACCAAAATATATTTTGAACTCTCTTCTTTTACAAACTATATTTCCCGCTACATAATAGTCGCTCAATACTATTTTATATACATGAAAATGAATCCTCAGAATCTCCATCTTTCTAAAAGTATAATATAAGTCTCAGCTTGAACTGTACTCGCCATTAATAGTTACGGCAGCAGGAACAATGACCGCGACGCGTTTTGCGCCTTTGTTTGTGTTATGTTTATTGGATCTGAGGATTGTATAGCTGTTAAGTTATGTACCGCAATAGTTTCATTATACAGAAGTACTATTTACCTATTGTGTACTACTCTCAAACGTTGTCAATAAAAAAATCAGTGGTTCTAAACAACAACAAAAACCATTATACTCCTTATTATACTTATCGTAAATTAAAAAAATATAATTTTTAGTAACTTCTTGTGAATTTCCGTGAAACTACTACATAATCTATTTGTAGAATGCATTTTTCTGCACAGTTTGACATGTCTAACGTATTCATATGACTTTTGGTTCTCGAGATATAAGCTATTTTGTGCGTGGCGGCCCCCCGGGCGGCTCCCCCAACTTCACCCCCTCCCCCCCATGTTATTAACCACCTAGAAATGCGACAACATCGATTTTCTTCATCTACTAGGTACCCATAGCAACAATCAAAAGTCAAATTTCGTTACACTTTTATGTATGCTCAAACCTCCTCAGCGCCTGGACTATATGGCTCAATCAAAAGTCTCAGGTTCTGCGCATTATTTTACCTTGCACAATTAGCTGGATAGTCATCTCGTCTTGACCGTAAGCATTGCTAGCCAGACATGTGAGAACACCTGTGTCGTGACGGTAAGCTTGAGCGATCCCGAGCTCTGACATGAAACCATCATCCAAAACCTGCTCCCGGATTGAGTATCTGAAATTAAAAATCAAATTAAAAAGTGACTGAGCTTGTTTGTTAACCATATTGATTAAGAGATAATTCAATCCATTCTATTTGTTTCTAAAATTATAATATGTCCTGTTTTCCATTGTAAAAAAAAATATTGTTCCAAATTATTATTTGAAATTTCACATAATTTTAGCTTGGAAGAAAGGAGAGTTATACGTATATGTATATTGTCACAAGATTTTATGACTTTTGGTCCTTTACTCAAGGCCTTGAAAAATCTAAAGGGGAACTTTGCGAACTAAATATTCGTTGGTCTTCATGTAATAGTAAAAAAAAAAACACTTTTTAAAATTGGATTAGCTATCCTCCTAAGCCCTATTAATTTTACAATGTAACACAGCAGATTGAAGTAAAAAAAATATATTTTGTAAAATTTAGTAATATGTTTATTTATTTGGAGATATTTCAAAATATGCTTTTTAATGCACAGTGATTTAAAACAGTTTTTTCCTCAATTACCTTCCAAGGACAAACTTTTAACTGTGTCCATTACTCTATGCAAAGCACAGGTAAATAAGGTACCAAATATTTGTTGTTGTTTTTTGTTAAAAAAAAGTTAATCACACTTATAAAAGTGACAAAGGGATTTGACATATTTCCAAACCTCGAGTCAAGATCTTCAGACAGCCGTTGACCTCCTGATTTCCAAATGATCTCCAGAGGGTTGTCCCCCTGAACTGTGCATTGTAGATGGGCTTGATCACCTTTTTCAACTTGCACCTGTTTTGACTTTTGGAGAAAATTAGCTGGAGCTATAAGAAAGAAAAAAAATCACTTCAGAATTCAGATTAATAGTGCCACTGATTAGTTTTGCATAGACAAATAGAATGAATGTAGACCATCAGCAGTGCTGCGGTTAGCATATGTTCTGGCAAACTAACAATAACCATAGACAAATAGAATGAATATAGACTGTCAAAAGAAGCTTCCAGCGCCCACTGCTAGGAGTGCCGTGTAGTTACGGCGCACACCGCTGCAGCGTCTGCTGGTAGCATGGGCTCCTGCGCTCCTTGCCTGCAGCGGTGTGCGCCGTAACTACACGGCACTCCTAGCAGTGGGCGCTGGAAGCTTCCTTTGACAGTCTATATTCATTCTATTTGTCTATGGTTATTGTTAGTTTGACATATTATTGTGCAACCAAGAAATCTAGAATCTTTTTATCCCGATCCCCTCTGTATTTTTTTTGTAAGGACCTTATTAAAAATGTTATAATGAAGGACAAAGTATAAAGTTGATGTACCTGGGTGGAATAGTAGGCCTACTACCTGGGGGTAGTATCTCTTAAGAACAAAGTAACGGATTTATTGCAAACAAATTAAAATATAAATTACGTAATCAATATAAGGAGTAAGTTACAGACTTAATGGTGATACCAAACAAAAATTTGTTCAAGTACCAACAAACAACCAAAGCTTAACGTCAAAACTAACAGAAATATACTTTTAAAGTAATGCTGACAGACAACCTACTGTAGAACAAAATTTAAAACAAAATAAAACTGCCGGTACCATTTTATTTACTTCGCCACTACTGTTCCAGCCATGTTACCAACCTTATGTAACGATGAGAGACTCGTTATATAGTAGCCGATAACAGTGCTAGATTCAAACTATATCATCTGGTTATAACTTGAGCTTGGTGGAGAACTTTACAAACAAGCTTTGCATTTAGATGACACAATTGATGATGCATTTCTACTTACCATTAACTTTTAGAAATATGACTTTGCTAACTCCAGTGCCAATCTCATTCTTAGCTTCACACAAGTAATGGCCTTCACTGTCTTTGTTTATTTTCTGAAACTCCAAAGATCCGTTGCTGTAATAGTTGATGTTCACACTTCCGTAGTTGTAGTGAATGTCTTTGTACTCTCCTGGATGTTCTCCTGGAATAAACAACAACACATGTTTAGTGTTTAACCATAGTTTCTTTCCTCTAATAGACAAAACTGAGGCCGCAGTGAGACAAAAGTGCCAACACCGCTGTCTCGGCCAACTGAAATAGCTGTTGTACTAATTCATACTGGAGTGTCTGTGCAAGGTTTATGTTTACTTTTTGTTATAACTGTTATTAATATGGCAATTTGCTGGCCGGTGAGACGTTGCCTCATACAAATACCGCTCATACCAGTTTAACATCTATTCAAAATTTAAGAATACAAACGAAAACAAGTTTGCAAATTTTTATTCTTATCCAGGACGTTTGTACAAATTTGTTCATCACTTTCACTTAGATTCCACCACCAAGGCAATAACTGACTATACCATATAACTCTGCCTAAACGGACTTTTGGTAAATTCTTTGAAATCTAAAAAAATCAGAAACATTAGCCAGATGCAAAGGCAAATCTCGCTCCCTAATTCAAGTTAGAGCTTCTGTGATGCTACTTAATCACTGTTGTGAAATCGATTTAACATATCTCATAATGTTCATGAAAGTCAATCATTCCCTATTACTCAGTCCTGCAATAACATATGACTGTTAGGAACCTGACTCCAATTTATTTCCAGGAGCATTCATCCACTGGTGTAAAATCAGTATAAAGCCAACTCCTTGAAAGGAACTGAAAGACAATCAGTTATTGAAGTCTCTACTAGACACAGTTGATGTTTTTGAGATGATAAGCAGACAGTAAATCCCATCAAAAGCACACAACATAAGTGCAGCTGTATTAACAATTGAACATGAAAAAAGTGTGTATTGTAAACTCTCCTTTGAGAGAACCTTATTGTTACAACTACACGACTAGACAAATCACACACCTACGGCCTTCTTCCAGTGTATGGTCGGAAGTGGGTATCCGTCAGCCTGGCAGTGTAACATCACGTCTTGGCCTGACGCTACGTTAGCATCTGTTGGCTCCACCGTCCAATGGGGTGGCACTGAAACACCATATATATACTAAGTAAGATACTAATAATAAATACTATGTAAGATAGGGACACAAACAGTAATACAGAACACATGGTTGTATTATGTGATTTGGTAGTTGTATTTTGTAGTTCCGAAACAATCAGGTCTTCTGATGTTGGTCCTTGTGCAAGAAACAATAACAAATTTACACTATGTTATTAATTAAAATAGAGTAGTGTTCTTGACAGAGTTTTCAAACAAGGAAGGTTCAAGTTGGGCAGATATGTCTTCCAGTTAACTCATCTGTTCGTTATCACAAATCAGGAAGTCCATTGGGCAAAAGGGTCTTAAAAATTATGTTAGCGACAGTGAAATATTCTAATTATGTGTATAGTGTAATTTGGTTAAATTTCTAGTACCATAATGAAATATTTTTCCTATTCGTTTATTTACTTTTGTTTATCCAAGGCCATTGGTATCTTTTATGTTATTGAAAGGCAATGACCCAAACCATATAACATACAAACTTTTTGTTTGCTAGCATCATTAAGCTATGGCCAAATAACAAATGGGTTCTTTATCCATAATCAAACATATCTTTGGTCAAACAAACAGCCTTACATTTGGATTTGAAGGTGAGCACTATAATCACTAGGCTACACAGAAGTGCGCCTGCTATCCCAACAATAATCCTTGGATGTAGGCCCTTGAACCCTTTTTTATTTTAAACTTAGGTCTAACATGTTTACTAAAAGGGGCAATCCACCGCCTTAACATTCATAAAAAACAACAAACATTACATGTCAGACTTCAGTTGTATCTTTACAGTACATAATTTAACTAAATGTAGAGGGAAGAAGATGTTCAAATGTTGTTTACCATTAACAGTGACAGGTACAGTAAACTTCTCCGTGCCGGCCACATTGGAGGCTATACAGGTGTAGTTTCCTGTGTGTGCTGCCGTGACCCTCTCAATCACTAGGGAGCTTGAGTACTCATCCACTCTGTAAAAACAGTGTGTCAAATAAATAATGGAAATACACATTTCAAACATATTTTAAGTACTATGACAAAGCTATCATACAAAAGATCAAGCTTCATATGCTATCATACTTAATGCTATGAATTTACTTTAATCAGTGCTTTATTTATGTAAGTTGAAAACCTGAACTTAAACATTCTGGGGTATTTGACTTCTCTAACATCCTTATGTCCCCTACTCATAGAACATTGTGATGTATATTACATCAATCAGCTCAAAACTTCTCAGAACACTGTTCAACCGCCTTCCCATGCACATTGGCATTGGCATTTGTCTAAAACAATACTATAGCTGTACCAATATACCATAGGATACAAGCATCAAGAACAAGGAAATTATTTAAAGTTTTTACATCCCTAATCACTAGGACAGCAAAGTACTTGTGTGCATGTATTTCCCACCGAATATGAATACAAGGTGAATGTAGAACTGAGTGAGAATATCTGTGGAGCCTTTCACTAAAACTTGTTTCTTTAGCCCGTATATTAAAAGCCCAATCAAGGGTAGTTGAATCAATTTCAAACCATCAAAAAGTTACCGACTTTTCTCGGAACAAAACCCACAACCTTTAAAATCAATGTGAAAGAGTGAGTGTAGAATAGAGTGAGATTATCTGTATAGCTCTGTACTGGTTGCATCTGTTTTACTGTTGAGTTCAACTTACCTCCTCGTGCTCGCGCCAGACCCAAGTTCCCGAGCGCCTCCGTCACGATCCCATCGGAAGGTGATGGGGAGATCCCCTTCCAGGATTTGGCAGGATATTGCGGCTCTCATACCTTCCCGGAGGAGGTTCGTCATCGCCTGGATAGGCATGATCTTTGGAGGCACTGCAACATGCAACAAATGAGCGTTTTTTCAACTAACTGAGAAGAAGAAAAATTTGTACAGCTCTTGGAAATAATTGGATAAAAAAATTACTAAACATTAATTTAGGTTTAATTTTCATTAGAAGAAGGTTGTACTGAAGGTGTCGAAACAAGAGCAACAATTAAACTCTTTCATCTTCAACATAACTGGAAGGTGGTGCACTACGATGGTCAAAAAAATAAAGACGTTCATTTTCAGTATTCACAAAAACTTTCATTTTAAACGAATCAACTGAGCTCCCAACAATTGCTTTTCATACATTTACATTGTCAAACTTAATAACAAGTTGTATGTTGCTAAAAAGGTATATAACAAATAGAACACACTTACCGATCACTTGCACTTCCACGTCCCGGCGAGCGGAATTGCGTTGCCTGTTCATCGCCTGACAGGTGTAAGTGCCTGCGTCTGTATGTCTCTGGGCCTGCTCTACCACTAAAGTACCATTGGCATACACTCTCTGACGTCTGTTGACTGGCAGCACGTTGCCATCTGTAAGATATCAACATCTTAGAATGTTATGGTAGGTCAGGAGGTAGGTGTTTAGTAGTAGTATGATTTTTAGTTCTTGTGCGAGACTTGTCCATCAAGGGATTTCATGTGTGTACCATTTAGTATATTGAAGCGTTATGCGCCCAATGGCACAGAAAACGTACTACTATAACCCAATGCCAACCGCATGGTAAAAAGCAAAGTGTTTTGAGAGAGCTTTGCCTGTCAATCCGTAGGCAGCGCCACCAGCGTTGCCAGTACCTTGCTGGATGAGTTGTGTTGGATACTTTACGACACACTAGCAGCGGCAAATATACTCTGTACAAGGTAAGCAAAACACAGCCCATAGAATCTATAGCCTATATTTAATTTGGTAAGGGGATTCTTACGTCAAAATTGTGGGCGTCTAGCAATTCGTATAAAGATGGGAGAGGGCTCAAATTAAAGTTCTTTATTCCGTGACAGCGGGAAAAATACAGAAATTTCCATAAATTTAGCATACAATTTTATATACCGGTAACACAAAATATTGTCCATAGTAACAATGTCATTGGAATTAAAAAACAGCTGATTTTGTTTACTTTAATACAAGTGATCATGTTAAAGCCAGTACCCAATGTAGTAATAACATGAGATTTTTTGCCAGTTAGCTTTACTACAATGTATTTAATACCGTAAAAAAAAAAAAAAACCAGTAACAGGTATATAAAGTGTAATACAAAATTGAGACTTTTTGTAATGATTTATGTAATGTTAAAATCTAACTTTTTTTATGAAATATTTTACATTATGAAAACATGCATTGTAAAACACATGATTTGTTTGATTTTAACTTGAACGAAATGAGAAACACTGCATCAGCTGAGCTGATCGTTAGTCGTAGTATATCTTTAAGTGCTGCCCACTTATTTTCAAGCAAAAACGTATTACGCCCCTAATAAAAGTAAACTGTTTTGTGTTGTTTGGTTGGAATACATGTTGAGGAATCTTTTTTGAGGTAACCCATCAATGTTTGCAATAATTAAAAATTACACTAAACTTTCCATTTTCATGAGCAATTGATCATCCGTAAGGTAACATTACAAATTAAAGCTTTTAGTTTGTAAAGCAGTAAAGTGTAAACAGCTGATCCACTAATGAGGACGTGAGTCCAAGCTTTAATTTGCTTCTCGTTAACGAGGCCTGTGAACCAAGTGGCAAACATGCAGCGGTTCAATGCTGAATGCGGGCAGGAGCAAGAACATTCAGTGAATGCAGAAGTAACAAGTGTTTATAATTTGTAGCAGCTCAGCTTTGTGCATTCAACTGAATAACTTTTCATCTGGAAAAGCAATTAGTGTTTATATTTGGTTCATTTGCAAGCAAAATTTATCAAGAAAATGTATAATGGATTCAAAATTTTGGCTAGAAAAATGCAAGATGAATAAATTATTTGTATGCATCACAAGGATTGATTTATATGTGTAGGATGCTCGTGTAATATCTAGATTAATTTATGTTCCGGTGTTTACTGTATATTACTCTTCCATTTACCTGTATATACTTGACTCAATAAGGGTTTTCTCTGTAACATCACTTTCCGATTTATAGCTCTTAATAAAACATCTTGGTGGAATCAGAATTTGATTATTTTTTTTTTCGTAAATAAATGGCTGTTCTTTATGTGGAAAATTTGGTACTATTATCCATATAGAGGGATTTATTTACGTTTTAATCTGTAAGAGAACAAAGTTGATTTATCAGCTTACCTTGCTCCCAACTGATTGACTCTATGGGGTATCCTGCTACTGGACATTTGATGATCAAGTCACTTCCAGCCACGGCTGTTATCTTTGGCATCTCCCGGATGTATGGCAAACCTGAGGATAAATCAGAAAATTGGAGGTTGCTTTTAGAATCTGATAAAGGCAAGAGCTGAAAGGTTGTTCACTAAAATACTAATTCTTTCAGAGTACCCTTTTAGGTGTTATGAGCCTTTACAACATTCTTTGTGCATTCATCAAGAATTACAATAGTGTATTGAGTAAATTAAAGTACATTTTAATTTACAAAATGTTTATAAAATTCCTTAAGGGAGTAGAAGGGTCTTGACTCTTAACTTGGTATGGTAAAATAAACTCTGAAAAATCAAAACTTAGTTGAATAATGTTTTATCTTATAGTGTGTGCGAATATGTAAAGCATATTTCAAATTTTTCTCACCCCATAAAATTGCACAGTTAAAAAATTGGGATTGAAGCAGAGAACAGTGTTTTACAGATAGGTACACACTTAGTCAGTTGCTCAATTAACCTAAGTGCTTTCCATTATGAAACTTGCTGCAACTTTAACTTGGAATGTCTAATTGGTAATGTGTATAACCCTACATAAATAAAAAAATATTAGTACAAAATTATGAACAAATATTTAAGGACCAGTCAAAATTGAAGTCCCAACTGTCCTGATTGTTTGCTCATAAACAAAACGTGTAAAATGTGAGTTTATTTCTGTGGAATAGTATTCTCAAAAACTTTGCCAATTTTTTAGCTAGATCAAATGTTTGTATTGAAAAACTATATAATTATACACATTTTTCGCTGATAAGTTTGGTAGCCTCTTTTTAATACTTTTTTAATCCATTAAATACTATACTTATATGGTATATATATATATTACTTATACTAAGTATATATAAGGTATATTACTTATAAGGATGGCTGAATAAACTATATTTGATTAGGCAGTTTGAAATTTTACGGTACTTTTAAACCTTCACACTTGTTTCTAAATGTCAATACAAAAACTTGTATTCACCATCACCCAAATTTCAAAGTTTAAAACTATGATAGCTTATAAAGTTTTATCAACACTTAAAAGATTGCTATGAAAGCTACTTCAAAGTATACTTTTATGCTTCTCCGCTTAGATGGTAACAAGTGAATTATGATGCAGTTAAACCATCTAAGAATAAACTACATAACAGTGCTTCAAATGTAATGTCCCCAACTTTTATAAGAGCGCTAGTTTAGAACACACTAAGGCAATCAAGTTTTGTTAGTATAATAAAATAATAGCAAGAACACTGAGTAGCTGGGTGGGATATAAAGTTTATTATCCCGCCAATATTTTAGGGCGTCATGATGGGCTTGCCTATAAAACTTTTACAGCCTTATGCAGTCTTCAACTTTCTTTCCCTTGAAAGGGAGATATGAAAACAGTTTTATAGTTGAATTAGTGTAATATTGTACGATAAATATGTTTAATTATTATTAGAGAGTTAATTTTTAATGGGACTACCAGTATAAAAGTATATTATGACAAGGTTATTGAATGGTTTTATGGCTTAATAATGTGAATATGACTTATTAATTCTAATAAAGAATGTTTTATGTTAGTGTGCCAAAAGTATGACTATAATACTATTTCAGGGTTGGAGAAGAAATTTATCATTGTTTTAGCAGCAAAAAATTATTTGGTTTTAGGCTATTAACCACAATAAGAAATTAGTAAATTTCATAACAAGAGTAGAAATAGAGTTATAAAATTTTATTTGAGACCATGTTTGAAGTGCGAGATTTATCGAGCACTTAAAATGGTCGAGAATATGTATAGATTTCACTTGTGTTTTGAACGTTACTTTTCGCTACACTACAAAGACTAATTTAATTTAATTTTATTTTTTTAAAATCTAATTATCAATTCTGTTTTAATTTTTTTAATTAAAACAGATATTTGATATTTCTTTATTACAGTTAGGAATATTACAAAACTCAGATAACTTTTAAATAGTCAAATTAATTAATTTATAATGCTAATAGAAAGTTATGAAATCAAATTCCCTTCCAATCTTACATGTTATTAAAAAATTCACATAAAAGATTTAACATACCATAAACGTTAATCTTGGCACTGTGGGACACTGAAGCGACACTGTTGCGGGCTGTGCAAGTGTACTCTCCTCCGTCTTCCTGTTTGAGATGGGAGATGTTTACGTGACTGATCACGTCATCATGTATGGTCACGTACTGGCCTACAAGGTACCTGGTACAACCACAATACAGTAAATACATGTACATAGTGCATACATGTACAGGGCAGGGATTCTTTTGTTTTGACAAAACATCACAGTATTTTATATATTACTTGCATCCCACTCAAATGATTATGAACTCTCACTGTGTTAGTTTTAAGACCCGCAGGTTAGGAGCCCTGATTGAACTGTGGGTCCAGCTATATCCAATCCTTAAAAGCAAACACTCACAGAAAGAGAGTCATCCTATAAAGGAGCTGCATACTTTATGTTGCTCTCACCTACCTTAAGCAAAAGAACCGCAATCCAAATCAGCTTCATAAAAAAAAACATACTCACGGAGATCCTCTGCTGGAAAAATCCGTCTACACCGAAATAGAATTCATTCAAACATGACTTGCAGGTGAAACGTTTGTAAAATGTTACAAATTGTAAACATACCTCAATGCTTGTACTGTTCTCGTTGAGCATGTCAATCAAGAATGTTGCATATTAAGTATAGTTTTGTGGCTACATTAATGATATTACCTGCTGTTTTCAGGGATAGGAAACCCATCCAGAGTCCAGACAAACTGAGGCGGAGGATTGCCAGTGGCCACACACTTGAGAGATACAGCAGGCCCAGGCTGCAGAGTCTGTTCAGAGAACCAGTACACCAGCTCTGGACTGGCATCTGTCAAACAAGGTCAAGTGAGATAGAATACTTGGAAAGGAAATTGTTGGTGAAATCGTAGCCTTTAGAGCAAGAAGGATGTCATCTTTATTGAACACTAATCCTTCACCCAAAACCTAGACTACCCAACCTGGGTGGTCGGCATCATACATATAATCCATTCATTCAAAGTCAAAATAATCGTGTAACTTCCTACGTTGTTTGCAGCATGTTTGAAACCACACTTCAAAGACTCTTACCTCCCAGATGAAGTTCAGCCGTAGCTTGTGCCATGTCCCAGTCATTGCTGACAAGGCACTGGTACATCCCATGGTCCTCCTTTGTTAGTGTTGACACCACCAGTCTCTCTCCCAGTGGTGGTGGACCTGTCAGAACCTGCACGCGGCCGTCTGTAGCTAGAGGCCGGCCGTCTCTGTACCATGCAACCCTAGACACTGGAGAACCCCCGGAGATACACTGGAACTCTGCTGGCTTGCCTACATCCACTACTTGCGACTGGGGCTGGATATGAGCTGTCAGGGGAGCTGCAATGAGACAGTGTTTTATTTTTGTTGGGCTTTATTTGTGTGTTCTTCAAAGCCATTGGAATTTAATTACAAACAATAATGGCTTCCCTATTTTCTGTGGCTGGCTTTACTTAAACCAGTTAGTCTAGCTGGGCCAAGGTCTATTTGCATCTTAGTATGATTTACATATGTTCATATAAAGAATTGTCGAAATACTGCTGATATTTATTAAGTATTTAGCTTATTTAAGCTAAATATTATATTTTAACAACTTAACCCTTTAAATTTCAAAGAACCATGAGTTGCACAGCAAATCCTTTGATTTTAAATAAATAGATTGGGTTTACAGATTTTTTGTGCAGTAGACTTTTGTGTGGATGTTAAGGCGAATTCTTTTCCCTATGAAGTAGCTGGAGGAAGATTGAGTGTTCACATCTGGTCTAAATGTAGTCTAGAGAGTAAAGCAACTCATGTGGAGTTCGACAAAGTTAAGTTGGAAAAGTCCTCCTGAAGTAAACAGTGAACAGCTCAGAAAGTTGATAAGATGTTTTATTAGATGTATCTCAGATCAGACGTTTATCATACTGTGTGGATACACCAACATGTTTTATAAATATTTTGTTCATGTGAGCAAGGGGAAAATACAATGAATTAAGCATGATTCAATAAATGAATAATCCCTGATGCTTGCAGGGTTAAGATTGTGTTGTAAATATTTTCAATGTTACCTGTAACAGTGAGCGTGACCTGTACGGTTTCTTCTCCTGCAGAGTTGTTGACCCAACAAAGATACTTGCCGCGGTCATCCAGCCGCACCTTGGATATCCTCAGTAGTCCCGCAGCCAACAGTGACACTCGGTCCCCCAGTGGTACAGGGGACAACTGTTCTCGCTCCTCCCGGAACCATCTATATATATGGGGGGAAAAGGTAAAGTATCAAAGTATAGCTATTGACTCCTCAGTTACACCATCTCTGATGATTTACGGTGGTATCAACATGTTGATCAGCTTTCAACAAGACTAACCGCTGTAAGATGGTCCACAGACAAAAGAGATGTTCTACTGAAAGTGTACTTTGGATGCTTCCACAGCTTAATAACACACATTTACATTTACTCAAAAGGCCGGTAAACTCTATTGATGAGTATCTAAACCCATGAAGATAGGCTTATCCATTGACGACCACGGTGCAGAGGCGCTTCTAGTGGGAGAAGTAAAAGTATCAAGTCTAGTAGAGAATTTTTTTTTTTTCTTTTGTTCTAGGACGCTAGGCACGAGCCTGGGATTGTTTTTCACATTACTTCAGGCTAGACCTAGGGGTTGCGGCACTATCACTTAGATAAAATCCATTGGTGACTTGGCGGGGATCGAACCCGGGACCTCAGGGACTGAAGTCCCGCGCTCTAACCACTACGCCAGCTCGCTCCCTTGGTCTAGTAGAGATGGAAGTAAAATTACTGTGGTTCATAAAAATAGTTGTAAACTAAGACATACGGTATATTGAATTCCTTGTTTACGATATACACATTAAGGATATCTGAATGATATGAACTTTTATGTAAAAATGAGGCGTCAGTCATACTTTCCTTCACACACAAACTACTGGTAAAAATGAAGTGAGATTTCATACAAATATTACTGCAAATTTTGATTTGACAGATAACTGATTTCTGTTACTAGACAAAAGAACTAACAAGTAAAACTCATGCGGCAATGTTATAGTATTTAATTTCTAAAATGCATTCTTGGGTTTGTAATTTTTAAATAACCAACTAATAAAATATAACAAGCAGTTAGCCTAGTTATAAAGGAGCAATCGGCAGAGGACAGTACCATATGTATATATAAAAAAAATAGATAAGCAGTATCAGATGTATATCTGAGTTGCATATATTTTGAACCTTTATTTTACAACATTAGTAATTTGATTCTGGAGTGCATCCATTTTGATCAACTAATATTTTTTAATATGTTAAATCATGTATTTTTCCCAGAAACCATCCTTCTCTTTTTCCTATTCGTCAACCTTAATTTTGATTCATTTTTTATCATTCTTAAAATCCTAAAGTGTTTTGTGTGAATCTCACATTTCTTATTTTGATCCTAAAACTCATTTTACGCTTGTTTTATATAACTACGCTTACAAAAAAAGGCTTTACTGTTTCTATCTTTAGAAGCTCCGATTGAGTGACAATAAAAAACAATATGGTTCTATCGTCGAATAAGCACCACCAAATTAGTTTAAGGTATAATATTTCATTGCCAATCTTTAAGAAGACAAATTCAAGCAAGTTTGAAGTGTTTCCAAGGGCCAATACCTGTAAGTAGGCACTGGGAACCCCTGAGCGACGCAAGCCAATGTAACGTCATCTCCTATCTTGGCAATCTTCCTGCTGTGTTTTTCAACAGTTATCCTTGGCTGAACGTTCCCCTTTGGCTCTGAAACAGCATTGGATGAATGATAAATAAAATCAAATCATTCTCTATTTTGTAGTTTCATTAAGAATAATACAATGGCGTCAAGGATCATCAAGGATACAGAAACATCGATTAAAATAATCTTGATTTTGTATCGATGAACTCATTACAATTCCGTTTTAGATCAATTTCTTCCTTATAATGATGTTTGGCAGGTGAAAAGATTTTTATGGGCCTATATGATGAAAACTGATTTTTATTAGGTTTTTCATTCGTGTATTCTTTATCGCTTAAGACGCCCATCGATATTGAAATAAATATGGTTTCGTACACTATGTTTTTCAACGAGCTAATAACAGTACATGAAGTTAATTTGTCTTCAGGAGATACTTTACTAATTAGTAATGATGAATTAGAGGTGAAAAGTCCTCAACAGATTTACTACCGGCCGTCACACCTCTCTGTATGTATTAAAATACATGATATTATGCCAACTGGGCTTGGTGGTGAAAGTGTTAAAACATCAAGTAGATTATCTCGATTATCTCTTGAAAACAATGCACAAAAAATAAACTACGGTACCACCAAAACAGCCATGATTTTTTAGTCAACGTATTAACATGTAAACTAGGTAATAGGCACATCAATTCTATCTTTTAGATATTCTTTTTAGATAACATATTTACTATTACGTCATTTTTAACCGACTTCCCCACTACCAACAAAAGGAGGAGGTTCTCAATTTGTCTGTGGCGATGTTTTTTTTTTTCTATGTATGTTCACCAATTTCTCTGTGATTCTTTTACCGATCAGTGTGGTTCCACCACCAAAATAACCAGGAGAGTTTCTATTTGGTACCTTATATATCATGTTTAAGTATAATATTAGTTTCGGTGAAAAATTCTGAAAACCTTAAATATTCAACATTTATTTTGTTTACATTTGTGCAGATTGTTTACATTTGTGCAGAGAAGGCAATAAATAATAATAACATTCCTACAGCTGTTAGTTGAAACCATTTAAATGAAGCTACAGACAATTCTTCATGAAACAGTTGCTTCATATTGATCAATAAACTATTTCTTGCCATGGAGCCTAAATTAATTACATTGAGAAAAATGCTTTTTGTTTTGGTTACTGTTGTATTAAGTCTGTTCTTCTAGTCATATGATTTATTTGTGTTTAAATATCTTATGTTGACAGATGATTTTTGTAAACATGTTTTTGTAAACATTGGTTTAGTTTTGAAATAGAGTTTGTTGAAACAAGATGTGTGTTTAATATTCTTGGATTAGAAATAGAACAGTTACTATAGAAAATGTATTTTAACGTTTGACCTGATTTGTGTATACAGTAATTCTGTTTTTAGTATTGAATATTCTGACTTACTAAAACATATATGTTTCAGTGAATAGCTGTATGATATCGACAAATAAAGGTGTATTGTGAAAACCAAAGCATTCGTAAAACAGGTCTAAATATAAATTTAATGCAATTATTCCTCACACGGTCTAAGAAGTGTGACAGTGAATAATCGTCAATTGTCTTAAAAGTGTTAAATATTTTAATTACTAAACATGCATTTGCAGATGTGGAATGTTTATTAATATTCTCTACCCAGTTACTATTATCATATCAATACTATTATGCCTGCTTCGGAAAGTCCTAGGGGAAGATGATTTGCAATTTCGACTAGGCTATATCTTGATCAAACAAAACCCCCTACATGACTTACACTACTTTTAGCTGAACCAATCTTTCATATAATATTTTCCAAAGGTACTATACGTGTTAACGACCAATTTTCCACTTTTGATAGATTGTTTAGTGCTGGTAGCTGAGGAATAACTTTCACATTGTTCCAAAAGGCTTGAGACGTTACTGTATTTCTTTTTATAATGTAGAATTACACCGATTGCAGGAAACGATGATGTCTGACAATTCAATGTATCTAGAAAAGACAATTAGTTTTTCATCAGGCCTAATGTAATGGACAACTCTTTCTTTCTTAAGGAATATCTAAAAATGTTTATTTTCATAACCAATGATTATGTAACCTGAACAGGTGACTCAAGCAGTTTTAAAATAATTATTGTTCTGTGGAACTTTTGATTGTTTCAAACAGTTTTGCTTATCAAAAAACCTCAAGTGATTGATATATAAAAAATTATACAGTCACTAAAAATCATGAAATAATTTCTTTTTGTAAAAAAATACAACCGACTTCAAACGCTCTAAAAAGAATGAAATAATTTCAATAAAGTAAACTTTTGTATTAGGCAAGCTCACGTATTTCAAGTCGGCGCGGCTCGAACTGCAAATATGATTGAAATTAAATATTGTGTGTGTATTTTGAAAATCAATAAATTGTAGCTGGATAACATAAATATATAAAAAACATAATGAACTGTTTTGTTTATATATTAAAGGAAATATTTTCTTGTATTTCATGTTTACTTCAGAATAAATGCATTATGAAAATAAAACACACAAATGTTCTATATGAATAGGAAAATAATTTAGTTTGATATTATGATAGGGAAAAGAAGCTAGTTTAGTATTAAAACGTTACTTTTCAAAGTTAGAAACATTTAAATGCGTTATAATCTTTTTAAAGATACTCGTTGATACCACTATAATGCCGATCTCTGATTACGGTAATAAAATAACACTTAACGCATAACTATGAAAAGCACATGCAGATTAACACCTTTAGTTATAGATAGTCACCTGCAATATGGACACCCTCTTTCAATTTTGTATCAAAAATCATCATAGAGCCGCGCCGACTTAAAATACGTGAGCTTGCCTAATACAAAAGTTTACTTTATTGAAATTATTTCATTCTTTTTAGAGCGTTTGAAGTCGGTTGTATTTTTTTACAAAAAGAAATTATTTCTCCAAACATACTCCAAACTTAATTAATGACATTTACAAGTCTATTTTTGAAAATTGAAACTTAATAATTAATTTACATTCGAAAGCCTGTAACCTAAATTAAAACAGTTGTACTGTAAAACTGAATTCAAATTGAGTTTTTATTTTAATTCAACCAAGCTTTGAATTTCTATTAAAATGAGGTCGTCTCCTGAGCAAAGCTGTTTACAAATTGCTTTTCTCCCTTTAGTGGATTTATTCATTCAATCCCAGCTGTTTATCATATATCTCAATATGATGCTATATTAACATTATTTTTACTTAGCAGATATTCAAATGACATTCACTTTATACTATCGAATATTAAATAAACATAAATGGAAATTCTATGAAGGCTGGTCATTATAATAAACATACCAATCAGAATATTAAAGCAGTATATCAAATCTAAACTTAATATTTAATTGACAATATTCAAATATTTAAATTTTCAATTAAATTCATTAGTGTCAGCCATTTTTTGGGTCCATTTCATTAATCTAATATGGTTTTGTCCTGTAGGTTATTTAGCGCTTGAATTATTAATTTATTTTCCAATACTCAGCTGATGTCACAATTTATAGCTGTCAGTAAAACTTAAAATAATATCGTGGCATTGAAGCTCCAATAATTGATTAGAATTGAATTAATAAAATGTTTCAACTATGCTCAGCGCTCAGCTTCATCATTTCAATGTCAAAATAATTATAGGTTTGGTTTTAGTGATGACAATTTTTCAACGACTGAATGTGGCATTTTTCGTAACAGTATTAGATAATATAGGCCACTCAAAATGCCTTACTTACGTAGATAATTAAACGAAAATCGTTATTAGTTTGATGAAAGTGGTAGCTGAGCCCAGAACTGAATCATTACAATATTTTTCCAATTATCTGCTACAACAGATTGTAACTTTTGAATTAAAAGATGAGCACACCTGAAGTAGCCTTATAGAACATAGAGGGTTGAGGTAAGAACCCATCCTTTCTGGGAAATTCGTTAAAATGTTTAAACAGATTTTTTTAGAATATGGAAACATTTTAACGTTAGGAACATCACAAGCAAATACAATACAGGTTCCTCAAAATTGTGTACACTAGTTAGGTTGGATAGGCTAATTTTGTTATAGGGTTACTTGAAAACGAGGGGAGTTTCCTTACGTTCCGAAACGTAGTGTTTAAAACACTTACAAATAGAAAATATCCGAACATATCACATTAATGCTTTACAGAAATACCTTTTTTAAAACACATACCTGTGATGATGATCCTTCCAGGATAAGCACTTGCATGAACATCTCCTGTCAGCTTGTGTACGGTTCTGCAGGAGTAACTCTTGTACCCATCACTGGGCCCAGCGTTGTAGATGTATAGATCTCCATTGCTCAGAACTGCATACTTTCCTCCTGCAATGTTGATGTGAAAAAATATTCATTTTGTGTTTAGGAGGTGGAAGAGTAGGACGTAAAAGGGCAACGGTGGTAGAGCTTGAACAATAATCGTGATGTAGAAGCAAGCGGGTAGAGTCGAATGTAGAGTATTCTGATAGGTGCCTCGGTTGGCGAAGACTTGTAAAACTACAGGAGAAAGGCTTTACAGGAATGGAAAAAAGGTAAAAACAATAAAAAGAGATTTTGTTTCAACCTCAAAATAATGTGTCATAACCCACCCCAACCAATCCAAAAACAAGTTTTTTGTAAATAAAACTATAGGACTAAACTAAAAATATACAGTTTCCAGACTCAGACAATGTAAATGATCTATTCATAGAGTGACCAATCTTGGCGTTTACAGAGCTTTGTGCTAAGGTTATAGGAATTAAGGGGTAAGAAAAACATAAATCCTCACTGGATAGCCTGAAGTCTTTTCAATTTAAAAGACCTATAGAATCTTGTTATTGTGTCTTATTATGATCAATATATCTGTACAATATTCTAAAATTAAGAGTTGTTTCCATCAAGTGAAATGAAAACCACTGATATAAATTGGATGAACATTTGTAAAAAGATAAACCATGTATTGCGCATCTAAATTTACTAAAGGTCTTTATCAGCTGTTTTGGTCTGCCCTTTGGACATTTTAACAAAAAAGGTACAATCACATATGCTTTTTTGCCTTAAATGCTACTTCGTTTACTTTTAAGAAAGCTTATACAAATTAATGTGACTTGACTCGATGTAATAAAATGTGAAACTAGACGAAATGTTAAAAATACAAGTTGTACCATAGACAATAGAGTATATTTATTTCTTTTTGTCTATGGTTGTACCAAAATAAATAATTCAACTTACAAAAATGCACGACACGTTGGTGGGCTTTTAATAGTGGCAGTTTTGGAAACATGAGTCTTGTATTACTGTGCTCTAAAGGTCAAAAGAAACAAGAATATAACAGCGGAAGTATGCTTGCAACTTTTATGAAGGGAGGTAAGTGATACGAATCCAGAAATAACCTCTGGCGTTGCCTTCCAGTTCTGTCCGTCAATCTGTACCTTACTGCTTCTGAAGGTTATTGTTAAAATTAACAGGATTTTATCCGAGAAATACCAGTGTACGGATGAAATTTGATTCTAAAATGCTTACCAGGGTCTCGTTGTTTATGATTTGGAATCATACGTTAACTGACATAAAATCATAGTTTGCTACATGAAATGTACGTATGTTGTAGTTACATGTAATCAAAAACATTAAACCTAATTTATTCGGAATTTAACTAAAAGAAATGAAATTTACAAACACATTATGTGTTATGAAAAAGAACCCACAAAATGTAAATGCATGAAATGCTTCGTATGGATTTATCATCCTTATAGGTAAGCAGAAGACGGTTTCATGGTTAACTCGGATTGGTTTAAGTAGAGGCTCTTTTGTCAATCTTGCAATTCAAGGGATGGTAGCGTCATTGAATTAAAACAGATGGCGGCTGCCGTTTCTGTTGGTTGCAGCAATAAATCTCCGGGACATAATACAAACACGAAAATTTTTCTTGCTATCAAAAGATTTTAAAACTTTTAAAACTAAAATGTGAGTTGGTTGCTCAGTCTGTAGCCCCATGGACTTCGGGCCTAGGGTAGCGATCTCGAGAGTTCGGATCCTGGTCACTGCTACAACTTTTAATCAGTGCGGTTCACCCTTGTACTGTCCTGGCTCACCCCTTGTTTTTCTGAGGTACTTTCCACGCACAGACCCAAGGCATGCTATCTTTGACACGGTCGTCATCTGATCACCACGAATTTAGAGAATTAAAGTTTAACACTCACCAGTGTCGGTGTTGGGGTAGATGTTGATGATGCCGTCCTGGACCCACGACGTGACCATGATGTACTCCAACACGTAGCTAGGCACCTGACACCTCAGTACTGCTGTGTTGCCGCTGATCACGTACTCGTCGTACACTTGCACGTCGTACTTCTGCTTCACCACTGCCAAACAATCAATTGGACAGTTTTCAAACCGTGTCTCAAGACTAAAACTGATAGTTGGTAGCAGATAAGAAATCAATCAATCTTTGAGGCATCAACCATTTATCATAATGTATTTACCAATCAATTGGTTATGGCCACACGAACCAATCGTAGGTAAAGAATGAAGTGAGATTACCTGTGTAGCTTTGCTACTACTATCAAAAACTAATGAATGTTTATTTGGGTAGAGTTTTTAATACGCAGGATGAATTTCAAGTTGATTCAATATTCTTTTAAAGGAACGCCTTTAACTATAGCAGAAATTGTATTAGCGCTAGGTAAGCTGGTAAGGATATAGCCACCGGAATAAACTTAATGTAGAAGTTGTATGATCATAGGAAAGGCTAGTAGTTTTTTGATGGTTTGGACCTGGACTGATAATTGGTTCTGACAAAAACCGAAGCTGATCTTAGCCTTAAGCTATAATCTCATCCATTCCAAAAACAACTCTTTGCCCACATTCACCTCATCTTAGTGTGTCTGTTGCCATTGGTCTAATCCATTTTAATCTTAACTTTGATGAAGTGACAAAGTTAAGTTAACTATTTTAGAGAGGAATCCAACTTCACCCCAAAAAATTCTGGCATTTGCAAACTAGTCTTTTCTACGTTGTTAGCATTAGGGAAAAAAAAATTCAAACTGATTAAATTTCAAGTTTTATACATTATTTCCGAAAGCATCCCAATAAATTTCAGATTTTCACCATACTATCTCATAAACTCAATTACCTTTGTATAACTTACAGACATCTAGAATTTATCTCATTTGTGAAAAGAAAATTGAATTGAACTTACCAGCTCTGACTCGCACATCCCTGCTAAGTATCTGGCCTACTTGGTTCCTAGCTCTGCAGCGGTATGTGGCGGTGTGAACATCGTGGCGGTATCTGTCTGCAGAGAATGCGGGGAACACCAGGGAACCGTTGGGGTAGACTAGACGCAGCTCAGGGATAGGACTCACCGGCGACCCATCACCTGGTGGGAACCAGAAGACGATTAGGGGATGTTAGTATGTTAGATCTTTGTGGCTATGACACATGTTTAGGTTGACCACCAGAAAATAACCATCGTTTTACAGTGACCGTAATTGCAAAAAAAAATCTCAACTATACATTCCTTCGGAATGAACGACTTTGAGATAATATTTTACTTTGAAATGCATTGCTCCATAAGTACATGACCAAGTACAACTCCAAAACACATTTCTTTGTAAGATACTGTTCCGAAATGCTCTTTAGGAGTGTACACGCTTAGGAGCAATGCTGGGATCTTGCTGCTTGTTACTATTTTCTACTAGGCATATTAATGGCTAGTTTTTTCGTCATAGCTCACCAAACTCTACTGCATTTTCGAATAATATTTCAACTGTCCTCTGACGTATATTATTAAAAGGGATTTACTATTCATTATCTGCTTCTGGACCGTTCTCTTACAAACAACGTAAATAATGCTAATGGCGTGGATACACGCAAATAAAAAACGGTACAGATTTTGCAATGATAAAATAATATGCAGTAAACTTGGATCAACGTTTTATTAGACGTTTGTTGGTAAAAGAAATATTATTTGGGCATGCTATTTCTATTTTATAATGAAAATGGGATATATAAAGTGAAAAAAATTGAATCATGAAATAATCTAAATATGACATCTAACTAGCTTGTGTGGGTTACTCACCCAATGTCCACTCCATGTGAGGCTGTGGACTCCCCGTGGCCGCGCAGTCCAGACGTCCACCAGAACTGTTAGAGAACTCCAGCCTATACGGAGGTTCTATCAGGAAACTCGGACCCTGCAGGTCCAGACCCACACCTCGAACTGGAAAATTAGTTAAATTTACCTTACATATTATAAGTACTGACTTTGGATACTTAAGTAGAAATATTTAACAAGGGGAAGTTGTAGCCAATTTTATGAGTACATAGCTGAACACCTTTTACCATTGATTGACCATTGGATAATGGATTATAATAGTCAAAGCTTGATCACAGTGTGATAGGCACCGTTTTTCCTGGCACTAGAAGTTTGGCGAAAATCTAGAGTAAATTGGGCTGTCAAAAGATATTTTTCGAAATATTTTTTAACATTTGCTTAACATTATATAGTACGGTCCACGAGAGTATGCATTTGAGGGAGGAGCCTATTTACCACGTGACTTTGAAGGGGCCAATGAGAACCGCGTGTTGTTGCCATATATAATAATACCAGCTGATTTGCAAATACTGTTTAGTATATTTTTATTAGTGTGGAAAATTAGTCAACAGGCGATGTTGCAACGTCGCGCTAGTCCAGGAGATCAGATGAAAGTTGCAACAGGTGGTGTTGCAAACATCTCAAAAACATCCTCTCAGCATCAAATTAATATCGCAGTATACTTTACACAAATGGTTTTATAATTTGCCTCTACAGTGTATCGATGTTTGATATAGAAAAATAAATCATTTTGTTATGTGCAAAACTAAATGAAATTGTTAAGATTATGTGATACGGTTAGTATCTAGAATTTTACTGAACGAATACGTGTACTTTATTCAGTGATTAGAACACCCAAGCAATGGCAAGGTTTGGCTGGTCTACTACAAAACAAAAATGCACTAATAAAACTTAGTTGTTGGATTGAAACTCAATCTACTGTATTGCCACATGATTCACATCGGCGAATTCATAGCAAAAATCATATAATCTATAAAACAAGTCTTTAAGATCCGTTTCTAAGAATTCCTTAAAAATTATTTTTTTGGAAATCGTTTGCCTCTAAAAGTTTTTTAAAAACAATCGTCTATGCAAATGCCACTAGCGTGGAGAAAAAACATAACAATTGTAAGAGTAAACAGAGATACTAAAATTTTACAATGTGAAATAAACAACTAACTATACTATTATCTACTAATTTTAATGAAGTAGTTAAGTACCAACAGTGTAAAGGCAGGCTGAAATCACTTTAACATGTAGCTACAGAAGATATTAAGATTCACTGTAATATCGCGAGGGTGGTTCCATCGTGGTTTGGCGTGGTGAAAGCATGTGGTCGAGAGTTAAAGGGATGGTTGGGGGAGGATTAACCCCCCCAGACCCCCCTGCTACCCCCCCTTCTAAACCTCAAGATCTCTACTCGCTCAGCCTCATTACTTCTTTTGACAAGTCCCTCTCGAGTTCTTCTTTACCACCCAAGAGCTTTAACATACGATCCCCGACAGAAAATAATCCGTTATCTCATTGAACTCATTCGAGCCATTAGGTTTTTTTCATGGATGAATAATATTGGAGATAAATAAGAACTGTGGATAGATAAAAAGATATCGTGTTAGTGGGACAGTGAAATACATAACGGATCTTAAGTAAAAATGTGTTAACGCATTTAGAAAATATATTTGGACTGTATGTATAAATGCCTAAATAATTTAAATAATTGTTTTTTTTAACAAAGTGAAGAGGGTTTTCTATGAAAAGAAATATTTCTAAACATGAGATAGCTATTCTTTTTCATTTTCTAGTCAGCTGATGTAAATCTACTTGAATTTTAGTGATTGGTGGGTTATTAACCCCAGGCCTGGGATAAAAGTCTTACGCTCTAACCATTAGACTAGTTGTATTCCTAGCATAACATATATTTAAATTTCAATTAATGTTGTGTAATTTGGAATCATTGATAACCCCAAATAGAAGACTGGTGAAATTAATAAATGTTTCAAACACCACTTGGTTAAAATCAAACTGAATAAAGAAATATAATTTAGATCTATATAAATATGCAGAAATATAATTATTCACTGATTATTTAAGTTTAATAAAAAGAGTTACTAAACCAAACTCATTTATATTTCCTTTTCAACTTACTAAATGTTGTGCCAGAGCTAGGTTTAATTAATTTGAATATTTGATATTTAATCGCTATGCCGTAAACATTGGTGTTGTATTAACTCTCCACTAGTTTATAATTAGCAAACAACGACATTGGGAAAATATTTATTTAAATACTAACTAACGCATTCAATCTATTTATTCCAATTTTGCGAAGGGGTTCTGCTCGATCTAAGAATCGGTTCTGGTCCTTTGGTTATATTTATTTGTCTTTGAGCCTATGCTTTCTAAAACAGGTCTCTCTACAGGTACTCTTATAATAATTAAGTTTTAAAAATCTTTGTACAACTAAATATACAGTTCTACAGGACCGATTTGATCAATTAATAGGTCGTTGGAAGCTCACTCCTTCTAAATTTCCAAATAATCATGAATGTTGGGTTTTGTAACATGCTGTACATGTGTTTTTGAATGGTGGTGTCATTTATATAAATGGTAAAAAAAAAACAAGTTTTACATAAAAAATACATTGAAAACGGGGGTTTTTATATATTTTTTGGAGGCAGCTTTATTGAGATGCATGATGGTAAACTGAAGGAAATTTAATTTTGTTTCGGAATATCACCTTTCACTTGGTAGATTTCGTCAAAATTTAAAAGTAATTTTCAAAAAAGTTAAGAAACTTCCGAATTTTGAGTAGTAAGAAAATACTGAGTTAGATATGTCTTTTTTTAAATGTTTTACAACTAAATCTACAGTTCTACTGGATCGACATTGTTAACTAATGTGTCGTTGGAAGCTTAATTCGTGTAGATTTGCTTATAGTAATGAAAGTTTAATTTTATTAAGGATTTGTGGTGAAAAAGTAAAAACACGTGTATTTTATTAGAGATACATTAAAACGGATTTTTTCGAGTGTCTATTTGTAGCCACATTTAGGCTGCCTTTATTAAGTATTTTCAAGAAATGCATAGCAGTAATTTGTAGGAAATTTTACTCTCTTTCAGAATATCACCTTCTTTTTTGGTAGATTTCCTCATCATTATAAAGTTATTTGCAAAAAGCTAAGCAACCTACAAATCAATAGTGAATTTTCTTTGTTTAAATTCTGTTGTCTACAATTTTGCATTTGTGTAAGCATAAATTATTTACTATTTCTCTAGAGGCCGTTGTACAACTAGCTCTGATGCTAGTACAGTAATAATGTATTGGTTTACACCAAAGACGTAAAAAATGCCAAAAACATAATAGGTGTGTGAGGACACACAAAAAAACGAATATACATTATCAATAAAACATTAAAATAATGCGTTCTTAACACAAATAAGATCGCAATTTATGACAACATCTACAAACAATTTCTAAATCCAAATGTCCAACAGTTTAAATCCCGATTAAATTACACATAGTGTGAAGTGTCTCAAGTTGAAGTAAACAGTTGTCTGTTGACATGAAACTGAGCGTAAGTGATTGAATCACAGCTGACTTTGACAATTATTTAAATAAGTCAAACGCCAGAGTAGTTCTGAAGCTTTGAGTTGAACGCTAATAAATTACGAAGTTGAGGTTCATTACTAAGATTTCTCAACTACTTCACTATGCTATGGTTTATTGATATGCATTTGCTCATGTTACTTGGTTAAACACTTAGTTTCTATGAATTTTATTTTGTAGAAATTTTACTCCTTTCACAACTTCACAAATTTTTTTATGTGTGTTTTTAAAACGTTTTTATTAGGTCGCTTTCTTGTCCGCTACAAACTTTGCAACCGATTTTCTACTAACTTCCCGATGAGCTAGGGACTTGAAACTTGAAACATATCTCACAAATGGAAGACAATGCAATATTATACAATTTAATTTTCATATTTCCCTTGGGCTACGCCCCATGGGCTTGTTTTTATTAAATCGATTTCTTGCAAATTTTGATACTTCCCGATGAGCTAGATACTTGAAATTTGAAACATAGCTCACAAATGGATGACATTGCAATATTATATCATTTAATTTTCATATTTCCTTTCGGGCTACGCCCCATGGGCTTGTTTTTATTAGCTCGCTTTCCTACAAATTTTGATATTAATTTTAAACGATGTAACCGATAAGCTAGAGACTTGAAATTTGAAACATAGCTCACAAATGCATGACAATGCGATATTATATAATTTAATTTTCATATTTCCCTTGGGCTACGCCCCATGGGCTTCCAAATTTTTCATGTTTACATTTTGAAAGGATGTAAATAAATCAACTAAAGTCAGCTGTAAATACTTAAATTTGACAGTTCAAAAAGCAGAGGTTAAGAGGTACAGGTTCTGCTCCCAAGAGATTCTTTATACAAACAAACATTTCAAAATAAAGATAAACAATCTGATTGTAGATATAAAGGAGTTTGTTAATAATGTAATTTGTTATTTATTTAGTATTCTATAAAGTAAACAATAAATCAAATAGATTGATATATTTATAGTTAGTAGGTAGGCCATACATGCAATCTAATACATAATTATATGCAAAGAAACTCAAATAAACCTTAGATTTCCCACATGCCTCTGTCTTAATCTGATATAGACGCTTGAAATAGATTTAACATGCACACACATTAAAACTAAAAAGTATAAAATAATTTATAAATAAAAAACTTTTTTAAACAAAACGTTTTTAAACGCCCTAAAAAGTAGAAAATAATGTACAAATAATTTATAAATATGTTGAGAGAGTATAAATACTTGTACGATTTAAAACGAAAAACGTGGGGTGCATGCAATAGATAGTTTACAATTACCTTCACCTACTGAACTAATGTATTATTATCAATTAATTGCATGCACCCAACGTTTTTCGTTTTAAATCGTACAAGTATTTATACTCTCTCAACATATTTATAAATTATTTGTACATTATTTTCTACTTTTTAGGGCGTTTAAAAACGTTTTGTTTAAAAAAGTTTTTTATTTATAAATTTTATGTTATGATTTAAAACAATCTAAAACTGATATTTTTTATTAGTTTTAGCT